CTTTACCATCTACACCACAGCTCTGGACCCTAATTTTTTATTTTAGTCATTTGGTTTTGATATCAAAGTTAGTCTGCCAAAGTAAGTTGGAAAGTATGATCTTCCCTTATTTCCTGAAAGAATATATTATGGTGTTATTATTTCTTCTTCAAATGTTTAGTACATGTCACAGGTGAAGCAGTTTAGGCCTTCTGTCATCTCTGTGGGAAGATTTCAAAAATTAATTTTTTAAATACTTATGGTATTATTCATTTTTTCCCTTTCTGAGTTAGTTTTCTGACTTCATGTTTTTGACAAAATATGTGCATTTCATATAAATTGCCAAAATTGTTGGCATAAAATTGGCAAATTATTGGCACAAAATTATTTAATATCCTTAAAAATTTTAAAGTAGAGCTACCATATGATGTCTCATTGGGTATATATCCAAAGAAAATTATAACGGTATGTTTAAGACACATCTACACTCACATGTTTATCACCATTTAGAATGTCTAAGATATAGAATCAACCTAAATGTTCATCACAGATGGAAGGACAAAGGATATGTAGTACATATACAGACTGGAATATTATTCAGCCATAAAAGCTATGAAACCCCATGCTTACAACAACATGAATGAATGCAGAGAATTTTGTTAGTTGAAGTAAACTAGGTACAGAAAGAGAATTACTGCATGATCTTACTCATATGTGGAATCTAAAAAAATTTTTTTCATAAATGTTGAGAGTAGAACAGTAGTTACCAGAGGCTGGAGAGGGGCATGGTTGAAGATGAGCAGTTAGGAAAGACACAATGCAGTGCCAGCATCCCATATGAGTACCAGTTCATGTCCCAGTTGCTTCTCTTCCAATCCAGCATCTGCTGTGGCCTGGTAAGGTAGGCAGAGGATGGCCGGAGTGCTTGGGTCCCTGTGCTCACGTGAGAGACCTGGAGGAGGTTCCTGGCTCCTGATCAGCCCAGCTGCGGCCACTGCGGCTATTTGGGGAGGGAACCATCAGGTGGAGGAACTTTCTCTCTGTCTCTCCCTGTCTGTAACTCTGCCTCTCAAACAAATGAGTAAATCTTTAAAAAACCACATTGTACTCTATAAATACATATAATTGTGTCAAAAGTAAATAAAACTAAAAAAATCCTCCTCCCCAAATTCATATCTTATATTTCTTTTTAAATTTATTTCACTGCTTAAAACTTTCAATACAAGGTTGAGTATATCTCTTTGCCTTGTTTCTGAACATAGTCAAAAAGAATTCAGTTTTTATCACTAAATGTTAGTTGTAGTTTTTTTATTTGATAACCATTAGAAAATTGAGTAAATTATTCCATTTCTAGTTTGTTGAGTGTTTTATCAAGAATTGATGTAGACATTTGCTAAATGTTTTTTCTGTATATGTTAAGGTATTTTTTAGACTGTTAATATAATAAATTATACTGATAGATTTTAAAGTACTAACTTAACATTGTATTCCTGGTATAAGCCTCATTTGATTATGAGGCACAATCCTTTTTATATATGCATTAGAATTCAATTTGTTAAAATGTTCAAGTCTTAAAAAACTGGTACTAGAATAACTAGACATCTCCATGCCAAAAAAAAAAAAAAATGTAGACACATCCTTCACAAAAAAACCCTCAAAATATATCATAGACCCAAATTTAAAATGCGAAATATGAAAACCCTAGATGATAATTTGGGAGAAATTCTGGGTGATCTTTGGTGTGGAGATGACTTTTAAAGACACAACCTCAAAAGCACAATCCATTAAATAAATAATTGATGCATTTAACTTCATTAAATTTTAAAGTGTGTGCTCTGTGAAAGATAATGTCAAAAGAATGAGAAAAAAAGTCACAGACAGAGATAACATATATTCTGAAGACATATTTGATTAAGGACTGTTTATCTGAAATATACGAAGATTCTTAAAATTCAACATAAACCCTGAATAAAAATAGTTATAGTATCTGAAGAGACATAGCAATAAGTTATACAGATTGCAAATAAATATATGAAAAGAAGCTGCACATCATGTCATTAGGAAAATGCAAATTAAAAGGAAATGCCAATATACATTTATTAAAATAGTTAAAATACAAATAATGCCCACAACAAATCATGACAAAGATATGGGGTGACAAGAACTCCCTTTCATTATTGCTACAGGCACTTTGGAAGACACTTCGGTAATTTTTCACAGAATTAAACACACTCTTACCAAATGATCCAGCAATCTCACTCCTTTATGTTTTCCCAGAGGAACTGAAAACTTACCTTCACACAAAAATCTGCAGATATTTATAGCAGGTTTGTTCATAATTCCAGAATATAGAAGCAACCAAAATGTCCTTTAGCATGTGAATAAAGTCTGGTACTCCCAGACAATAGAATACTGCTTAGTAATAAAGAGAAACGAAATATCAATGAATAGAAAAGATAAGAAGGAGCCTTAAATATACTATAAAGTGAAAGGAGCCAGTCTGACAAGGCTGCATAACATGTGAGCCCAACTATATATCATTACAGAAAAGGTAAAATTACAAGGACAGTAATAAGATTAGTGGTCACTAGAGGTAGGGGAGAGAAGAACAAATAGGCAGAACACACAAGGTTTTTAGGGATGTGGAATTGTTATGATCTTACAAAATGGCACATATATGTCATTATATATTTGCCAAACCCAATGGATGTACACCACCAAAGTGAACTTAATGTGAACTACAGACTTCAGGTGATAACAATCTGTCAACATAAGCTCGACCATTGTGACAAATGTACCACTCTGGTGGGGGATATTGATAGGGGGAAGCTGCAAATGTGTGCTGACAGGAGACATAGGAAAGAAGGGTAATTCATTATCTGTATGTACCACTCAATATTCCTGTGAATCTGAAACTTCTTTATAAAATCTGTTTAAAGGGAAAGAGAAAAAGGTTGAGAATTTTGCAAATCCTTCTATGAGAGATACTGGTTTGTAATTTTCATTTCCTAAAGTATCCTTCATTGCCTTTGTATCAGTAATTTTAGCACTGTAGGATAAGTTCAGAATGATTTCCTCCTCTTCAATTTTCAGCATGAATTGTTTAGAAGTCATATCATATCTTCCTTGGTAGATTTCCAAAGTGAAATGGTCTGGAATGGAATTCTCTGTGGGCAAGTTTTTTACTTATAAATACAATATTCAATATAGATCTGGGGCTATTCAGGTTATGTATTTTTTTAAGGTTAGCTTTGTTAGTTTCTGCCTTTCAGGAATCTGTTTCATCTCAGGTGTTGGATTTATTTAATTAAATTATGCAAAATATCCTCTTTTTAGTTGTTAAAAAACTGTAGCAATGTCACCTCTCTTTGTTATTGATATAAGTAACTGTCTCTTCTCTTTTTCCTGATAATTTTGGCTATAGATTTATCAATTTATTGATCTTTTCAAAGAGCCACCACCTCCTGCTTTTATTGGGTTTTCTCTTTTACATTGCTCTTCTGCTTTTCACTTATTTCCATTCTAATTTTTGTTTTCTTTCTTTGGGTCTCTGTGCCCTTCTTTTTATACTTTTTTTAAAGGTAGAAGCTGAAATCATTGATTGATTCTTTCCTTCCCTTCCTCCATCCCTCCCTTCCTTCCTTGCTCCCTCCACTTTCTAATACAGGCCTTTAAAGTTATAAATTTCCTTTTGAGTATGGCCTCCATACTTAGTATTTCAGCACCTTGCTATTTTTTATGTTTTGAGTTTTCATTTTTATTCAGGACAAAGTACTATTTATTTAGTTTTTAATTTTCGAATTTTTTTTAAGTTTATTTGAAAGGCAAAGCAAGAGAGGGAGAGGAAGACACACACACACACACAAGGGGGCAGGAAAAGAGAGAGAGAAAGAGAGAAAGAGAGAAAGAGAGAGAGAGAGAGAGAGAAATATCTATCTCCCAACTATCTACTGGCTTACTTTTCAAATTGCTGAAACAGCTGTGTGGGCCAGGCTAGTCAGGAGCCAGGAACTCCATCCTAGTCTTCCATATGGAACTAGCCCAAGAAGTTGAGCCACTTCCCTGCCTTCCCAGGCACATTAGCAGGAAACTTGATTAGAAGAAGAGTGGCATTCTGTTATAAGATACTGACATCATAAGTAGCATTTTTTATTATTATTTATTTGACAGGTAGAGTTATAGACAGTGAGAGAGAGAGAGACAGAGAAAAAGGTCTTCCTTCCATTGGTTCACTCCCCAAATGGCTGCTACGGCTGGCACTGCACTGATTCAAAGCCAGGAGCCAGGTGCTTATTCCTGGTCTCCTATGCGGGTGCCAAGGGCCTAAGCACTTGGCCCATCCTCCACTGCCCTCCCGGGCCACAGCAGAGAGCTGGACTGGAAGAGGAGCAACTGGGACTAGAACCTGGTGCCCATATGGGATGCTGGCGCCGCAGGCAGAGGATTAACCAAGTGAACCACAGCGCTGGCCCCCATAAGTAGCATCTTAAGCCACTGTGTTACAAAGCCTGCCCTCTTCTAAAATTTTTATTAATATTGATTATACAGATTGTGTTACAGTGTAACATGTAAACATATATGTAAAGCTTCTGATCAAAACAGAGTAATCAACATTGCCCCTTCTTTGGCATTACTTCATGATTGGAGGCTTACAGTTTATTTGTTCTATTTGTTTATACAATATATACTAAGTTGTTGTGGATGTAGTCTCCTCTCTATGCTGTATAATATTAATAACTTATTCCTTTAATCCAAACTGATTTTGTACACATTATCCAAACTCCATCTTTGCTCTCCCTGACAGAGCCTCTACCAGTTTTTCTGTGGTTCAAATTGATTTTATGTTTTGTTTTTTTTTTAACTTCCACTTGAGGGAGAATATGAAGGATTTACTTTTTTGTGTCTGCCTTATTTAATTCAACAATGATGTCCTTCAGTTCCATCCATTTGGCTGCAAAAGACAGTATTTAATATTTTTATGACTGAATAATATTCCAGTAGATAATTCTAGTAGGTAACACTTTCTTTATCTGTTCAGCTGATGATGGACTCCTGGGTTAATATATTGGCTATTATGAACAGCACTGCCATAAACATGATGAAGCGGGAATCTCTAATACAATGCTATGTCTTTTGAATGTATACCCAGTAGTGAGATTGCTGTGTCATATAATGATTCCATTTCCAGTATTTCAAAAGAAATTTCCATTCTGTTTTCTGCAGTGGCTGTACTAATTCACATTTCAACTAACAGTGTATAAGTGATTCCTCTTTCTCCACCTTCTTACCAGCATGTGTTACCTGCTTTCTGATAACAGCCACTCTTAACAGGTATGAGATATCTCCATGATTTAGATCTGCATTTCCTTATTGATTAGTGATAATGAGAGTTTTTTTCATATATTCATTGGACATTTGTAGTTCATCTTTTGAGAACTGCCTGTTCATGTCCTGTGCCCATTTCTTAATTAGATTATTTTTGTAATTGAGTCTTTTAGTACTTGATGTGTTCTGGGTATCTACCCTTTGTTGGGCAAATATCTTGCAAATATGTTCCCCAATTGTGTTGGATGTATTTTCTTTATTGTCTATTTTGCTTATCCTTTCAAAAGTCCAGCTTTTAATTTTGTTATTTTGTTTTTAAGTTCCAATTTAACTTCTCTGTTCTGATGCTTATTATTTCTTACTTCCTGCTATGTTTGGGTTTGGTTTCTTCTTGTTTTCTTAAGTTCTTGAAATGCATTGTTAGATTATTTATTTGAAATGTTTCTATTTTTAAAATCTGTTTACTCACTGTTATAAACATCATTCTTAACACTGCTCTTGCTATATTCTAGACTTTGATATATTCTGTTTTCAAGCAATGTATTGATTTCCTTTTTAATTTCTTCAATAATCCATTGGTCATTCAGAAGCATGTTGCTCCATTTCCATGTATTTTATAAATTTTCTGGTTTTTCTTCTTGTAGATTTCTAGTATTAGTGCTGTGTAGTTTGAGAAAATACATGGTATGATACAAGTTTTTTAAATTTACTGAGACTTGTTTTGTGCACTAATTTATGGCCTATCCTGGAAAACATTCCATGGATGGATGAGAAGTTATTGTGTACTTGCACCCATGTGGGAGACATGGAAGAAGCTCCTGTCTCCTGGCTTCGGCCTGGCCCAGCTCTGGCCATTGGGTCCATTTGGGGAGTCAACTAGAGAATAGGAGATCTTTCTCTGTCTCTATCTCTGCCTTTCAAAATAATAATCTTTAAAAAATAAGAAAAATTTTTCTGCTTGTATCATCTGTACACTAATGTCAGGGAGGTGTTGAAATTTCCTACTAATATTGTATTGGAATCTTTCCCTTTATGTCTAATAGAATTTGCTTTATGTATCTGGGCAGTCTTGTGTTGAGTGCATATAAATGTAATCTCTCTGAATCAATCCTCATCAAATGTAATGTCCTTTATATTTTTTCTTTTGAAAATTTATATAATGAAAATATATTCATTTATATAATTTTTTTTGACAGGCAGAGTGGACAGTGAGAGAGAGACACAAGAGAGAAAGGTCTTCTTTTTCTGTTGGTTCACCCCCAAGTGGCCCGCTGCAGCTGGTGCACTGTGGCTGGTGCACCATGCTGACCCGAAGCCAGGAGCCAGGTGCTTCTCCTGGTCTCCCATGCGGGTGCAGGGCCCAAGGATCTGGGCCATCCTCCACTGCACTCCCAGGCCACAGCAGAGAGCTGGCCTGGAAGAGGAGCAACTGGGACAGAATCTGGTGCCCCGACTGGGACTAGAACCCAGGGTGCTGGCACCACAAGCAGAGGATTAGCCTATTAAGCCATAGCGCTGGCCTCATTTATACAATTTTAATCATATAATGATACTTCCCACTCTCCCTCTGTCCCTCCTCCTTCCCTTTTTCTTTTAATTTTTTGTGATAGCATAGTTTCAATTTAATTAACAATCACAGGTTTAATTCTCCACTAAAAGAATTCAAAAAGTACGAAGAAGAAAGACCACTACTATTCCAAAGGCATATAGAAAAGGGCTATAGGCCGGCGTCGCAGCTCAATAGGCTAATCCTCCGCCTAGTGGCGCCGGCACACTGGGTTCTAGTCCCAGTTGGGGCGCCGGATTGTGTCCCGGTTGCCCCTCTTCCAGGCCAGCTCTCTGCTATGGCCCGGAGTGCAGTGGAGTGCTTGGGCCCTGCACCCCATGGGAGACCAGGAGAAGCACCTGGCTCCTGCCTTCGGATCAGCGCAGTGCGCTGGCTGCAGCGCGCCGGCTGCAGCGGTCATTGGAGGGTGAACCAACGGCAAAGGAAGACCTTTCTCTATGTCTCTCTCACTGTCCACTCTGCCTGTAAATAAATAAATAAATAAAAGGGCTATAAACAGTAATCAAACTTCAATGTTTCAATTTCACTAATTTTGTATTCTATATATTAGGTACCACAAACTACAGAAAACATATATCTATCTTTTTTGGGTCTGGCTTACTTCACGAAACATAATGGTCTTGTGTATGATATGGGCATAGCTGCTCTTCCCTGGTTTTGGTTTCCATTTGCATAGCTTAAAATTTTTCAAAACTCCACCTCAGTCTATGTGTTTTGTTACCTGTGAAGTGAGTTTCTTGTTGGTAGCACATAGTTGGAGCTTGTTTTTTTTTTTTTTTTAAACCCACTTAGCCAGCCTGTATGTTTTGACTGGGTAATTTGATCCATTTACATTTAAGGTTAGTATTGATAGATAAGCACTAATTCCTGTCATTTTGTTGGTGCTTACTGTTTGTTTTGTTAAGTCTCTTTGTTTCTGCCTCTCATTATTTATCTTTGAGTTTGGGTAGTTTCTGTCCTAACTTTGGATCCTCTTCACTTTCTCTTTGTGTATCTGCTCTGTTAGTGAATTTTGTACTGTAGTATATTTCCATTATGATTTTTATGGTCATTTTCCTTCTAATGCAGGACCTCCCTTCAGGATTTCCTATAGAGTTGGTCTGGAGGTAATGAATTCTCTGTTTTTACTTATCTCAGAAATACTTTATTTCACTTTCATTTCTAAAGGATAGCTTGTTGGATATAGCAGTTTTGGTTGAAATTTTTTTTGTCTTCAAGACCTTGGATATATTAGCCTTACTCTTCTGGTCTGAGGGGCTTCTGTTGAGAAATCTGCTATTAGTCTGTTGAGTTTTCTTTAATGTAATGAATATTTTTTTCTTTCACTTTTTTTAGGATTCTCCCCTTAGCCTTAACTTTTGACAATTTAACAATAATATGCCTTGGTGAAGGTCTTTCTTGGTTGAATCTGGTTTGGGCCCTTTTGAGTTTCCTGTAACAGGATGTCCATAACTCTTTAATACTTTGCGAATCTTGAACTACTCTTTCAATAAATAAGCTCTTGGTACCTTTTCCTGTCTCTTCTTCAGGTATTACTATAGTATGAATATTTACTCATATACTGTTATATCCTATGTCTCATAGGCTTTCATAATTCTTTTTCTTTTCTGTTTATTTGTCCATGTTATTTCAAAATTCTTGTCCTCAAGATCAGAAATTCTTTCTTCTGTTTGATTTGTTTTATTATAGAAGTTCTCATTTGTATTTTTTATTTCACTGATTGAAGTTTTCAGCTTCAAAATTTATGATTCTTTTAAACATTTTCTCTGTCAAAAATCTTATATATTGTTTTCCTATCTGTGTTCTATTGTATCTCACTGAGTTTTCTTGGGATCATTATTTTCAGGTCTTTTCCAGATATTTCATAGATATACTTCAAATCAGGATCTACTTCTGAAGAATGCTGTGTTCTTTTGGAGCTGTCAAACTGCATTGCTTCTTCATATGTTTTTCTCTGTTTGTAACTCCAAACCTGGTCTGAAAGTTCCTTCTTTATGGAGTAGCTTTCATCGGTGTTTTTTTTTTTTTTTAAATGATGGAATGTGGTCAGTTGATAGTTGCTTTGGCTTTGTCTCTAGCTGAGTCCAGAGGTACAATGTCTGAGTGATTTCTTCAGCTGTAATCAATGTAAACATTGTCTACGAATGCCGCAATTGTTTGGCTGCAGCAGTCCATGGATGTAGTAGTAAGACTTTGAAGTGGATGTAGGCTTCTCAAGGTGTTGTCTTCAGACCCCAGAGCTGGGTGCCAATCAAACTTGGGTTATGGCAAAAGCCATTCGCCTGGTGCTGTGGGACATAGACCGTAAGTCATCAAGTCCACTAGGAAAGCCTGAGTGATGCTGAGGGTTGTGCCACCAAGAGCTTTGGGTGTAGAACTGTGTGATGTAGAGAGGATCTTCTCCATGTCCTTGTGGCTGGGTGTGAGGATTCTGGGGTTTATAGCATAAAAAGCCCCAGGTACAGCACTGAGGATGTGAAGTAGGTCCCATGGAAACAACGTAGGTTATGCTGGGGATTGCTCACTGGCAGGTGTGTCCTTGAAGGAGTAAAATGCTGGTAGAATTTTCCCCAGTTTACATAGCATGCATTCGGGTGACTCTTAGAGTTCTAATAGTCGCAGTCCCAAAACTGCAGGACAGAAAGGGTACTTTGGATCCCACAGGAAAAGTTTTGGTTATACTGGGGATTATGCACTATCAGCCATGGGCTTGCCACAGTGGAATGGAGACAGAAGCTTCCCCAGGTCTCACTATATCAAATTCAGAAGATTTAGCACAGCAAAGGAAATGATAAATAGAGTCAAGAGACATCCAACAGAATTTGCAAAACACCTGACAAAGTATTAATATCTTGATTATATCAGCAATTTAAACTCAGTAACAACAACAAAATCCATTTAGTCAAGAAATAGGCAAAGGACCTCAACAGACAGTTCCCAAAAGAATAAATACAAATGACCAACAAATATATGAAAAAGTGCTCAATATCACTAGCCATCAGGGAAATGCAAATCAAAACCACAATGAGGTATCACTTCACCCCTATCAGAATGGGTAAAATCCAAAAGTCAGAGAGCACAAAATCCTGCCAAGGATGTGCAGGAAGGGGAACAATTATACATTCTTGGTGGGAATGTAAATTAGTGTAGCCGGTTCACTCCCCAAATGGCCTGCAACAGTCAGGGCAGGGCCAAGCCAAAAGCCAGGAGCCAGGTGTGTCATTCAGGTCTCTGTTGTAGGTGCAGGGGCCCAAGGACTTGGGCTATCTTCCACTGCTTTCCCAGGCAAAGATGGATTGGAATGGAGCAGCAGGGACTTGAACCAGTACCCATATGGGATGCCAGTGATGCAGACGGCAGCTTTACTGGCTATGCCACAGTGTTTGTCCTGTTTGCTTTTGATTGGCCCATTTTGTCAAAGAGTGAAAAAGAATTGAGAATTAGTTCATCCCAATTATGGCACGTTATGTCCAAATATATATTGTTATTTATATGTGAATGATGCAGTAATCATAGGTGGCATCATATCCATTCTTAACTCATGACTCAACAATTAATTTTACCTTTTTGGGTTAAGTGAGCAAATGATGAACACTATGGAAACAATGAGTCAATTAGAATATGCTTAGAAGAAAAATATATCATAAGAATTGGAATATCAGGATATAATAAAGTTAGGATTCAAAACTAAGAGGTTTTTAAGTTATGCAGTGGATTCAGCTATTGGGGTGGTAAGACTGCACCTCTTGATTTGGTTATGAATGAGAACACATAGAAGGCAGGTGAGGAAATGTCCCATTTATTATGTTATTGACCAAGTGGAGGACCAGGCTGATGAAATCATCTCACATGTGGATAAGAAGTATATACCATTTGATTATGAAATCATTCTTTCACGTCAGTTTTAATAGCACGGCTTTATTATCATGTGCTCACTTTTCTCTAGCAGGTAGGCAGAATTAGAAATAATTTTTCCACTCAGGAAAGAAGACAGAAAATGGGTCAGAAGCCCCATTTTAAGATGAAGTAAGAATTTTCCATTCAATAAATAATCTTGACCCAATCAAGCCTGGCCTATTTCTGGTTTTTCCACACCTCTAACATTTCCAAGATCTCAATGGAATACCTGGTTATTTATGAGTCCTGAACTTCAGTTTTCTTTACAGAATCATGGTGATGCCTAACTCCAATTTTCTTAACAGAGTCATGGTAATGCCTAAATCTGTTTAGCTTTATAGTCCCTTAGCAACTTTTATCCACTTGGGTTTTGTTATGACAGGCGCATATTACAGCTTAGGAATTGGCAGATCCTTGGAGAGAGGAGAGTACATAAAATAGTATTAGTCTACTTCTTTATAAATCTATTGTCACTGCACATAAAAATAGACATTTAGACTACTGGAATAGAATGAAACCCCAGAACTAAATCCATGCATCTACAAGCAGTTAATCTTTGACAGATGAGCTAAAGTCATTTCCTGGAGAAAGGACAGTCTTTCCAACAGAGTCAGGAAAACTGGATGTCCACATGCAGGAGTTTGAAACAAGACCCATATTGTACACCCTGTACAAAAATTAACTCAAAATGGGTAAATGATTTAAACTTAAGACTTTAAACTGTTAAACTACTTGAGAAAACATAGTAGAGATATGGTTAAGGCATTAGCTGAGGCAAAGACTTTTTGTTTAAGACCCCAAAAGGCACTGCCAATAAAAACAAAAATAGATAAATTGGATTATATCAAGTTAAGAAGTTTCTGCACAGCAAAGGAAACAATTAGCCAAGTGAAGAGACAACCCACAAAATACAGAAAATATTTGCAAACCACATGCCTTATAAAGGATTAATATCAAGATATATAAGGAGCTCAAAAACACAACAATAAAACAAACAATCCAACTAAGAAATGGGCAAAGAAGGGGCTGACTTGCAGTGCAGCAGGTTAAGCTGTTGCTTATAATGTCAGCATCCTCTATCAGAATGGCCGTTTGAATCCTGGCTACTTTGCTTCCAATCCATCTTACTGCTTATATGCCTAGGAGGGAAGTAGAGAATGGTACAAGTGCTTGTGCCTCTGCCATCCATGTAGAATACTTGGAAGGAGTTCTAGGTTCCTGGTTTTGGCCTGGTCCAATGCTTTCCATTGCAGGCATTTCGGGTGTGAACCAGCAGGTGGAGGTGATCTCTCTCTCTCTTTTCAAATTAACTAATTAAAAAAAGAAAAATGGGCAAAGTATATGAGTAGACTTTTTTCTCAAAGGAAGGAATACAACAAAAACATGAAAAAATGTTCAGGATCACAAGACATCAGGGAAATATATATTAAAAATCACAATGAGGGGACCAGCATTGTTGCATAGTGGGTAAAGCCGCTGCCTGCAGTCCTGGCATCCAATACAGGTACCGGTTCAAGACCTGGCTGTTTCCTTTCCAATCAAGCTCTCTGCTATGGTCTGGGAAAGCAGTAGAAGATGGCCCAAGTACTTAGGACCCTGCCCATGTGGGAAGACCTGGAGGAAGCTCCTGGCTTCAGAATGGTGTAGTTGCAGCCAACTGGGGAGTGACCCAGCAGATGGAAGACCTCTCTCTCTCTCTCTCTCTCTCTCTCTGCCTCTCCTTCTCTCTCTGTGTAACTCTTTTAAATAAATAAATAAATCTTAAAAAAAAAAAAACCACACACAATGAGGAATCATTTTACCCAGTTAGAAAGGCCATTAATCCAAACATCAAAAAATAACAAATGATGTGAGGTTGTATAGAAACAGGTGCCCTAATCCAGTAGGAATCTTAATTAGCACAATCATTATGCAAAATAGTATGGAAGTTCTTCAAAAAACTGGATCATTCATGATCCAGCTATTCTGTACTGAGAATATATCCAAAGGAAGTGAAACCAGCATATAAAGGAGAGATATGCACTCTCACCTTTATAGCAGTCCAATTCACACTAGCAAAGCCATGCCAACAATCTAGAAGTCCATCAGTGGATAAAACAATGAAAATCTGTCAAACACACATGATGGAATATTACTTACCCATAAAAGGAATAGGATCATGACATTTCCAACACAATGGATGGAACTGGAGACCATTATGCAAAGTGAAATAAGACAGGCACAGAAGAATAATAACATATTTTTTCTTACATGTGGAAGTTAACATATTAAAAAAAGTGTGCATGTCATATTACTTAGTATGTAGATATTTATAAATGTTGTCTTTCTGAATTATAAAAAAAAACCCTTATATAAAATTAAACACTTCTTTCCTCATTTTATGATCTTTGTCACAAATCATATACTAAAATAATATATCCACCCTGCTTTCAAAAAATAGTACTTATGTGTGCATATATATATATACACACATACATGTTTACATATGAAGCAAATATGGCAAAATGTTAAAAACTTAAATCTAAAAAATTAAACCAAAATAAACTTACCTCTTAAAAAATGGCACAGAATTCCTATTTAGTGAATGTAAAAATTATAAAGTCATTTAAATAAACAAAAAGATACAAATATTAAAATGCAGAATTTTGGAGGCCAGCCCTGTGGCATAGCAGGATTAAGAAATCTTGTGTAGTGCTGGTAGCCCATGTTGGCACTGGTTCAAGTTCCACTTGTTCTGCTTCTGATCCAGTCTCTGCTAATATTCCTGGGAAAGCCGCCAAGTCCTTTGGCCCCTGTATCTATGCGGGAAACCTGAAGAAGCTCCTGGCTCCTGGATTCAGCCTGGCACAGCCCCGGCTCTGTGGCCATTTGGGGAGTAAACCAGCAGATGAAAGATCTCTTTCTCTCCTCTTTCTCTCTCTGTAACTCTGAATTAAAAATGAATAAATAAATCTTAAAAAAATACTTTTAAAAGAAAGGAATGCCACATTGCTGCAATGACTTTGGACAAATTATTTCCCTTACTTGAATCTCAGTTTCATATGTAAAATATAAGTACAGTACCTACTTCAGAGTTAGAAATGAATCAATGAGGTACTAAACACATTTCAAGCATCCAATGAAAGTTGTAAAATGTTATACACATGAATAATCAATATTAAAAAAACATTGTAACATATCTCCTGTAACATCAGCTGTAGTGATATTACTGAATACATCAAGATTGTTTTTATGAAAATATTGCCACTTTAGCAGCCCTCTGGAATTCTGGGCAAAGTAGAGTACTGTGGATTACATCACTGTTTGAGGTAGAATGACCACTACAATTGTCTTAATTACTAAAATATATACATAAAAGAAAATATGAGTATAATTATCTGAGGACCTACAAAACTTTCATTATTGCCATACTACATTCTTACTGTATACCATACCAGCTGTTGCCTTCTGGCCCACATTGTTGTATCTAAGAATGGCAGTTCAGCGCCAATAACATCTTACAGTCATGAATTTATGGCTGAGGCATATTATCTTAAACTACTAGGAATGGCTTAGCCACTATCTAGACACATACTATTAAGCAAGATATACCTGTAAAGTGAGAGGGTAGATTACATGGTTTCTAGAAGCGTTCACTTTCTGTGATTCTAAGATATGATTCTTAGCACTCTTAGTCTCGGTGATTGACTTCCTTTTGAATAATTTCCTATCATCTTTCAAAATAAGTGTATAATGAAACAAAAATACACATTTATATTAGAGATTTAAAGTAGTTTCAGGATATACTGAAGCTGAAAAACACAGAAAAAACAGTTGTTGAATTAAGAAACCTTTATTAATTTTCACATGAAAATGAAATTGCAGTTGTAAATTTGAACTAAGAAATATTTATTCGAAAAGGCAACTTGCTAAATGACCATGACACTGAAGTTGCTAGACAAGATGATGACTAAAGTTCTGAACTCTGCAATTCTGAGACATTCCTGGCATTTTACATGTCTAGATGATGGCCATCTTTTTTGGATGGTTCTCCTCACATTTTCCAGTCTGTTCACATGAAAGAAAATATTCAGCATATAATTACAGAAATAGAGGTTTTAAATAGAGATTTAAAGAAACTTCAAAATACATTTACACTGAAAAATACAGATAAAATATGTGTTAATTCAGGAAACATTTATTCTTTCCCAAATAAAGAAATTGAGACTGAATTTGAACCAAGGAACATTTGTTTCACAAGGTACTTCCGCATTCTTTTAATTTTAAAACTAAACACATGTACAACACTTACAACATTTACAGAATACTATTTTCAAAATAGATTTTAAACTTCTAAGAATGAAAGTTCTCAGTGACAAACTTTAGATATATAACTTAGTTCCAGTGGCTACTTCTTTGTCACAAGCAGCAACTACATACAAAACCTCTCCCCTACCCCTTGCACAAGAAAGTGAAGTTAGATACTTCTAAAAATGGAAAACAAAACTCTCCCAAAATGCAAAGGATTAAGTTCCAAAGAGCATATTTACAAAGAATATAACATCTTAATTGTCAACTGAGAAAGTAACACAATAGGCATTTTAACTCCTCCCTCCCATTTTTTTTTTTTTTTTTTACTCCTTCCTCATTTCTGATTTTGAGAATTTTTTTTTCTGCTTCTACTGTGTAAGACACTGGGAAACACTAAGAAGGATCAGACTTGGCCAAGTAGTATAGCTGTGTGCTGGTAAATGTTGAACAACCAACTTATGAGGGCGAAGCCAAGTCTTTATATCATGTATAAGTTTCTATGGTATAAATACGTACTCCCACTGTGGTAAACCGCAAAGTACCAACAATTTGACAAGTGGCTCAGAAAGTTCTGAAACTTTAACAATCATCTCTCACAAGCCATTATAATCCATCTCCAACATACTGTCCAGACTCTTCAAAGAGTTCATAATCTCTTCAGATTACATATTTTAAATGATACAAAAGAAGGAGGAAGACAGAGATCAAAGTGAAATAATTATATTCGCTGTAGCTGGTTTTAAAAATTAAAAGGAATAATAAAATCTAGAATTTCCCTACTTCTCCTTTTTTCTGCGTTTTTATAATTATTTCATGAAATTAAGATGTAATTTACTTAAGGAAAAGTGGTGAGTAGAAAAAGAAGAGAAAAAGTAAAAAAGAAATATACTGTTATTATGTTCACACTGGAAGAGAAAGCTTATTATGATAAGAGCAAATATAATGTAACCATTAAAATTTTATCTTCTTTAACCCCCTCAGTTCAGTCCATAAGTCCTGAAGACTTGTCCTGTCCTCTTTGGCTGCCACTTTGATGCTAATTTCTCTAGTATAATAAGGAAGGGCATATTGTTTCACAACACTCACACAAGTTCACGATAAAAGGTGGAACTAAATTCTGGAATCATAAAACTGAGTTTCCTTTGATAGTCACCCGCCTTATATCAGATCTTGGGCAACTGACGGCTGGGATGACCAGGGAATTCTTCTGGTAGCAAAACATGGAGTCTGCAGGTTGGGCATGTTCCCTGTTGCATCAGCCATGGTCTAATGCACTATGGAGAAAAAAGATTAATGTCAGTCTCTCAGATTTAGCCTAAAACAGACAGATGTTACTCTATACCAAGATTATCAATATAATTGTTAATATGAGAGAGAGGTCTTCCATCCAATGGTCACTCCCCAAATGGCCGCAAGCTGTGCTGATCATAAACCAGGAGCCAGGAGCTTCCGGGTCTCCCACACGGGTGCTGGGGCCCAAGGACTTGGGCCCTCTTGCACTGCTTTTCCAGGCCATCGCAGAGAGCTGGATCGAAGTTGAGCAGCTGAGTCTCGAACCGGCACCCATTTGGGATGCCAGTGCTTCAAGGCAGGGCGTTAACCCACTGTGCCCCAGTGCCGGCCCCGCCATGATAACTTCTACAAATATGATACCTCTCTGTGGTTTGCTGAGGTTATAAATAGCTGGTAGCTGCTAAACATATTTCAGCCATTTTATTCTATAAAGATTCTTTCCTCAGTCCCAATTTATAGGAAGACTAGCAATCCTTTCTGGTAAAGAGATTGAGGAAATTTGTTATATTCTCTCTACTTTATTTTCTTATACATTGTTCCTACTTATAATTCAGAAAAAGTTATAATTACAGACACAAAAGATACCAATACCGGGCATGAAGTACTTGTGGTGTTCTAAAGTTAAAAATCCCAAAATATAGTTCTCAGATTGTTTTATGAAAACAGTAGCAATCTTTGGCTGTGAACTACCTATTAAACTATTGGCTTGAATACTGACTCTCCAAGCACATATCATTTTTATCTGTATGAATAATGGATAGCAAGGTCAAAATAGAAATGATCAAGTATTATAAGGAAGGTTCACTAACTGAATGAATTATGTGTGTTCTGTTCAATGGCCAATGGCAAAGAATACAATAAAAATTTGTTAAATCATTTTTTTCTAAATGACTAGAACTTCTAAAACTTCAAAATGGGAAAGTCAGGTGGTTAAGTATCTTTCCTTGGAGATATTTTGGGATTAGCCATTTTCTGTACATCTCTTCATATTAGATGATGTGTAAAATATAATTCTACTGTGATTGTATATCTTTGAAATGATGTTTTACTACTATGGCTTGAAGGAGCATGCTATTGTTCACTTTACTGAGAAGACTTTCTTGGGTAGATTACATTTTCCTCCTTCAATTTATATCTCTGCAATACAAGACTCAGTCCATTAATTTTGTATCAGTTAACATGTGCACAGCCAGCAACACCAAGAAATAATCTACACAAATGCACAGAATCAACAAAGCCTAGGTCAGTCTCATGTTTTTCTAAAATCAAATCTCAAACCTACAAACACAGAAGACTGTTATGGTAACTCATGCTTCATAATGATAGAGAGCCATCATGAGATATAGACAAAGGATCCTATGTGTAATTTATATTATTTCAAGGTAAAATAGCACTGCTGCTAGTTCTGCCAGTAAAATTCCATACCAACCAACATGTCTCCTAGTTCTATTCAAGGGAATTCCGTCTACTTTGTACCATCTTATGTTATCTTTATGTTGTTCTCCTGGATGGCAAATAGAGATCTAAGAAAGCCTGCCACAGGCTATATAAAGAGGCAAAAGGTATGAATATTTCTGTGTGGTATACAAAATTACAGAATTATCCTAGTGGAATACATGACATGGCAATGATATATGTATGTGATTTTAAGTAATGCAGTACGGATCTCTCTTGGCTGATTAATGATAAAACATTAACAGAACAAGTTTAAAGAGTTACCTGAGAGTGAAATTTGTGAGCACAAGGCAAAACTGAAAGGTTTTCTGGAGACAGATTCTCATGACAGATCACACAAGGTTCTTCTTCCTCCTCCTCTGCCTCCTGGAGAAAATTTATACAATTAAAATTTATTTATTTATTTATTTTAACAATTTCTAAGTGTGTACAGAATCAATTATTTCAGTCTCACCAAGTTATTGGCTCCTTCCCATGTGGCAGAATCTTGTGAACTAAGAGGCCTCCAGGCTGCTTTTGGAGGCTGGGCAGTGTTAGATTGTGATGGAGAATGGCTAGGTGAAACACAATTACCATTTGGTACTGATTTTCCTTGACTCTGAAAAATAGAAAATTATACTTTTTAAAAGAATTATTCTAAAGTAGTAAGAACTAAATAGCACAGAACAGGTATAACAAGATTTAGTAAAAGGTCAAGTAATAAGATTCATGAGAAATCTTGAAACAAAATATTGGCAATACTTATAACTCAAAGCTAGGTACAGACAAAAATAACCACAGATGTTCTTTTAATTAAAATAACTCTTTCCAGAAGATTAGAAACAATGTCTCTGTTTGGGATCATTCAAAATAACACAGAGTAAATTCCATGGGTGTCAATTTTATTCTAGAATAATCAAGTGATAGCTCTTTCAAAAACGATTTCTGGCATCATCTGTCAAGTTGAATTTGTTTAATTACTTACTGTTAATTGATGATTTAATATGAGAAGTTAAGATTTTCTGAAATTGTTATGGAGATAATTAAAACATCTAACTACTAGAGATAAGGGTAGGGAGATACAATTTGTTCTATTTTGCTGCTGTTGTTTGTTCTTACCTGAGATCTTTTTGGGTCAATAAATTGGGAAATCTTGTAAACAATTTCATCAAATGTTAATCCAGATAAGGACTTCCCATGAGCATCCTTCAATCTTCTTAAGAAATCTGCAAGGTCTTTTCTGCGAGGGATAAAGGGAAGAGTAGTAATTTTCCCTATTGCCTTGAGGATATGCCTTCCAAATGAGATGTAACACCTTATTGTATCACTGTGGTTGACAGATGTGACTCTTTAGATCTTCGATCTAAAAGCATGATCACGTGGAAAGGTGTTTTGTCTAGTGATTAAGATTCCTGAATCCCATACCAGCATACCTGGGTTTGATACCTGGCTCTGGCTCCCATCTTCAGCTTCCTACTAATGCAGATCCTGGGAGACATTGGTGATGGTTCAAGTAATAGGGCTCCTACCACCTTGGTGGGAGATCTGGATTGAGTTCCCAGCTCCTTGACCCTTTTGGGCATTTGAGGAATCCCAGCAGCTGGGAGCTCTCTCTCTCTTTTGTTTTCTCTCTGTCTCTCTTTGCCTCTCAAATAAACAAACATTTTAAAACATGATCACAGATCCATCTGCATTTATCTTAAATCAAATGAAAACTCCTTATTGTGTACATTTGATAGTATTAATGTGTTCATGGAAGACAAAGTTTAGCACATACTTTTGTTTTATAAAGAGTGTTTAACTTTGTATTTGAGAGCTCACTATGTGAATATTGAGTTTATCTACTTATTAATGCAGTGATATCTTTATAGCTCAAATATTTACTTATGTAGACTAAAATACTGCGTTTTAACTATGGTATTGGTTTCATTCTTCTTTATCAGTGTTAATAGTTTTACTTTTATAAAACTTGAACAGAAAACAAAAATTAAACAGAAAAGGAAAAAGCTTAAAAGACATGGCTTTATATGATAAAGAACCCACATTATTTTATTTAGTATGTTCTTGTTTAGTTCTCAAGGTTCACTGAGCCAAAGCCTACATATACATTTTTGGTAAGACAAGGCAGGAGGAAATATTGTTTCTCAAATGAAACATCATGTCATCAGCTTTATATAATTATTTCACTTCATGACTTAATCATTTAATACATATCTATTTATAATAATTATAGTTCTATTTTGTTATGTATTCACTATTCTGAAATTTTCAAAAATATCTAATACCAATAGAATATATTTTTAAAAAACATCTTGGTCTTCAAATGAGAACACTGTAAACTAGAAGTGTTTCTTTAAGATATAAGGTGAAAAGAAATTTCATTTGTGTAAAAGGAGAATTAAGCATCTTTCTGCTGAAGTGAGACTATAAAATCATAATTTTCTGCATTTAACTGTGTTCTCTAACAAAGGAATTAGAAGAAACCTCAGTAAAATTAAGGAAAGTAAATCCTGATGGTGTTTGGGCTTATGTAGCATACAGGCAACCTAAAATTCACTTTGGAAATAGGTTATTAAGATAATTACTGTAGCTAGTGCCACTACAATTGGATAGGTTTTCAACTAGTTGTACTTTCAGTTAATTAACAAATCTAAATTTAAAAGGTTATTCTCTCATGACTTAAAGTGAACAACATTAGTAAAGAAGCTTAACATTTCTATTGACCATTATCTGTTCTTGGTAAACTTAATTTTCTTTACCCGGCTCATGGTATAGTGCTATCTGCACATGTTTTATGTACATGGAAGGATCTTGTCATAAGTATGGCTATGGAAACCACAGAAAATGATCTGTACTCATCACTACATAAAAAAACTATGGTACCTGGTCTGTTGTGGAAAGGCAGTTTTCAGTCTGTCTGTAAGCCTCTCCCAATTCATCACGGAAGAAGGATCACTTCCCAGACTTGCACCAGGAAGCACATTTTCTCCCACAGGTGCTGGCATAGTCCAGGCTATGCCAGTCATCTATAAGAAGCAGAGTTATCATCCGTCGGCCTCAATTATTAAGAAGTTACACTCACATCAACAATTTGACTGACGTGGATTTTTTCTTAACTAGCTCAATGTTTACAAGTATTTTAACTTATTTTAATAATAATATGAGCTTGCTTCAGTAATTACAGATATGCACCAAAAATACATGCAGGATGTTTAACGCTATATATATTTTTTGTAGGGGAAAAACTGGAAACTGCAAGTAGGTGAAAAAGTAAATAAATTACGGCACATCTTACCCAATTTCTAACAATAGACCTATATATTTAAGTATGAGAGATGTCCATGAAACACGTTCAGTTAAAAAAATCTGTGGTAGAATATGTTATGACTTGTTTTATATTAGATGATATTTATGTATTATTTATATATATTCATACTCACAGAAAAAAGTTTAGAAGTTATATAACACTCTGGGAACAGTGGTGAACTTCCAAGGGATTCAAGTATAGGAGCAATTTTGCTTTTCTGTTTGTATATTTCTATATTATTTTTAATTGATATATATACTTTTATAATTAGAAAACAATTAAGCTGAAATTCAAACAACTAAACAAAAATGGGAAAACTATTAGAATTGCTCAGTCCGATGTCTCAAGAATGTTGTAGACAAAGGTGGTGTGTAATTTACAGTGAAATCTCTGAGACATGAATCCAACGAAGTTTCTACATATTTTATGGTAGTTCCTTCTTAGAACAATTAAAATTCTAAGATAATTATATGTGTGGTATCTTTTGCCAAAGGCTCTATGAAAGGCTCTATGGGTTATTTTCAAATACTTTAACACATGAAAAATTACAAGTACAAGCAATCACTGAAATAACTTGAACAAAATCTAGTAAAGAAGGATTAGAACACTGCCCAAAAGTTTGGATTTGCCTCAATATTAAGTTTTTCTTGTAAGTTTTTTTTAAATGAGAATAATTACATTAGAATTATAAGGTATTCTAACGTTTTCAATAAAATTTTATCATAGTTTCTTACAGAATCGTGTGTAAGCAAACTAGATGAGCAATAGTATAGTTTCTTAATGATAAGTTATGGTACTTATTTAACATTTTGAGGTTTATATACATCTTTGCTTGAGTACAAGTAGCCTCTAGAATATGAGTCCATTTCCCTACATATTTCAAGAAGCAACCATTAGTAGTGTATAGGTACTATTCTTAAAAAAGAAAACAAATAAAAATAAACAACTGCCTAGAATGTACTTATAGGAAAATACATATTAGAATCTCTGTCCTGTGTCTCCCTTTCTGTCATTCTTTCAAATAAATAAATCTTAAAAAAAGAAAAAAAATGTTAATTATAATTAACATCATTCTTTTTAAGACATTATTTATTTATTTGAGAAGCAGAGTTACAGAGAGAGGGACAGACAGAAAGGTCTGCTATCCACTGGCTCACTCCCCAGATGGCCACAATGGCCAGAGCTGGGCTGATCCGAAGACCAGAGCCAGGAGCTTCTTCTGGGTCTCCCACGTGGGTGCGGGGGCCCAAGGACTTGAGCCATTCTCCGCTGCTCTCCCATTATATTAGCAGGGAGCTTATTCAGAAGTGGAGCAGCTGGGACAGGAACCACAGCCCATATGGATGTGTGGCTTTAACACGCTGCACCAAACTGCTGCCCCTAATGTCATTGTTTTAAAAAAAAAAATTTGCTTTTAATAAAATAAAATTACCTTAGCCAAGACTACTACTAATAATTCTAGGGGTTTTATATGTCTTTATTTCTTCTTCAGGTTTGGATGAATCTTATCTGGCTATTTGTAGCTAGGAAGATTTCTAAGTTTATGGTAAGTATTTCATTGTGATGCTATTTATATTGTCTGTTTATAGACAGCTGAAACACTGACCTACTGTGAGTATACATGTACATGTGTTTGTAAATAAAATTTTTTTTCAGTTTTGTGGTATGAATTAGTTTCTTGTGACTCGATTTTTTCCCTTTCAATCTATCCAACAATCATACTAAAATAATTTATTAAAAATATCTAAATATTTTAGATTGCTGCCTGTTACAGAAGCAAAACTGTAACTGTAAGAACTGAAGTAAGCTAATATCAGTTAATGAAATAGTTAAATATATGTATTATCTTTAGTTCAGTGATTCACAGGAAATACTTATTCATTTACCAACATCACCATCAGCATCATTATCATAGAAAATAAATGAACAAAGATAAGATATTCATGAAGCCCACTTTAATGATAAATTAGCTAATATCTATTCCACCAAGAAAGGCTGTAAATACAGTTTTATAAAATATAGTGAAACTAATGGTTAAGAATGTTATACTACTAAAGTTTAAGTGATCTGTCATTACTTTAATATTTACTGTATACAGGTGAAATGGTCATTTTTACCTTCAATTATTGTTTATGGCTGTTGTCTATAAGCCCACTAAACTAGGGTCCTTTTGCTTTTTACTTGTTCAGCTTCTTATACAGCATAGGAAGCCTTTTCTACCATAATGTAAGTTTAAAATATGTTATCTCAAAAACTAAAAAAAAAGAAAAGGAGAAGAAAAGAGGGTAGGAGGGATGGAGGAAGGGAATATCATTAAGTTCTTAGAATTGCATTTACAAAGCATACTGAATCTGTTAAAAAGTAATTAAAAATTAAAAAAAGAAAGAAAGAAAGGCTGTCATTACCAGAGGAGCTCTAGGTGGGGCTGCTGCTGAGATAACTCCAGGGCAAACAGCAGGCATTTGAGGAACAGTAAATATGGGTCTAAAGAAAGAGTCTTTCACAAGGGGTCTTCCTAAGAATTGCTGCATCTAAAATAGAAAAGGTAAAAAAAATAAAAATTCTAAACTAACACATATTTAGATATTCATACAAGCATTTAAATATTCATACAGGCAAAGATTTAAATTCATAGAGCAATATATGGGGGAAAACAATGATCTGAATTCTATATACAAACCACATTAAAAACAAAGTAAAAAGGATCTTCAAAAATTAGGTGAAAAAATGTGCATCATGAAAAAGTTGCATGGATTTCAAATTTTTTTCTGTATCAAGAAAAACTTATCTTTTAATTCCATTTTCCACAAACTTATTGAAGTACCTCAAATGTAAGAATATTAATTAAATATATTAATATCTGAAAAAGAAAAGGGCAGTGAGGTATTAAAAAGAGCACTGTAAAAGAAAGAAGGCAACTGGGTTCTTTTTTTCTTTTTTTAAAAAGATTTATTTATTTATTTGAGAGGCATAGTTACAGACAGAGAAATCTTCCATCTGCTAGTTCACTCCCCAAATGGCCGCCAGGGACAGAGCTAGGCCCATTCAAAGCCAGAAGTCAAGAGCTTCTTCCGGGTCTCCCACATGGGTTCAGGGGCCCAAGCACTTGGGCCATCTTCCACTGCTTTCCCAGGCTGTCAGCAGGGAGCTAGATCAATAGAGGCAGCCGGGATATGAACCAATGCCCATACAGGATGCCAGTGATGCAGGCGTGCCAGCTATAGCAATTGGGGTTCTAACCCTGCTTTCTTTCTACCTCGCTGTGTAACCCTGGATGCCAAGTTCCTAATCTATAACATGAGAGTGTTAGATTTGTTGATCTTTAAGGTTCTGTCCCAACTGTAATAACACTGCACGATGCAAGGAGATTCTTAGTGAATGTCTAGGTTGGTGGATTAATACTGCTACTCCGAAATTAGAATTAGAATATGAAATTATCCAAAGAAAATACTACTTTCTCCATTATATTTTATGGCTTCTCAAGGTTATGTTTAGCTCCCAGGAGAGCAGGAAGATGAAGAAGCATGGGCCTGAGGTATACACTCTCCTACAGTAAATTGTTGTTATGCTTGTGACTGTTTTTTTATCTTTGATGGGGTTGTGGAAAACTAGCCCTCTTCATAGTTATCAGTGGTAGACATACTTTGTTGGCTGCAGTAGAGAACGGGACAGATTTATTGAACATCTACCAAATGCTAGACTTAGCATTGGCATAAAACATAAAGAAGGAAGAGTGAAAGAACAATTTGTTGAAATTATAAGAAAAAAAAGCCAACACTGCACTAAACAAGAAGGTACAAAGCCAATGGAGCAGTTAAAAATGGATAGATTGGGGTGGCATTAGAATGCTAATATCAGTAAAAGAAAAACTGCCTTCTAGACAAGAGAAATACATTTTTGAGACAATTGGGGGAATATAATTCTAACTGGACAATTAGATACTAAAAAATGTAATTTTCTGAGGTTGAAACAAGTGTTGATATCATATCCAACAAGAGTTTCTAATTTTTAGGATATATCCTGAAGTATAAATTTATGAAATTATATGATAACTGGGATTTGCTTTAAAATATTCCAATTAAAAGGAAGAAGCAGACAAGAGAAAACAAGATTGACAAAATGTTCATAATGTTGGGACTCATTCTTGGGTTCTCAAAGGTCCCTTATACTATTTTTATGTATGTTTCAAATTTTTAGAATCTAAAATTTTTACATTAATGGATGAGTGGTGGCACTAACTCAATAGTACTGCTTTCTTTGAGAATCACTACTACCTGACACTTTGAGGATTAAGCAGACAGGGCCCCAATATCAAGACATAATGAAATATAAAAAATACTGGATTAAACTGGGAACAGTTCACTTTAACTGGACTTTTCAGGTTAGATTACTATATATTTTAGTGACCAGCCCTTAGAACACTTAGACTCTCATAGATAGATAAGGCATTAGTCATCAGATCATTTAGTATGGCATCTAATTTATTCATGGGAAAATCAAAGTTCAGAATGGCTGATTTTTCCAAGATCAACTACAGCTCCACACATAGTCCTCCCTATTATACTTAATTACACAACACTGCCTCAATTTACAGCAAATAGCACTGTTACATTTCAAGCATTTGTTCTCTCAAACTGTTTTACAGATGCTTAATGGTCACTGATGCTTAGAATTTAACACAATTGTTATGCATGACTAAGCACAGCAGTGACTATTGTTAGGAAGCATAAAAGATACACATGTACTACTCAGACTATTAGCAAGGCATGCTTATGAACTGCCACAGAGCCTCATTGTCAGTTTTAGCCCTTAACTAAACAGGTAAGCCACATCTCTTTATCCAAAGGGATAAAGGCTTGGAGTGTCAGGGAATCAAGGTCTGACTGTGTTTCTCAGTGTATCACTGGTAGCAAACAGCCAAGGCTGATGAGGGTCTGCTTACAAGAAAATCTAGAGAACAACTTTGTGTACCTAGCTTCTTTTTTTTTTTTTTTTTTGACAGGCAGAGTTAGACAGCGAGAGAGCCAGAGAGCCAGACAGAAAAGTCTTCCTTTTTCCGTTGGTTCACCCCGAAGTGGCTGCTATGGCTGGCACACTGCGCCAATCCGAAGCCAGGAGCCAGGTGCTTCCTCCTGGTCTCCCATGTGGGTGCAGGGCCCAAGGACTTGGGCCATCCTCCACTGCCTTCCCGGGCCACAGCAGAGAGCTGGACTGGAAGAGGAGCAACCGGGACAGAATCGGCACCCTGACCGGGAGTAGAACCGGGTGTGCCGGCGCCACAGATGGAGGATCAGCCTAGTGAGCCATGGTGCCGGCCTATACCTAGCTTCTACAAACATTTTATATATAGAATTATGGGAATATTGATGGGTGATATTTTGAATATGGACAAAAGGTACAAGGTCTTTAGAAATCCTTCAAAAAATATGTGTTTCTTCTGGTAAAACAGTAGGGACTCTTTGGGGTTTCCTAGAAAAACAACGTGTAGAAAAGTATGCTACCATGGAAACAAATTGGACCAACAATCTAAAAGGAAATACTATCAATCTAAACAAAAGTTCATGTTGTATATGACAAAAATCTTTTAGCTGTAAATTCTGAAATAAATAGTATAATCCTTTTTTTTTTTTTTTTTGATCCAAAGCCAGGAGTCAAGTGCTTCTCCTGGTCTCCCATGCAGGTGCAGGGCCCAAGGACTTGGGCCATCCTCCACTGCACTCCCGGGCCACAGCAGAGAGCTGGACAGGAAGAGGGGCAACCGGGACAGAATCCGGCGCCCTGACTGGGACTAGAACCCAGGGTGATAGCGCCGCAGGCAGAGGATTAGCCTATTGAGCCGCAGCACCAGCCAATAGTATAATCCTACACAATTCATGTAACTTCAATTTTTTAATTTTTAAAATTTTTAATTAACATGTTAATAAGTGTACATTTTATGTGTACAGTGCAATGACCACACTAGGTAACTAGTTCTATTATCAATTCAATATAATTTTTGACTGTTGTACTCAAACATGAGTAAAAATAACACTTTTAGAGTTCTACAAGCCATTTGAGCCCAAATATTTTACAGCTTTCTTTTCTACTTGCTACCAGATTTATTATAGCACACATGATCATCAAATGGTACTTTCTTTGAGATCTTTTAAGAAGCTGTATATATTTATTGTGTTAGAGTACTATGTCTCCTAGAAAGGTAGCATAAATAGTATATAAATAGGACAAAGATTAGTTTATCTGATTAAGATCCACAGGCTCCTAGGAGCTGTATGTTTTGTTGAAGGTAAACTAATATATAAAATGGGAGGGAAAACATCTAAGGTAGAAGAGGAAGAGTGAAGTCCAGCTGTCTGGACGATTATGTGGAGAATTTCCAGTCATCCAATAGTAATATGAGGACATTAAGAATTCTGAAGATTCATTAGTTACATCTTGTAATGTAGGTAAGATTGATAGGATGAATAATAACAAATGAATCACTAACATTCAGACTTCAGGATACAACAGAATGCACTGGCTTCTGCTGAGCCAGCCAACCAATTGTATTATCTGGTGACTAGTAGGTGTGGAAAAATTTGCTACTAGTATTCACAACATGTGTTTACCTCATTCTGAACACACATTAACCATATTGTATATTCAGTTTTGGAGCCCGAATTTATTTTTATCAAAATAAAGATCGTCATTTTTTAAAAAAATGTCATCTTTCTTACCAGAATCTCAGGACTGGGTGGTGGTGGAGGAAGCTGGACTGGAGGCAAAGTACTCAGCGCAAACCCTTGCTTTACCTTGTTGATTTGTTCATTATACTGTGTCTGGAAGAAGGAAAGGAAATGTATTATAGCCCATTCAAGTTTAAAGAAACAGTATATGAGAATACTTAATGCAGTTTGAAAAATATAATACAGAGTAGTGATTCCCAACATATTTTATATTAATTAGAAATAATATAAAAATTTCTAGCAATTCCCAACATATTTTAGAAATAATATAAAAAGTTCCAAACAAAAAAGAAATATATAAATCACTATCCTTACACGTAAATATCTTTATAAAAGTGTTAACTGACAAGAAACACAGACCCATCATTGACAATCTTGCAAATATTTTTCAATGTCTGTATAATTTTCAGCTTTTGATGGTCATCTATGGCCAAATGGATGAAACCAGAAGACATTACGTTAAATGAAATATCAGGCACAGAAAGAAAAACACTGTATGTTTTTATTTTTGTGGCAAAATAGCTAGAACTGGAGGATTTATGCTAAGTGAAATAAGCCTGGCACAGAAATTTTTACTTATATGTGGAAGTTAAAAAACACTGATTTTATAGAAGAGAGTAGAATTGTGATTACTAGAAACACAAGAAAGGGGTATTAGATAACAGGTACTAAAATACAGTAAGACAGGAACAATAACTTCCACTGTTCTAAAGCACAGTTGGCTGATTAGAGTTTCTAATTTACTATATTTGACAAAGAACTAAAAGAGAGAATTCATGGACTCCAAACACAAGATGGAAATACTAATTATCTTGATTTGAATATTGCACACTTTATACATGTACTGAATTACTGGACTCTACCCCACAAATATGTACAATTATGAACTGATTTAAACTTTAAAAAAAAAAAAAACAGAAAAAACCCTCAAAGCATGGTAACTATGTGAGGCAACTGATGTGTTCATTTGTAGAAATCATTTCACAATGTATTTATAAATCAAATCATCACATTATACACTCTGAATATACTATAAATAGTTTTTGTCAAGAATATCTCAAGCTGAAATAAAATCTCAAAGCATTTCTTCATATACAGACACACACACACACATAAAAAGAAAAAAACCCAAGGAAAATTTTTGAGAATACTTATTAAACACACATATTTTGCTTATCTCAAAAGCTATGTACCTGGCCGGTGCTGCGGCTCACTAGGCTAATCCTCCGCCTTGCGGCACCGGCACACCGGGTTCTAGTTCCGGTCGGGGCGCCAGATTCTGTCCCGGTTGCCCCTCTTCCAGGCCAGCTCTCTGCTGTGGCCAGGGAGTGCAGTGGAGGATGGCCCAAGTACTTGGGCCCTGCACTCCATGGGAGACCAGGATAAGTACCTGGCTCCTGCCATCGGATCAGTGTGGTGCGCAGGTCGCAGCGCGCCGGCCGCGGCGGCCATTGGAGGGTGAACCAACGGCAAAGGAAGACCTTTCTCTCTGTCTCTCTCTCTCACTGTCCACTCTGCCTATCAAAAAAAAAAAAAAAAAGCTATTTACCTAAATTTCTCCAGCTCTATGTTTTAAAATCTTCAATTTTGCTAAAAATAACACTACAATCCTGGAAGCTCAACATGTTTTCAACATTTTTTGGCACTGTCCCCATTTTTGCTTAACCTTATTGTTTTAAACACCCAACAAGAGCCTTAAAAAAAAGTCTTACAAAAAATATTAAGAGATTTCCATATAGAGGACAAGTACATGGAAGAAAACAGGGATAGAAAATAAGGGACAGATCTTTGGAGGCCAAAACCTGAATAAACCTGTAGTGCTAAGCATCACTACAGACTGAATAAGACTCTGGAAAAAAAACAGCAGAAACCACAAGGAGAAAGCTGGTCAAGTCTGCAGTGCTTTCAAGTAGCTCTTCACAACTGAGTCATTATTTTTCTGCTGGTAGTGTTGTGAAATCACAAAATAATCAACATTATATACCAATTTTAATATATAAATATAAAAGACTTTAAACCAAATTAATTAACAAATATTCAGTGGGTTAACTCTTTAAACAATCTTTAGGGTGACCTTAATTCTATTAATAATTATTTTTTATAATGGAACAGTTCCATAAAAAGACTAAAAACTAATATAGACCAACTTGATTTTCCTTTTATTTCTGTAAATACATCCTTAATCAAAGCTAAGTGTTTTTTTTTTTTTTTTTTTTTTTAAGATTTACTTATCTTTGAAAGGCAGAGAAGACAGAGTGATCTTCTACCTGCTGGTTCACTCCCAATGGGCTGCAACAGTCAGGCTAGTCCAGGCTGCAGCTGGGAGCTGAAAACTCCATCTGGGTCTCCCACATGAGTGGCAGGGACCAGACCCAAGTACCTGATGCCTCCAAAGTGCATCCGTAGGAAGCTGGATTGGAAGCAGCGGAGCCAGGACTCCAACCATACTCCCATATGGGATGCCAGCATCTCAAGTTGCAGCTTACTCTGAGCCACAACACTGGCCCCAAAATATTTATTTTTGATTGAGGCAGAGTTAGTTTTGTAATTCTAGGAAAACTAGGCATGAGCCACAATTTTTGAGTTTAATTGTTTCTTGGAATAAGGATCCAAAATATTTCACGTGAGTCTAGATATTATCTACAACAACAGTATTCAAAGCAATCTCAAACTGAAAGTATAAACTTTGATAACTGAAATGTTCTTTCTTAAAGTTTGTTCCTAATTGCTTTTAATGTGAGTTGTCTTCTTTAAAAATATACCAGGGGTGGGCCCAGCACTGTGGTATACTGGGCTAACCCTCCGACTACAGTGCCAGCATCCCATATGGGTGTTAGTTTGTGTCCTGGATGCTTCTCTTCTGATCCAGCTCTTTGCTACGGCCTGGGAAAGCAGTGAAAAATGCCCCAAGTGCTTGGGCTCCTACACCATGTGGGAGACCAGGAAGAAGCTCCTGGTTCCTGGCTATGGATAGGTTCAGCTCTGCTTCTCAAATAAATAAATAAATAAAATTAAAAAAATATATATATATATATACACCACCCATAATATTTTGCCATTTTACTCTAAATGTACATCAGGACTTACCCTAAGGAACGCAATCTTGTTTCTAACATCCGCTACAATGGCATTCCAACTATCTACTGCAGCCTTTAATTGAAGTGATTCTAGGTTGCTGGTGTAGAAAAGGAGACACAAGAGAAAGCTCTTTCTTTTTATATAACACTTGAGTTTCCACAAACTGCCATTAAATTCTCTGGCATATATGTAAATAATACAAAACAATAAAAGTATCTCCTCTCACCAACAATTATTTTAAATGAGTACAAAGATGCACAGAAACTCTTGCTATTAAAAATAAAAATTAGTAATATGTAACAATTTTGTCAACAGCAAATATAACTTATGCTTCCAATGTACCAAGTTTTTTTTTTTTTTTTTTATCTATCTTGGAAATATTTTGTTTTAGAACAAATTATAAAGTCTTTGCCTAGGAATAAATCCAATGTAGTAGGAAAGCAAAGAAGGCTAAACAGAGAAATTTCTTCAGTCATCTGATGCAGCAACATTCTCAAAAATGTTTACCCATCTTGGAAGCAGGTTTGGACTATCTCCACATTAACACTGATGTCTCTGTGACACGACTGGCCTATCTGGCTCCTTTGTAAATTAGAAAAAGCATTTCTCGAAGGGCAAATTACAAAGAGGTTCCCTTCATAAGAGGATGAGTGAAACAGCTGTCTTTGCATAGTGCATAAATTGTACAAGTACAGCAGCTCCATTTAACCAATGCCCACCAAATGATTTAATGACATAACTAAGGAGGAATCACTTCAGGATCTTTGGTGTCTACAATATCTCAGAGATATTCCTTTCATGTGGCTGTTATAACACCCCCACATGAGTATTTCCAATATAACAATTTTAAAACAGCAGAATAAGTTATCGTTAATATCATTTTATATAAAGTCTTCATGATATTCTAGATTATACAATATCCTTTGTCCCTGTAGCCAGCAAAGATAGACTGATCACTTAACAACAGTATTTCCTCATCTGAATGCATATTTTGAGTATATCCTGGGAATCTTGCTAAACATCAGGGATACTGATTCTTTAGAATTAAAGAACAATGATGACCATCACCATTAAAAAAAAATCATTTCTTGAGCCCAGAGATTCTAATTTAATTAATTATTTGAGAATATAAATGGAAGGAGAATTTCAGGCAATCTATTCAACATTTGAAAACTGCTTGTTCATAGCATAGCAGGAAACTACTTTTAAAGAGTGAATTTCATGTTAATTCTTATTTTTTCCTAAAAGTATTTCAAAGATATTACAATCAAGAACTAGAAGGGAAAAACAATTATAAAAGTTTTCCAGCTAGAATCTACCTTGTTTTGTAAATTTGTGGGATTCATTCAAATTTCTATGACTTTTGATCTATTCACTATGGATAAAGGGAATAATCTACAGCTATTACAGTACTCAGTAGATTTTTTTGGTGCTTTGGCTAAGCCACAAAGTACGAGCATCAAATTAACTCAATGACTTACTTTGGAAGTTTAAAAAAACAACGACTTCTTCACTCCAAAGATTCCTAATATTATATAAAAAAAGACCTAACAGATTATGTTTACCTGGGAGACACTTGTGAATATCTGTCAACTCAAGATATACTAAGGAAGAGGGAAAGCTTACCTCGCTGCCATGTGAGTTACCCTGGCAAGCTGACTGAGACACTCCTTTTCAGTTTGCTCTAAATGAAGCAAACCAAAATCTCTTCGACACTGTAAGAAATACACCTACAGATTTTTCAGAAAAAGAGAAAGAAGTTGAAAGTATCCTTCTTGTAAATGAATATTCTCTTCTTAATCATCTCAACAAGTAAATTTTAAGGTATTTTTCAATCTTGGTAAACAGTACCTTGACTTCCTAACCATTCAAGATATATTAGCTGTAAACACCACTGCACTCAGACCAGCCCATTCAGGATACATTATAAATGTTTTTTAGTTCAATGCAATTCTGTAATTTTGTTATTCAATGGCTACTGGGTTCATAAATATTCTAGAACATTAATTTTCATATTTGCACATATACTGGAATCATCTCAGAAACTGGAAATATTGCCTTCGTTCTACATATTCTAAGTTAACTGATACTGGATATAGTCTGGGAATTTTAGCTTTTTCAAAATGTTGAGGTAAACTAATATGCAGCCAAGTTTGAGAACACTCAAAACAAGTAGTAGTATATATATAATACATAATTACATATTTATAAACTTCTCCCTCTACCCCTCCATTGTTGAAGAGGTAGTAAAAAACAATCAGAACATATAGAAACATACACTTTGATCCAAGTGTGAGCTTGGAGATCATCAAGTACAACAGTTCTCACAAAGAAGGAATCCTTACCACATCATTACTGATGCAGTCATTTAGATTTCTTTTTTTAAATTATCAATCACTCAGCATTCACTAAAAATTATATTCTTGGATAGCATTAAGGTGTTAGTAAGTTCTTCCTTTCTAAAATTAATAACAGGAGCAGAAAGAAATTTCCTGACAGTATACAAACACTAATTTTAATATAATCTGAGCCTTTTCTTTTGTTAAAAGCTAGTAGGATCCCGTCACCATTCTCCAATGTTCAGGTATCAATTCTTGGTTGTTGACTTCAGAATTCCAAGTACTCTGCTAGAGAATACAGCTTACCCATGACAGAGGTGGGAAGGTTTGTAATGCTTTTAATGTCAGCGAGCTCTCCAAAAATGTGAATCTTACTGTATACCAAGTTTGGTAATCTATAAATAAAAATTACATACACACATACAATCACATTTCTTTTGAGAAACCCTAGCCGTGGTGTTCTAAGCTAACTTAGAAGAAATTGGGTGACTTTCTGGGGGTCTGGAAAGTAAGTTGGTTTTTGACATTAGGATTTATAATGTGTGTTTATCTTTGGAAGCTCTATATAGGAAGGAGCAGAGAAAGGAGATACTACAGCAGCAGTGAAATATTATTCCTAGAAGTTTGCCTTAGTGAACTTACTTCATAAGCATTTTCTCAAGATGTCTATGTTTGCTATACAGACTGCAATGGACCAACTTGTTGGAGTCATTGAAGAAAACAACAATATATTAAAACAAGTATTCATACACAAAATGACAAAATAGCACAAGAGTTTGAGCTGTTTTCCTGGCCAATCCTAAAATGTCTTATTTTGTTCAATAAGAAAAAAAAACCACATTTTTCCCCAATACTTCAGTATATTAGTACATGAGTAAGCTTCCTTCTCATACCCTCTCCCCCTCCCCAAAACTTCTTCCTTACCTCAGCTGTTAAAGCTCTGCTAGTTTCTGCATTCAGTTTGTTTAAGTATGTTTTCATTGTGCTTTCCAGATTATGTTTCTCAATTTCCCACTGAGATCTGAAACAAACATGATCATTAAAGAGCTAGCAACACTACAGCAAGGACAGCCAGTCTTTTTCATCTTGTTCAGGAAGATGAAAGTACAAGCTACAGAATGAGTAAGAAATGATTGCTTAGAAAACATATATAGTACTTAAAAAAAGAGAAAACACTGCTTTCTTCTGTGTTTCTTTTTTTTTTTCAGAATGTATAAGTTTTAAAGTTATCAATATATGGGTTATAATTAAAAGCTTGGACTTAAAATCAAGTTGTCTAATAATGAAACTCAGATCCACATTTTTTTTTTTTTTTTACTTATTTATTTGACAGGCAGAGTTAGACAGTGAGAGAGACAGAGAGAAAGGTCTTCTTTCCATTGGTTGACCCCCCAAATGGCCGCTACAGCCAGCGCTGTGCCAATCTGAAGCCAGGAGCCAGGTGCTTCCTCCTGGTCTCCCATGCGGGTGCAGGGGCCCAATCACTTGGGTCATCCTCCACTGCCTTCCCGGGCCACAGCAGAGAGCTGACTGGAAGAGGAGCAGCTGGGACTAGAACCCGGCGCCCCTATGGGATGCAGGTGCCACAGGAGAAGGATTAAGTGAGCCATGGCGCCATGCCCAACTCCACATGTTTTTTTTAATATAAAATCTTAGTCAAGTGAAATGGACTGAAATTGTATTCCTCAAAATCCAAGTTAAAATTCCAACCCCTAAGGCAAAGTTTAAGGAAGAGGTACATTTGGGAGGTGAGTAATTAGTTCATGAGGGTGGGCACCTCAAGAACAGGATTCTTGCTTTATAAACAAGGTCTGAGTGAGCTCCCTTGCCCCTTCCATCATGTGTGGCTTCAGTGAGTAAATAGCTCTCTAGGAGGAAATGGATTTTCACCAGACTCTGAATCTATAGTACCTTGATTTTGAACTTCGCTGGCTTCATAATTGTGAGAAATAAATTTAGGTTATTTGTACACCACAAAGACAACGATATTTTGTTACAGCAGCCCAAATTAAGACAGCAAATAAAAGTGGAGAGAATTTTATTGCTTACCTTAAAGATGTGCTATGAAAATCCATTCAGATAATACATATAAAGCATTTTGAATCTGGCATATAAGTACTAAATAATTGTTGGTTATTATCATGACTAATAAATTTTACATAAAATTTCTTTAAGCCCTTTTAATAATTTCAACAATAGCACTTAGCTGGGTTTTTATTATTTTTGTCATAAAGTGGAGTCACTACATTAAATTATTTTATTGACTATTTCAATGCTCACATTCAACACCTTAGAATGAAATTTTAGAGCTTGAGAGGGAAGAAAGAAGATAACGGTAAAGATATTGCTTCTACAGAGAACTATGGAAAACAGCTACCTATAGTTTTATTTTTTCCTATCCAATGTCACCATCCTGTGATAGGAATTGAGTCCCGGAATTTGAGGGTACAAATGAAACTGTCTTCAATGAAAATAGTTACTTAAATATACAACATTATAATAGGGGCCACCTTAAAAGCATCCTTAATGTTATATTATAAATCCTTGGATTATTGAGGATCTGATAAACACTGATGAGAATCTTGGTTATAATACATTGTAAATACCATTAAGGACAGTTTTATTGTAGGAAAGAAACCAGGGGTTGGCACTATGGTATAGTGGGTTAGGTTCCTGGCCTGCAACGTTGGCACCTCATATGAATGCTAGTTTGAGTCCAGGCTGCTCTACTTCCAATCCAGCTCCATGCTAATGCATCAGGGAAAGCAGTGGATGATGGCCCAAGTCTTTGGGCCCCTGTACCCTCTTGGAGACCAGGAAGAAACTCTTGGCTCCTGGCTTCAGAGTGGCTCAGCTCCAGCGGTTGTGACCATTTGGGGAGTGAACCAGCAGATGGAAGACCTCTCTCCCTCTCCCTCTCTCTCTCTCTCCCTCTCTCTATAACTCCAGCTTTCAAATAAATAAATCTTTTAAAAAAAATCTAAAATATTCAAGCAGATATATTAACACAAGAGAGATGATTAGGTCATTAAATATTTTGAAAAAAATACTTTATTAAAACTAAAACTACTAAGTAAATGACATCATTAGGAAAACAAGAGTGAACCCAATGAATGAAAAAAAATCTGCAAATCATGTATCTGATAACAGATTTGCATCCAGAACACACCAAAAACTCTGAAAACAGAATAAAGAGATAAATTAACTTAAAATTAGGAAAGGATTTGAAGAGATATTTCCCCAAGAAGAGACACAAATGGCCAATAAGCATATGAAAAGATGCTCAACATAATTTTTCATAAAAAGCAAATCATAACCAAAATAGTATACCGCTTTACTTATAATACAATAATAAAATAAAAACAGACAATCTAACAGGTGTTGGTGAGAATATGGAGAAATCAGAACCACTATATAATTAGACTGTAAAATGATGCAACCACTTGGAAAACAGTTAGGCAACTCCTCAAAATGCTGAACAGAAAGTTTACTGATGGTTCAGCAATTCTATTCTTTGGTATAAACCCAAGACACATGAAATAGGTTCATAAAAAACAGAACTATATGTAAGTTAACTAGTTAACTGTTCATAAGAACATTCTTTCTAGTAGCCACATTTTTAAAAAGCAGGGATAAGACAAAAATATTCATCAACTGATTTAAAGATAAAATGTATATCCAAACTCTGAGATAATATGTATCCATTAAAAATGATTTCATTTCATGAAATGTCCAGTACAAGCAAATAGAGACAGAAAGTAGAATAGTTGTTGTCATAGGCTGAAGGAGATAAAATTAGAGAATGACTTCAAATGGATATATAATATTTAGAGGAATGATAAAAATATTCTAGAAAAAAAATAGTGGTGATGGGTATATACTTCTGTGAATATATTAAAAAGCCATGAGCTGCACATTTTAAAAGAATGAATTTTATGCTATATTAATTACATCTCAGATAAGCTGTTATAAGAAAAACTTACTGACAGGCAAAAACAAGTGAATCAGAATAAAACTTAGCCACTTTCACAAAGCAGTTATACCCTGCAGTTTTGAAATCAGAAAGAAGAACTCCTAAGTTCTAGTCCTTAACAAAAGTTTCTTGTGGGAGTTTAATTTTGATAATTCAATCTGTCTCAGCAGTTTCCAGAGTTAAGGGTACCATGCCTCCCACTTTTCTCAAAGCACCTTTCTCAAAACACCTACTGTCCTTATGGAATTATTAATTCGCTGGACATTATGCTGAAGAGTACCTCGATTTGAGTGATGAATTACATGGCTACACAACTGAGAATATGTTGAGATGAAAACAATTTCAAAGACCACAGCAACCAAAGAAACAGCTAAATTTGTACCTTTTTAAGGAAAGTTGCTCTTTAAGGTTCTTGATTTCATTATCTTTAGCGTGGATTTGACGCTGTAATCTAAGCAAAGAAAGTGATAAAATGTTGGAAAGTATTTCTCAGTAACACAGTCAGAACAGCTCTATCAGTAGCTAAGGAGAAAATTATGAATGTACATTTTAGGCCACAAAGCTTGAGCCTGAAAACAGTAACTGAATTCATACACCTGGTCATTTTGAAATGTCTGGTGTTGGTCTCTGTTGTCTAATTTCCTGACTTCCAAAAGAAAAGAAAGAAGGCTAGAGAGAAGTATTATGTTTTCAGCTCAACAATTTAGAAAAACATCTTTAGCTCTTTGTACTTTCCCCACTAGAGAACAGAGATGACATCTCCTGATTTTCTAAGTCTACTGGGAAATTGAAAACTTTCAATTCCTTAAAGAACTATTATACTGTTAAGCAAATTATTAAAGACAAAGGTAATAATCAAAGAAATCAGATCTTGAATACAGAAGCAATGAAGCTATATGCAAAAAAAATTTTTAATTAAAATATATTACATGTAACTTGGCACTTATATGACCTAATCATAAAAAAGAATGAAAATTTTATATAAATCAGAAAACATAACACTGATCAGTTTAAAAATTACCACATAAGAAACCACTGAAAGAAATGCAAAGTAATACCTTTTGGTTAACATATTCACATACCAGTTTTTTAATGTTCATCCTTGTAGTACTGTATCTCTTTTCATAGTAAGTCTTTATATAAACCTGTTAATTAGCTTCAACATGAAGAGATTTCTAGCAAAAGTGTATTTCCTTTAAGTCTCTAATATCTCCAAACTATTGCGTTAAATAGCTTGGTTAGTATATATTATTGGCATGCTAAAATATTTAAAGAATGACTTCAGGGATGGCTAGACTGCTCAATATTAGGTTTCAGAGACTACTTTCTCTTACTTTAAGCTTCCTAGAAGCCACAGAGACTTACAATCAATGTTTGGTTGGACTAACAACGCAGTGGAAAGAAACCAAGTCTCTGTAACTATAAAAGCGGTGTGTTCTCAAGTGAAGAAATACTGGCTTCCCTACTATGATATACAGAAATAAATACACTGAGTTGAAAAGTGTCTACCCCTAAAGAGGGTGACAAGAGTTATCACAACTAGTAGAGAATTCAGAAAAATTGGATCATTAAATAATAGAGGATAAGCTAGGCACAATCAGTGCTATCCATCTAGGATACGAACCATTATATGTTCAGGCAGTCATAACTTCTATTTTATTTTTCTTGTGTAATAGTCAAGAGGGTCTGATTATTGGGCTTTCTTTTATAAAACATCTAAAGTTCTCAATTTTGCTGGCCATCAAGTTTATTATATGGATTTTATTGGACAGTAGTATCTTGACATTTATTAAAAGCTTATTAGAATTTATGTAAAATAGGTCACTTTTACCTATAGTTTTGCCAATGTTTCAGTTATTATCAATAAATATTTTTTGTCACTGAGCAAGTTCTTTTATTTTATTTTAGTTTTTTAAATTAATACAGGATATGTGAACATCTTTACAACAAGGCCAGATGCCTGATCTATACTTTTACTTTCAATCTACCTATGTTGTTGAATTCAAAATGAGTTTTTTGTAAGTAATGTGTTGTTGGGTCACATTTTCTTGGTTTGTTTTTAAATTCTGTTTGTCAGACTGTTTTTGTTTTGTTTTATTATTTGACAGAAAGAGTTAGACAGTGAGAGAGAGAAAGGTCTTCCGTTGGTTTACCCCCCAAATGGCCCCTATGGCCGGAGCCATGCCCATCCGAAGCCAGGAGCCAGGGGCTTGCTCCTGGTCTCCCAAGCGGGTGCAGGGGCCCAAGCACTTGGGCCATCCTCCACTGCCTTCCCGGGCCACAGCAGAGAGCTGACTGGAAGAGGAGCAGCTGGGACTAGAACCTGGCGCCCATATGGGATGCCGGTGCAACAGGCAGAGGATTTGCCAAGTGAGCCATGGCGCCGGCTCCCCAGACTGTGTTTTTACTAGTTTATTTATTTGTTTATTTATTTATTTTAATTAAAAATTTTTTTTTAATTTATTTGACAGATACAGTTAGACAGTGAGAGAGAGACAGAGAGAAAGGTCTTCCTTCCATTGGTTCACCCCCTAAATGGGCGTTATGCCCAGCGCTGCACCAATCCGAAACCAGGAGCCAGGTGCTTCCTCCTGGTCTCCCATGCGGGTGCAGGGGCCCAAACACCTGGGCCATCCTCCACTGCCTTCTCGGGCCACAGCAGAGAGCTGGACTGGAAGAGGAGCAACTGGGACTAGAACCCAGCACCTATATGGGATGCTGGTGCCACAGGTGGAGGATTAACCACGTGAGCCATGGCACTGGCCCCTACTAGTGTATTTATAACATTCACACTTAAAGTAGTTATTGATATGTTAAGGCTTAAGTCTGCCATTTCATTATTTTCTTACTTTCTTATGGGTTATTTAAACATTTTTATATTGGATCTTGACTTACTGTGTTTTTGAGTATATCTCTTTTTGCAGCCTTCTTAGTGGCTGCAATAGGTATAAAATACATGTACTTAATTCATTACCATCCACTGATATTGATCTTTTTTTTCTACAGAAACCCTACTCTCATTTAGGTAATTTTATCCTTCAATTTTAATATATAGTGTTATTTTCTCTGCATACATTGAATTCCACATTGTATGAGTCATAATTTTTACTTCAATCATCAAATATTATTTAAGAAGTTAGTGAGATGCAGAATGGACTTAAAATGTATCCCTCTCTTACTCATTCTGATAGTTTCTGAAGTTTCAAGCTTTTGTTGTCAATACCTTTATGTTTAGAGATCTTACTATGGGTACTCATTAAGGGCAGATTTGCTAGAGACAAATTGTTATACTTTTCCTTTGTCTGACACTGTCTTATTTCCCTTGATACCTTGAAGATGTTTTCTCCGGATACAGGATATATGGTTCTATTCTCTTTCAGTAACTGAATAATACACTACTTCGTTTGGTTTCCATGGTTTTAGATGAAAAATCTGCTGTTATCCAAATTAGAATTCCCACATAAGTATTATTTTTGCCTGCCTCCTTTCCCAGTGTTTCTTTGTCTTTGATTTTGTGAAGTTTATTTGTGTCACTATGGATTTCTTTGGGTTTTTACCATATATGGTTCACTTAGCTTCTTGAATTTGTAAATTTATGCATTTAATCAAATTCAGCAACTTTTTGGTCATTTCTTGAATACTTCTTGAGTCCTTTCTTTCTGTTCTCTTTCTGGAACTCTGACAATAGGAACTTTAGTTCTTTTGCTATTGTCCCAGATGTATCTCTCTTTTAAACTTTCTTTCCAAGCTATTTTTTCTTTGTTTTTCAGAATGGTTAAATTCTATTCATCTGACATTCACTGATTCAATCTTTTGTCATTTCCACTAAGTGACTATGCAGCAAGCTTTTAACTCAGTAAGTTCTTAATTTTAGTAAGTTCTATAACTTCCATTGTTTATTATAACTTTATTTCTTTACTGATATTTTCTAGGTTTTCATTTCTCTCAAAAATGTAATTTTGTTGAAGCATTTTTATGATTGTTGCTTTAAAAACTTCATCAGTTAATTCTAACATCTCATTCATTGTAAAATTGTCAATCGTTAGTCATGTCTCATTCATGCTGTGATTTTCCTGCAGCTTGCTGTGAGGAGTGTTTTCTATTGTAGCCAATGTTTTGGATATCATGAGATTCTGAGTTCAACATCATCTTCGTAGTTTTAACGAGCAGTCAGTCCTCTTTCAAGTCTAATGTAAGGGCAGAGCAGGTATGTATGTTCACTGTCACACTGAGCACAGCCAACAGTGCCACCCCAGCAAAAGTGGAGACTGACCCATACTGCCTCAATACAGATGAGAAGCATGGAAGTTCAGTTCCTCTCTCGGCATACTGACACATTTCTCTGTAAGTGAGGCATCAACTCATACTGCCTTTTTGCCTCCAAGAGGAGTATAAGATCAGCTCTCTGCTGATGCCAGAAAAGAAGAAAGCAAAGGGCTGCCCCACATTGCTTTGTTGCTGCAGAACCGAGACTTGCTGCTGTGCTCTTATGGGATCAGCTGAGAGAGGGTTACATGAACTGCCAATACCAATTAGTCCTAGGGTCAGAGACTTAGCTCCTCATGTTGTGTGTGTGGGATGGCCGAGATGAAGCCTACTATCAACTAATACCGGATTGCATTGCCTTGTGAAGCCTCATTGATAGTGGATACTGGCACATTCTGGCAGAGGAAATGGAATGCCACCTCCTTCTACCTCGTAGGACTGGGAGAGCAGCTGCCTATTCAGTATGGTGACCCAAGCCTAGCAGTGGAACAGGCTTGCTGCTATATAAACTTCTGTGAATTGGTGAATCAGAGTGCATTGATACTTCTGAGTAGTAATATGGAGACTATTGGTGTTTGGCTGTAGTAAAATGAGTATTGTCAAAAATGTTTTATATTATTATATTTTCCTTTTCTTAATCTTTTAGATACAGGGAATAGGTGTTTTCTTTCTTTTTTTTTCCTTCCCCTCCTCTCTCTGCTTAATGGAAGTACCAGGGCTTCTACAGATCCCTGTTGGGATATATAGGAGGAAACAGGGTAACTTATTCTCTTTTCATTTCTTAAGTTCCAATGTTTTTAAGCAGTATGATGTCTTCTTCTACCTTTTGGAGTATTATTTGCTTGTTTGTTGTGTCATATCCAAGGTGTTTGAGTTGTAAGAGGAAGCAGCTTTTATGAATACAGCTACTACATTTTTGACAGAACTAGAAGACCCTCTGTTATGTATAATTTTAATCCTCATATTAATCCATATGCTATGTTAACTCACAATAAATGTCTCACATATCTTGGTATCTTCTATCTTATTCCTTAAATTATTCTGAAACAGTAAGTACTTGATAAATGTTTCATAAATATTCAACACTGAATGTTCCCCTTAAGTCTATCTGTTGTCACAAGCACACAAGGGTATATGGACCAGATGTCAGAGTTAAGATGGGCTATCTTCAAATGGTGAAGGAGTGGTAGCTCATCCTCACTGATGGCATTGCTATTCTGATCTTGGATATTATAAGACATATTTCTGGATTGGTCATCATCTTCCAGGATAAAATACAAAGTCTTGAATCCTAAAGTACAGGTTCTTACACTACTGCAGTCAGTTAAGTTTTTCCAAATTTTCTTATGTTTTCACTTCTTAACTTGAAGGATATCTTTAATTCCACTAGGAACAATGAAAGTGTTTGGTAAAAAATATTAACATTCTATGAATTATAGTGGATTTTAAACTAGACTTCATGGAAGTCTGGAGTCTTGTGGCATCACTATTTATTAAAATAATGTGTTAGAAATTACGCTACTATTTCAGTTGATATAGGTCCAAGTTGGGGGTAGTGATCATCTCAAAAAGAATAATTCAATTAACTAATTTTTTTCCATCTTAAAACTGATTTTTTCATCTTAGGCATTTTAATATTTATCAGTAGAAAAGAGACCCATAGGTATGGACAGAATCTCCATGAATTTGTTCTTTTTTCAATCTCTCAGACTTAGAATACAAATACTCTGAAAGGCCAACATAAAAAAGTACTTACTTGATTTCCCAAGTGTTTTAGAGAATGCACTCATCATAAACTTAAAAAACAGCGAATCACTGGTCAGAGTTTTACAAATTAGAACTACAATCTGAAAGTTAATTATCTTTCTCATGTAATTATATTATCTTCATAACTGTACAGCCAATATATGAAAAGCCTGATTTATAGAATGAATAGCTGCTTACTTAATCCAGTTGGCAACAAAAAAATGTGGTTGGTTTTTAAGCAAGTGTTAAGTGTGGTTGGAGTTTCCATTATGCAGTCACAATGCCACCTAGTGGTAACATAGAGATTTTCTGCTGAAGAGAGGGAACAAACAGAATTTTCCTTCTTATCAAAAGATTGGCACTTACTTGGAAACCTTATTGATTCCAAAGGCCACTTGTTGGTTAAGAGATGCAATGATTTTGTCTTTCTTTTTGATCTGTATTTGGTTTTCTTGCCACCGAAAAGTTACTGTTTTCAACTGTCTTTTGTAATCCTGTTCAATAGAAATATCAGTTAATTCTGTTCAATTCACCAGAATTTCAAAGAAAACGAACTGTGTTTTAAAAAAATAAAATACTATTAATTTGAACACTTGATATACTTCTAACTTTCCTCAGATTTAAAAATACTAACCTCACATTGATAATGCAATTTGTAAAGCTGATGTTGACGAGCAAGCCTTTCTTTTTCAGTTTCTCCATAATCTGCAGACACCTTGCCAGTTGAGCCCTATTGAGCAAATGGAGAATACATATATTATTTTCCTCAAAAAGAAGCATTGACCTTTTAGTTTTTAACGTGGATTTAAAATTACCATCTAACTCGTGCTTTCTGTGAAAACCAAAACATTGCTTCTTTGATTAGTTTAGATTAACTCACCTTCCCCCAATTACAACATGCACTGAACAGACTTGGCTGCTGGGGCTACCTACTACTTAATACTACCTGGATCCTTACCATTTTTGAAAGTGTTTTCTGTTTTTAAAGATTTCTTTATTTTATTTGAAAGTGAGAGTTACACAGAGAGAGAAGGAGAGGCAGAGAGAGAGACAGACAGACAGACAGGTTTTCCATCTGCTGGTTCACTCCGTATTTGGCCACAACAGCAGGAGCTGTGCTGATCTGAAGCCAGGAGCCAGGAGCCACTTCTGGGTCTCCCACACGGGTGCAGGGGCCCAAGGACTTGGGCCATCTTCTACTGCTTTCCAGGCCACAGCAGAGAGCTGGATTGGAAGTGGAGCAGCCAGATCTCGAACCAGCACCCATATGGGATGCCCGTATTTCAGGCAGAGGCTTAACCCGCTACATCACTGTGCTGGCCCCTGAAAGTATTTTCTTTGCAACGCTTTTACTATCAACAAAAACCATTGGAGTTAGGTACTCACTGTACTCATTTTAGAGATGATAAAACTAGTTACTTGCTCAGTAAGAAAGACAATAAGTGAAGTAGCCTGAATTCTAACTCATGCAGTCTTAATAGCCCAAGTACTTAAAAACCACACTGGAATAATAAAGCACACATTCATCTTAATTTAATGTTTAGCTTCTTTACCAGATTATATATATTTTGATAACAGGGATCAGGCTTTAGCATTGGTCTTGAAACAATGCAAGTGCTAAATGGCTTTTCAATAAATGAATAAACATTGTTCAAACGGTGTATGACATTTTGTTTCTATTTTCAAGTTTTCTATTTTTTTAACTTTTATTTAATGAATATAAATTTCCAAAGTACAGCTTATGGATTACAATGGCTTCCCCTGCCTCATAACTTGCCTCCCACCCGCAACCCTCCCCTTTCCCGCTCCCTCTCCCCTTCCATTCACATCAAGATTTTCAATTCTCTTTATATACAGAAGATCAATTTAGTATATATTAAATAAAGATTTCAACAGTTTGTACCCACATAGCAACACAAAGTGAAAAATACTGTTTGAGTACTAGTTATAGCATTAAATCACAATGTACAGCACATTAAGGACAGAGATCCTACATGAGGAGTAAGTGCACAGTGACTCCTGTTGTTGACTTAACAAATTGACACTCTTGTTTATGGCATCAGTAATCACCCTAGGCTCTTGTCATGAGCTGCCATAGCTATGGAAGCCTTTTGAGTTCACCGACTCTTATCATATTTAGACAAGGTCATAGTCAAAGTGGAAGTTCTTTCCTCCCTTCAGAGAAAGGTACCTCCTTTGTGATGACCTGTTCTTTCCACTGGGATCTCATAATCACTGAATGAAAACCAGAGGTCACCTGTTTGTTTAACTCTTTAATGTAATATCCAAAGCAATGACTATGTTGTTTCTATTAAAATATACATAAAATTTCAATTGAAGAAGAGAAAAAAATGGTACAATAATTTTATGAATGCTATACTAACAACCAGGGAATCATCCAAAGTAACTGTATCTGTTACTATTCCTAAATACTATATATAATTTTATTTAGACTATTCATAAATACTATATATAATTTTATTTAGACTACAGATCAGATTATCATGAATTTTCATGTGTGGGTAATAGCTTATTTTGCTTAGTCCTATTAAGTACTCTACTGAACACTTAAATCATTTCACATGCCTGTTTGCACACATCATTTGAAGCAGTAACTACTATCATGAAAGGAACATAAAAAAGAAAATGTTGCATATTTTTCTGTAGATGTTTCATGATAACACCAGGTTCAGTTAAAAAAATATAACAGCAGCTTTGTTTCACAAAGCTATCTTTTTCATGATATTTAATCCAATGGAATATGCCAGTATTTTTTCCTGTGGTATTCAAAAACTCTTGGAAAAGTATGGATTTGTAATCAACACTGCACGTTAGATAAGGATAGGAAATGGTTTGAGGACTAAAATGGAAGCACTTCCAACTCCTAGGATTCTTTTTTTCCAGTTTTGTTTTTCTTCATGCATTCTTTCATTTCCTTTCTTGTTTTTTCTTTCTGCACATAAACAGCATAGAGCACTTCGCTTCTCAAGGAGTCATGCTACTAAAAATATTCTATAGAAAATCAGGTAACAACTGTTTCTGGAAGAAGGAAGGTAGGGTTGTACCTTTTTCAGTCATGCTTACCTGCTCTATCATGTCCAGAATATGCAATTCATCCAGGCTATAGAACTTTTCTTCAGTTGCAGAATCTTCTTGAACATCACTTCCATCATCTTTTATGAATCTACTGACTGGGTGTGGATTTTCTTGTTCTTCCTTCAACTGCTCTTCCTTTTCCATCATATATGAACTACAGTGGTGATATGATCAATACAACCTTTTACAACTGTATAGTGCCTTTCATCTAAGCTATTATTTCTTAAGTTAGCACTGTAGTGGTCTCATGAGATGTTCACCATTGGAAAGATTCATGGTCACAGAAAGTTTGAACAGTGTTCACACTACAACTCTCTTTTGATAATTCACTAAGAATATTAGCATATGTGAGAGAGAACTCAATCAAGGTATCTATTTAAATCTGTTCCTCCAAAAGTTTTTAAGAATTAGGAGACTTGAATTCATTTTCTAGATCATAACTATTAACATATTACTTAGGGAAACAACAGTTTGAAAAATAATGACAACTACTTCCATATCTGCTACTTTATTTTCCATTAAAACATTATTTTTCCCTGAAAGCATCATCCTTGATAGGTAGTGTGATTTAATCAATCTCCGTGTTTATGTCCAAAGTACCTCTAGAGGGTTGCAAATGGTACCATGAAGCAGAAAATAGAAGTTTCTTTGCTTAATAGTACTTTAAAAAAAATAAATAAAACATGGTTTCCTATAACTTAACTACTAACAGGGACCACTAAAATAAAATGAAAAAACTACATATAGAGTGGCAATTAACTGATTTTATGCTTTTGTGTAAATTTGAAATGCATGTTAACTAGTCTGTTAGCTGGGTTACTAATCAATAACTATTAATTTCTTCTCTTTCACTGAGTGATAGCAAAAATAGTATTTTTACTTAACGCATAATATAGATGACTTGATTGTGATTGTGAATGAAACTCTCGAATATATTATTACTTTTTTTAGGTCACTGAAATTTAGAGACAAATGACATCTATTGTTTATAGCATAATTCATAAAGCACTATATATACAGTTTTACTATTTATATAAACTGGGTTTCACTGAGGTATTACAGAATCATCCAAACATTTTTGAAAATTCAGTGAAATCAATTGTTTAAATAGATCACTTTTCCTCAAACCCATTTAATTTTCTGAATTACATGAATAACTTTTTAAAAAGTTAAGTATTTCCAGGTACTCTTACAACTATAAAAATATAGGTAAACTTGTGTTTTTGGAAAGCTCTCCACACTTATTCCTAAATTTTTAAAGTATAATAACATCAGGATAATAAAAGAAAATGTTCTGTATTTCTAAGAGGACCAAACTGAGGAATGACAGGATAAAACAAATAATAAAACATCAAAGGAAGTATGAAACAAGTGTGAAAAAGAAATAATTGCTGAATTAAGATGATTGGTATATATAATGCTATTGTATATGTATTATTCTCTTTACTTTTATGTGTATTTGAAAACTCTAATTTAAAAACAAAGTTATCTGGGTGACCTGATCAATATTCAGAGTGGGATCTACAATATAAGTAAATAAAACTAAATAATTGATGACATTGTTGTATCTTTATTACATTATTCTGATATCTGGATGGAGTCTGAATGAGACTATTGCTCCAATGGCCTGCTACTGCCAAAGTAAAAACACATCTTGGATGGTGAAGAGCTGTTTTACATACTGAATGGATCATGCTCATTAAAAATAAGAAAACACTGAGTACAAGTGATAACTTTAAAATTAAAGTATGTTCTGTTGCTATTTGAAAGGTAATTATGTCCTCAGAGTTCTGTAAAGTTACTAATATTAAGTTAACAAACTTTGGTGAGAATAATGATCTCTTCATTAGTGTCTCTCCCCATCCTTATATACTACATTGGCATCAATCATATGGTTATCAAACTGATCTTGTGGCATTAATATATTTCCATTAAAGGTTCAAAATGACTGTCAACAACTATAATAAAGAAAAAATTCCACATTAAATTACAAAAAACAAACTAAAACTGTTTTGTAAAAGTTGTTACTCGGTCATAACAATGATATACTTTTTTAAAGATTTATTTATTTATTTGAAAGTCAGAGTTACACAAAGAGAGAAGGCGAGGCAGAGAGAGAGAGAGAAAGGAAGAGGTCTTCCATCCTCTGGTTCACTCCCCAGTTGGCCCTAAGGGTTGGAACTGTGCCAATCTGAAGCCAGGAGCCAGGAGCTTCCTCCAGGTCTTCCCATTCAGGTGTAGGGGCCCAAGGACTTGGCTCATCTTCCACTGCTTTCCCAGGTCATAGCAGAGAGCTGGATCAGAAGTGGAGCAGCAGGGACTCGAACTGGTGCCCAAATGGGATGCTGGCACTGTGGGTGGCGGCTATACCTGCTAAGCCACTGTGCCAGCCCAAATGATATATCTTTTAAAGTCTTATTTAGTCTAGACTTGGCCAATCATGAAGAAGAGTATATTTTAAAAGATTTTCTGCTGAATTTAAGTTAGTCCTTAAATGAAGTAGCTAGCACTGGATATCTCAATGAATAGTGGTGAGAGATTCTATTCTTCTAAAACAAATGATAATTCAATTTTTGTTGCTTTCTATAAAAGGCAGCAACTTATTAAGACAAAAAAATGGGGCCAGCATTGTGGCACAGCAATTAAAGCCACCGCCTGTGACTCCAGTATCCATATGGACACTAGTTCAAGTCACAGCTGCTCCACTTCTGATCCAGCGCCCTGCTAATTTGCCTGGGAAAGCAGCAGAGGAAGGCCCAAGTACTTGGGCCCTTGCACCTGTGTGGGAGACCCAGAAGAAGCTCCTGGCTCTTGCCTTCAGACCATCCCAGCTCTGGCCATCAGGGCTATTTGGGGAAAGAACCAGTGGATGGAAGATCTCTTCCATCTCTGTAACTCCACCTCTCAAATAAAAAACAAAAAAAAACCAAAAAAAAACACTGTACTTTCTTCTGTTATACTACTTCCCAAAGGACAGCTATGTTACATTGGCAAAGCACACCTTAAAAATACTAAGAAAAAATTAAAAATTAAATAAGCAAATACTTACACTTGCTCTTCTTTTGATTCCTTATTCTGAAAAAAAAAAAAAAAAGCATCAAGAATTAGTAACATATCAAGTAGGTCATCATGACATAATGAGATGACCACATTTAGGTTAGTATATCTCAAACTGATCACAAACAAAATGAATACATGTTATATCAGGCTGTATGCATAATGTATAATGTATAATTATGTATACATAATATCTTCATTTATAATAGTAAAATCTAAGTTTCATGAAATGAACCTTACCACATTATACGTGATGGACTCTGGTATTTCTTATTCCTATTTACTCCATTTCCTTTTTAAAGTGGTGTTGTGATCCACTGAACTGATTTTTTAATACGCTACTGAGTCATGAAGCATAAATTGAAAATCAGGTTCAGAAAACCAAACTGAGTAGTGATGTTGAGTTTGTATCTCTTGATATACCTAGGGACAAGGTAACTGTAAAAGTTGTTGAAAGTCTAAATGTAAGGAAAATTAGACTCAATTTTTATGAGTTCTTGTTTATAAGAACATTCAGGATCTTCTGCATCATAGGTACAATGTTGTATAGACAAGTTTCATTTCCGTCCTTATCTGTATACTAAGAGAACTGTTGTGTTTCATTGTCTGATTTTCTGCTAAAATCCTAGTGCTAACTTGATGCTATGAATCAGAATTATTGACTCCTGTCTTGGTTCCAGTATATCTGAATGAACACGTGGCATTAGGAAGACCCTCAGTTGTTCATAATGACCATAACTAACATAATTGATTATTTCTCAACTCCTTTTTAGCTCTTCCTATTACAACTTTATGTCATTGCAGGTATTAGTCTACCATTTACCCATCTCTACAACTTCTCTCCTGTTTTAAGGCCACCCAGTTTGAAGGAGCAGATTTATTTTGTGCCATGTTTCTTTTTTTCCCAAGATTTCATCACAAAGACCTTCTACTTGTCTGCCCACCTTCACTCTGAGTGGCAGATGGAGGGATCTAACTAACCCTCAAAAGAGTTATCTACAATTTGAATGTATTAGAAGCTAGCTATTTGAAGAAAGGGAATACACACATAGCACATAGTCAGAAGTTATCTGTACTGTCTTCTCTATTTGTTATAGTGCAAAGTCTATTTTTCATTATATTCAAATAGGTATTTTTCAGTAGTACTGTTATAATTAACAGAAGACAAAACTTCAGGCAAGAAACTATCACTCTGTATAACAAAACAAATTCCTGCATGTTACAATTTTTCAAGAGAAATTAATAATCAGAGAATTTGTATAACTTCACTTTTTATAACTGGTTGCTTATACTACAACTAGACAATTCCTTGGACCTTCAGTTAAAGTGTAAATGAAGATACATATTGAATATGTGATAGTTGTATATATACACTTTAGTATTTTTAGGTCTTATACTTCAAATTCTTTTAATAAATTGGAAAATTCAGGATATTAAATAAAAAGTTCTTATATATCTGCTGACATTCAATGGGAAAATTTTAATATTGCTAGTTATGAATTTTCAAGAAGTATTTACATTCATTTCTAGTCATGTTGTTTTCTGTTTAATTTCAATTTTATCTACCAATGGGGCTTTCTTTTTAAAATTTTGAGCATTATCATATTTTAACTTTTTGGAAATAAAGGAGAGACATATTATATATACTCATGAAATTTTGCTTTGTGGCTTGATAGCTGTCATTTACATGGCCAGCTCATGTGGTATTGGACTTGGGACTTAACAATAGTTTGACAAAAATTTAAAAATCACTAAACAAATGAACTAGGCTGTTTTATCAGGTAAGAACTGTCTAGAAAAAGAAAAAAAAACTTCCTTCTCATGTCTTTAAATGTTTATAACAACATTTAAATAAGTTATAATAAATGATGGCTATGATAACATGAAAATGATATTGTTATTTCATTTATCAGACTGGAATATAAATTATTTTGTTCCTGACTGCAATAACTATTTTGTAAATTCATCTTCATTGTCTCAAGCTTTATTTAGAATTAACATCTGTGTATATTATATGTCTCACCAATTTGTAATTGAGCAAATATTCTCACCATTTATAATATATGGAGTATATTTTCAATATGTTTCAAGCCAGAAAAGTAGTATTTTTCCCACCACAAAATTTCTATAGTTTAGTGATTAGCTATATGCATGATAAAAACAAAAACAAAAACACTCCTGCCTTTACCTTGTAGTTTTCCAAGCAATTAAGAGACATTGTGCTAAAACAAGAAAGGGAGTAGCTAAGCAGTTAAGATGCTCCTGTCTCATATCCAAGTGCCTGGGTTTGATTCCTGGATGTAGCTCCTGACTACAGATTCCTACCAAAACAGCCACTCAGAGGTAGTGGTGATGGCTCAAATAATTGGATTCCTTCTACCCCCATGGCAGCCTTAGATTGTGTCCCTTGCTTCTGTGCTCAGGCCTCAGCCCAGCCTAAGCCATTACTGACATTTAGGGAGTTAACCAGTAGATGGGAGCTCTGTCTCTTTTTTTTTTTTTTTTTTTTTGACAGGCAGAGTGGACAGTGAGAGAGAGAGAGACAGAGAGAAAGGTCTTCCTTTGCCGTTGGTTCACCCTCCAATGGCCGCCGCGGCCGCGCGCTGATCCGAAGCCAGGAACCAGGTGCTTCTCCTGGCCTCCCATGCGGGTGCAGGGCCCAAGGACTTGGGCCATCCTCCATTGCCCTCCCGGGCCACAGCAGAGAGCTGGCCTGGAAGAGGGGCAACCGGGACAGAATCCGGCGCCCCGACTGGGACTAGAACCCGGTGTGCCGGCGCCGCAGGCAGAGGATTAGCCTATTGAGCCGCGGCGCTGGCCCCTTTGACTTTCAAATAAACTTCTAAACAATAAAAAAAACTATGCTCCAGATAGTGACTTCTTCATTTTAGAACTTGCAAAAATCAAAAAAGAGGCAATGAATAAAGTATGTATTTGTATCATTTTTAATATAATTTACTGCATTGTTGGCATACTCGTAAATATAAAGAAAGAAACCAAGATTACTTAAAATTTTGAAAAATGTGTCTGAGCATATAGTAAAAACATGACAAAAAGCGGTTTTTAAACGATGAGTAGGCATTTTAAACGTGATAGTGATGAAATTAATGAAATTTCCTAGTGATTAGTTTACTCTACTTGTATATTCAAATGTATAATGATTTCAGGACTTAGTGCTTAAATCACTTAGGATATAATATATGTAGACTTCTTTATAATTATATATTCAGTAAAGTATTGATTCATTGTGCTTTATTTTCACCTAGACAAATTTAAAGCTTAATCATGTATTCAAGTATTAAATTCTATCATAATCAGATATCCCTCTATTATAAGTTAATAAGCCTCTTACCTTTTTATTCTTAGTCTTTTTCTTTTTCTTTGGTTTACTCTTAACCTAGTAAGTAAGAAATAAATCATTTATTTAATACGTAATTCAAACTGCATAATAGGTTATTTTGCAAAATATGTTTCCTCTAACTTAAGGTTTTTGTATTTAAACACTATATATCATATTTCTTCCACATTCTATGGGTTCTATGAATTTGAGTTACATTTATTTCAATTATTTTTATTTTAATCGTAGTTGTCTTCTCTTGAAAAGTAACTCATAGTGTAATGGAACAAAATACAATATCAACAAAAAGGCTACTCAGGGTGGGCATTGCGGCACAGCAGATTAGGCTGGGGCTTGGGTTGCCTGCAACCCATGAGTGTGGTTTGAGTTCTGGTACCTCTGTTTCTGACACAAAATCCTGCTGATGCACCGAGGAGGCAGTAGACGATGACCTCAGTGCTTGGATCCTTGCCACTCATGTGGGAAACCCTGAGGAGGTTTTTGGCTTCTAGCTTTGGCCTGGCCCAGCCTTAGTTGTTGGGGAACAAAACAGTGGGTTAAAGACCTCACTGTCTCACTGTGTTGCTCTGATTTTCTTTTCTTTCTTTCTTTTTTTAAGATTTATTTATTTACTTGAAAGTCAGAGTTACACAAAGAGAGAAGGAGAGCCAAAGAGAGAGAGAGGTCTTCCATCCACTAGTTCACTCCCCAACTGGCTGCAACAGCTGGAGCTGGGCCGATCTGAAGCCAGGAGCCAGGAGCTTCCTCCAGGTCTCCCACCTAGGTGCAAGGGCCCAAGGATTTGGGCCATCTTCTACTGCTTCCCCAGGCCATAGTAGAGAGCTGAACTGGAAATGGAGCAGCAGGGACTCGAAAGGGTGCCCATATGGGATGCCAGCACTGCAGGTGGCGGCTTTACCCGCTACACCAGGTGCCAGCCCTGAGTCACTCTGATTTTCAAAAAAATAAAAAATAAAAAACTATTTTTTTTAAACTTACAGATTCTCAGATGCTGGGCATGTGAGTAACAAGGGAGGTAGGCATTTTTAAAAAGTAGCATATTCATGTGGACAAGATGAAAATTTAGCCTAAGAATGACTTAGTGACTATATAATAATAGTTATTAGTTATCTGTAAAAAAATACAGAGATTCCACCTTGTATAATTTTAATTCTATCTTTGTGAAAATGATATTGAAATACCCCAGTTTTCTCTAGCTTTCTCTCTATTTCCAACTATACTTTCTACTACCATCTCATATCCACGATCATTAATCTGGATGAATTAATACATTTAAAAATTTTCATGAAGTCCAGCACTGCGGCATAGCAGGTTAAACTGCTGCCACTTGGGACACTCCTATCCCATACTGGAGTGATGATGATCATTTCTGATCCACCTCTCTGCTAATGTTCCTGGGAATCAACAGGTGATGGCTTAAGTACTAGAGTTCCTGACATCTACATGGGAGACCCAGATGGACTTCCTGGCTCTTGGCTTCAGCATAGTATAGCACAGCTGCTGCAGTCATCTGGGGAGTGAACCGCAGATGGAAGATCTCCCTCTCTCTCCCTCTGCTGCTCTACGTTTCAAATAAATAAATATGCATTTTTAAAATCAGCATAACAGCTCTGTTTAAGTGTCCAGTAATGCTGGCAAAATAAATGGTAATGGTGGGAAAGATTATGGAAGAAAATACTGAGGAAAAAAACCAATTCAGCTCTATATGAATACTATGATAAATAATACTTTAAGGAGAGTACATGCAAAAAAACCCATAAGCTTATAATAATATCTACAATATAAAATATTAATGAAAGCTTATACTTCCTGAAGATCTTTAATGGATTCTGTTGATGATTCACTAAGTATTGAGGCCCCATCTTTATTTATTTCTGCTAACTGTATTTCAGGCTGTGATTTCACATTTATATTGTATTCCATAAGAGGTGGACTTAGTTCTTCTTCCTCATTCTGTAACTCTTCTATTTCAATACCTAAATATTAAAGAAAAAGTATTCAAAAATCAGAATGCACATCATTTTAGTCTCTTATCAATGTCAGGTTTGTTAAAAAAAAAGTCCCAGAAATAGAACACTTCTTTTGATTTCTAGATGAAAATGTAAAGTGAGCTATCAACTATAAAATAATAGTACACATACACTATCTTGGAATCACTTAGTATGGATATAAATGCTGTAAGACCTTACTGTTGTCTTACATAAATTCTAGCTATTAGATATTCTGGAACTTAAATAGGATTTAAATATTGAGTTTTTGAGTGTCCTGACATTGACCCTATTAATACTGTAACTAGTATTATTTTAGGATATAAACCTGAAATATGAAGAATAAAAGCTAAAAGATCTACTTTTTTCTTCTTTCTTTAGCTCTACATTATGTGACTTCTATTTTGATACCATGTCCCTCATTATTGCCCCAGAGACTCAATCTCAAAATTTATGGACTTTGATGGGTCACAGACAGCCCAACATTTAACTATAAACAAACCCATTGTGTTGTTTTCTTAAGTACAATTTAAAATGCAGACTATGAATGAAAAAAAATCACAAAAATGGAAACTAAAATAGCAATTCACCACCTAGCAAAAAAGTAGCAGCTATAAACAATAGTTTATCACATAACATTTACATATGCTAAAAAACACATACAAACAGGTGGAGGAATAGGTAGTCATTTTTGGCTGCTGTAATAACATCATCCTTAGATAAACTCTGGGGAACAAGCACAAATACCAAGGCAGAGTAAGGCTCATCCTAGATTCAGATGACCAGTATGACTGAAGCATTACATGAAGCTTTTTTAACAGTTTATCGCTTCTCGGCCTTTTGGCTAAGATCAAGTATAGTTTATCATACTCTATTGATCCAGTAAAAGTTCCATAGGAATTCCTAATTAAAGGTCACTTAGGTATTTTGCTTTTAAATATACTTACGTTGACTGCCTGTTATTGATTGTAGAGCAATTCCTATGATACACAAAGAAAAAATTTAGATGTACAATTGCAAATGCAACCAACAAATGTTTGGGATTAGAAAAAGCCAGAATATTTTAAAATTGTATTATTTGATATTATAGGTACTTATAAAAATAACCAGCTGTGCTCATCAAACCAGTTTAGACAAGGTACAATCTCTAGATTATAAAAGTTAGAAACTCAGAAGTAGATAGAGGAAAGTAAACAAAAATCAATACTTCATAATAGTCAAATCCTAGAACATAACACACTTTAAATCAAGCAATAATTATATTTTATTGTGAAAAGCTATACAAAGTACTAATAGTCAATTATGAAGCAAATCTCACTGCAAATTTGAGCCTTTTTCTTGGAATCTGATTTATCAATAGCACTGCCTCTCCTTGCTCATTAATATTTCTTGAACACGTACAATGTGCATCAGGTTTGCTCTGAAGATTGAATGGTGAAGAAATGGACAATCTTCATGAAGATTTAGTGGGATATGGATGTTAATCAAATAATCAGATAGAGAAATAAAAACTGCAACTAATAATTGAGGAAAGAGATATAAGATGCTAAGAAATACTCTCTGAAAGAGACTTGACAAATAAGCTGTTCAGATAACCTTAATGAGAACTGCTTGAAAAGCCTTGAATTGAGTTAGTGCTCAAAACTCTTTTCCAAACATTACCTTATCCTCATGAGTTTTCACAATTTAAAATCTTAAGAGAATAAATATGTATAAAAGACCTTAATTTATAAATCAAGGGTTACTGCCTGATTTTTAAAAATACCAAACTCAACATTGCATTGTTTTAAACTAAGAAACAAGAATTCTCAACAGATTAAGCAGGAAAACAAAGTCATCCAAAGGCATTAGCAAGAGCACCAGGACTGGGGAATAGCAATTATCTTTCAAGAAAATCTGGACCAGGACAATAACTACTAGAAACTTGGGAAGTTGTGGCCACCAGTGGATCATTAGGCAATACGACTAGTAACCTGGGACCAGGAAATGTTATCCAGACCAGCACAGCAAGGGTTTCAGTGAAGCTGTTGGGCCATGGATTACCATTATTAAGAGGAGAGCTCAGAAGTGGTCCCTTGGATACAGAGGGGAGGTCTTGATGTCTTTCTCATGTCAACAGACAAATCCAGGAATGGTCACAGTTGAAAGCAGATATCTGCCTGATTGTTAAAATTATCCAGTCAACGGCTAGCTGCTAAAATTTTAAATTAATCATTAATTCTAGGTCCTCCTAGAAAGGAAAAGAAACATATACCCACTGTATCTAAAAAGGGCATCCTTGAAATCACACAGTTCATTTCAGGATTTTAGGCATCCTTAGTTATATAGAAGTGATGAAACTCATCTATTAAAAACCTTCAATTCCTTTCTTAATATATAAACTCAATATGACAAGAAAAATTCTCTTGAATGTATTTTTTCTATAAACTCTTTTCTATTTTAACCTCAGTAAAGCTATTTTTTTCAGTTCCCTGCATTGTAATAAATTTTTGTTTCTAACCTTTGTTGTTTGCCTTTGACACATCCTTTTCTTTATCTTTTCCACTTGACTAACTTCCACATGTCCCTTAAAAGTTCTTTAGATATTATATTCTTCAGAAAGCTTTTCTGTACTCCTTTAAACTAGGATCTCCCATAGTATTCTGGAAAAATCTCCAGCACTCATTTAAACTCCTTGTCCTTTGCACTGTGCCTGGCATAGAGCAGATACTCAGTGAAGGTTTACTGGCTGAAGTAAATAATTACTTAGTACCTTGTTGATAGCAGGATAACATCCTCTGGATGATTTCTGGTACTGGTATGCCCAGGTAGATGGATAGCTGATGGTAATCAAGTGAGATATTCTCAATGGGATTCTCTTTCACTTTGTCAATATCCTCTTGCTTCATGCCAAGGCGTAGAAGAATATCTGAAACTTTTTTCCAAATTGAATTGAACTGCGACTCAGTGAGACCATTCATCAAAATCTCACTAAGGAGGATATCCCTGTATTTGCACAGCCGCAGGATGTCTGCAGACTTAGAGAGATCAGAAGATGATGGTTCCATATTCCAGCCTTTTTTGGGTGCAGGGAATACATTCAAATGTTTTATGAGAGCTAATAGGAGGCATAAGTCAAATTGTTTGGACTGTGGTAGCTCCTTGTTTGGGGGATAAAGTAGATGCCATGATCCACCCAAAGGGTGATTGGTCCAAAGATGGTTGTAGTAGGATTCCAGTACATTCTTGTGTATAAGCAGCTCTTTTCTCAATAGAGGGGGTGGCATAGCCTCATCAAATATTTGCCGGACAATGTCAGTACCAGAAATAATAATTATATGAAGCAGATGGTAGAAATAACTATAATCAAGTTTGAAGATTGGCATTTCATCTGAAAATGAATTTTGAGAAGTCAAGACATTCCACATTAATGATCTTTTTCTATGTGGTCTCTTGTATTACATCCTAAGCTTCTGTAGGATGAGAATTATTCCAAAAGAACGAAGAACAATACGTGCTTTGTCACATTCAAGGTCAGTAAGCAAAGACAATGTCACCAAGCAGAAGTAATCACAAGGACTAACCATCACAGAAGCCTTTAAGATTTTGTTCAAGTAACTGAGTTTTGGCAACCAAACAACATCAGAGTATTAACACGTGAAAATTCTGAAATTTCTAAAAGTTGTTAACTACCAATTTTAAACAATACTCATACTTTATCCTAATCATCACTAACCAACAGATTCTTGTATGATGAAAATAGTTTATAGTTGCATGGTACACTATTCTTTGAACACTGGAAATGTTGCTTCTTACTAAGGAACAGAGTTCTATATTTTATTTCATTTAATTAGTTTAAATTTAAATAACAACATACCACTATTGACTATCACATATCACAAATTATATCAAGATATATAAAGTTATCTAAAGCCTTTCTAGGGCGGCGCCGTGACTCAATAGGCTAATCCTCCACCTGCGGCGCTGGCACCCCAGGTTCTAGTCCCGGTCGGGGCACCGGATTCTGTCCCGGTTGCCCCTCTTCCAGGCCAGCTCTCTGCTGTGGCCTGGGAGTGCAGTGGAGGATGGCCCAAGTCCCTGGGCCCTGCACCCGCATGGGAGACCAGGATAAGTACCTGACTCCTGCCTTCGGATCAGCGCGGTGCGCTGGCCGTGGAGCACCGGCCGCAGCGGCTCTTGGAGGGTGAACCAACGGCAAAGGAAGACCTTTCTCTCTGTCTCTCTCTCTCACTGTCCACTCTGCCTGTCCAAAACAAAACAAAAACAAAAACAAAAAATAAAGCCTTTCTAGTCAGACCATGGTGGACAGATACCCAGCATCAGCATCCACCTGGGAGCAATTAAAAATACAGACTCTTAAGCACTTCTCCAGACCTGATGAACTGGCATGTGTACTTTTCAAAAGTCACTACATTTGATTTTAGCCAAAAGGCTAAAAAGTGATAGAAAAACACTGATTTAATACCCCTCATGCTCCTATATCTCTTCAAAGGACAAACTGATAAGTAGGCATTTTATCAACAAAATGGAATAAAGCATGAAAGTGAATTATTTGTTATTTTTCCAGCTTAACAGAATTTCCAAAGGAGGAAAGTAGAATAGGTGAATTAGAAAGTAAAGAATTCGGTATATGATGGTATTTCATTTTTGTATGCATAGCAAAATGTATGTTTATCATAATGTATATCTTTATTATTTCATCCTTCTGATTTTATGTCTTAAGAGATTTTTAAATTAATATATTTGCTTGATACACTTGACTTACACTTTACAGAGCAAATAAAATTAAAAAGCAAGTAATTCAGGGATATTTCTCTGTGTTGTCAAATAAAGAGATAGCTGGGATTAGGGGCATCTGTTCCCTTTAGGAAAAAGGACTTCAACTAAACTCTTCTTCCATAGGACACGGATGGCATAAAAGGGCTGGCAGGGTATTTTTAGAAGCACACTTTTACAATAGCTGGCACCTAAGTTTACACGAGTTGCCCCTCAAGTCAAAATGTTCATCCTTTTCAGGTAAGGCCACATTCATATTTGTGATCTACTAAGAGGGAATACAACAAGGGAGCAGGTATTGGTAGAAAACCTCCACTGGAGGAAGAATCTCATTGTGCAGTCAAAGCTATACTAAGACGCACAATGCCTCTTTATAGAAAGCCAAGGCCATATGAGAGTGTAGTATCCACAGATCTTGGTAAGCGCTCCAGCTTACACTAAGTGCTCCTTGCTATATAAACCCAAACCCAGTGAATGATACAAAAAAATAAAAAAACACATGTGAAAACATGCTGGTTAATGGCAGAATAGTTTACAGGGCAAATAAAAATTTTAACACACTTTTCAACAGGAGGCATATAAAAATAAAATAATACCTTTTGTATTAAATTTTAAGCTTATCTTCGGTCTTATATCAGTATCAGCTATTTTGAGAGACATCAACTTTTTATAGCTGCAAGCAGAAAAATATTTTTATGTTAAATTAATATCAAAGTTAGTCAAGATTTGGGATATAAGCACGTTAAGTGGAAATAAGTGAAACCAAAAGAGAAAAATAAACAAATAGAGGGGCCAACACTGTGGCATAGTGGGCTAAGCCTCTGCCTGTGGCACCAGCACTCCATATGGGTGCCAGTTTGTGTCCCTACTGCTCCTCTTCAATCCAGCTCTCTGCCATGGCCTGAGAAAGCAGTAGAAGATAGTGCAAGTGCTTGGGTCCCTGCACCCACATGGGACACCAACTCTTGGCTCCTGGCTTCAGATTGGCCCATCTTTGGTGGTTGCAGCCATTTGGGGAGTGAACCAGCAGATGGAAGACCTCTCTCTCTGTCTCTCCCTTTCTGTAACTTCTACCTAAGACACACCATTGTAATGTTTCAGATAGATTGAAAAATGTTAGATATTTATATTTTAGATAAAAAAGTAGGACAGTCAATTAGGATAACTTTTTATATTGAAAGTTCTGATTTCAATATCAATACTTTTTTTTTTGACAGGCAGAGTGGACAGTGAGAGAAAGGTCTTCCTTTCACCATTGGTTCACCCCCCAATGACCGCTGTGGCCGGCGCACCACGCTGATCCAAAGCCAGGAGCCAGGTGTTTCTCTTGGTCTCCCATGTGGGTGCAGGGCCCAACGACTTCGGCCATCCTCCACTGCACTCCCGGGCCATAGCAGAGAGCTGGACTGGAAGAGGAGTAACCGGGACAGAATCCAGCGCCCTGATCAGGACTAGAAGCCAGGGTGCTGGCACCGCAGGCGGAGGATTAGCCTATTGAGCCGCAGAACTGGCCAACACTTTTCACCTCTATGAATTCTAGGCTAAAAATATACATTACTCTGTGAGACAGTTTTCTCTTCTAAGTAACAGAAAAAATTCTAATTGTCTGACAAGCTTGGAGACCTGGGTGAGTTTTGAAAGATGGGATAAAGTGTTTATATTATAACAATCTAACTTTAATAAAGCAAGAAAAATATGTTTTGTTTTCAGGAAAGGATTATTGTCACACTTGAAGGAAAAATATCCACATAATTTCTCCCTTCCTGCTTTAAAAGATAAATGTCTACAGTAGTAAAGATGGATGACAAATAGCAAAATATGATATTTTTACATACTTAATTCTACCTTAAAATTCAGTGGAGCAAACGATTAATGGAAACACAGAAAAAAAGTAGCAACTAAAAAATGCATACATATATACTTGTTCAGAAAAAAAGTAAGAGTATTTTATTTCCAACTGACCTTGCTCCCAAATTTTCGATGGTTATATATTCATCCTTTCTTACAACTTCAAACTGCAAGTGACAGAAAAATATTAGCTGTAAAGTAGTTCAATTTTCAAAACTCTTTAATGTTTTTAATGAAAAAAAAAAGAAAATGAAACCACAATATAGAATAACAGAAGTAACAATGTGAGCAATTAATAATCCTAATCAAACAAGAAATTATAGTTAACATTAAAAAGTAGTATTTTACTCATTATAGGATTTGAATCCCAAATTTGAAATACAAACATATCTAAGAAATAAGATACATTCTATTCATAATATTTGCCTTTTTAGTTAGAAACTGAAAATTCAACAAGATTTTTCACCTGAATGCATTTTATCTAACAGGTACAACATGTAATGTTATACAGATATTTTCTCAGGAAGAGATTTACAGACTAAAAAAAGATTCAGAAGTTTAAAATTATTTTTAGCTCTAGGTGGAAGAGAACTAGATAAAGTATCTTTCCTGGTTTATGATACTCTCCTCACTGATACAGTCATGGCACATTTGTCTCTGTTTTTCTCTGTGTATCTCTTTTTCTATTTTAAGTATTTCTTGGTCTTAGAGACTATTTACATACTATTTTGGGTAAATCATAGCAACAGAAAGGGTAGAGAGCTTAGCTATCATCAGAAAAAACAGGGAGAATCCTGTTTTGATACCTAAATCTGTTCCCAGTCTAAAATACTATTCTAATGAAGGAAAACAAGAAAAATAAGACACTTACCAAAATTTTAACAATTCCAGGCACATCACACAGCAGCATCCTTACCATGTCACCTGTACATCCTTCCTTCAAACATTTTTTCCCACTAAAACTCTAAAGTTAGTAATAGCAAAACAGTAAAAACAAAAAAAGAAATCACTGACGTGCACATCTGATTACATTAAAAAGTTAGAAGCGAATGTTGTTAGATGGTAAACTGAGAAGAATAAATAAATATGTAAGTCTTTAAATGTTGTAGCTGTTTAAAGATGATACATTTCATATACCAATGGATATCCTATTTAAAATACATGGTTTAATTTTTCTTATCCAAGTGTTTCTATTTCAAAATCTTCATACAGCTATATTACAAACTAAAATATCTTTGCTGTCCCAAGAAAAGCAACTTCAAATAAAATATACTAATTACGTGAGCCTAAAAAGGAATACTGAATTTCTATATGATAACATGAGGAGGCAGAGAAAAGGATAGAATTAAAACATTGAGTCCTTTTCCTCATCCTGCACTTGCTATGACTCTGGTTAAAGTTATTTAATTTTCTTTTACTTGGCTTTCTACAACTGATCAATATTAATTTCCCCAGCAATCAAATGAAATAAAAAGGATTTAAAAACAACTTTAAAAAATAGCACCTTATCCAATAATTTTTACAGTTTACAAATACAATTCACTTGTTTTAATTGCATATCCTCACAACAATCCTATGAAGTAGACTTTATCCTCACTTTAGAAAAATTAGTCTCAGATGTTAAATTATCAATTTAATATAATAAAAAAGTCACTCAATATAGACTTAAACCTAGATCTTCCAATTCCATATCCAATACTCTGTCTGATACACAGTTGTTTTGTAAGGATTCTCTATTGCTTACATCATGTAAACACTATAGAAATAAAAGTTATAGACCCAACCTAGTTTTATCAGTTCACTAAAGAGTGGTTAATTAAAAGTGGGCTTTGGAGTTTCACCTAATTGTTGTGGTAAAGAATTCAACTTATTATATGTACAACATAACTAAATAATAATTCCAAATGCCCTTTGATAAGTATAAAATTTATTCATGTTTTCCACCAAAATAGAAATTATCCTCAAAATTATACAATTATCCTTTCTGTATGTTTATTAAACAATTCTATATATTCTTTGATTCTGTGTCTTTCATGTGAATATCTATTACATGATTTCCTTTCTTTAGAGCATTAGGGAAGAAAATTGACAGAAATTACTAGGCAAAGAAACTAGCAGAGTATTTCCCAGAAGATCTATTTAGTCAATGATAATAATGAATGAAGAATGGTGGGAAAATCCCCATCAGAGAGGATTGAGAAAGAAAAAAAAAGGGGGGGGGGAAATATGTGAATAGGCAGAACTGAAGAGGAAGAGGGTAAAAAGAGGAAAGGGTAGAGGAAAAATGCTACAGTAAGGTTTTAAGAAGGAAAAGCAAATATATATACCTGATCATTTTCTCCGGGATATTTTAAATTCTTGAACTTTTTCCAACAAATCTTATGAAAATAAACACAACAACTTTTACTGCACATTAACTGAAAAAAACCCTGTAAGGAAATACAATTATTGATATGAAACAGTAGTTCATGTAGCTATAGAAAATATCACTTAAAGTCACTTTCAAAATTTTTCTATTACTAGATAAGTTTTACACAATATTCAAAATTTATCAATAGAGATCATAACTTTACAGTTATGTTCACATCATTAGAGATGAAAAATCAGGAAAATAAAAAGGGCAGTAAATTGAATAAGTGAGTATATTTTCTATACGCATATCTAACAAAATATTGAAAACCAGTGAATGACTTTTGTTAAGGAACACACTGCCTACTACTCTTCATCTCCATTTTACATCTCCGTTTTCTTCCAGCCCCAACTCCACACCACTGTTCCATGAGTTCCCTCTGTTACCAATGAGACCTCAGATTTGCTGTGCTCCAGTATTATCATAGGACATAGGCTATTTGTCCTTCTCCCCATGACCTCCCTTGGAACAACAGCCCTGCTCCTTTTAAATAAGAATTCTGCTTCATTGACAATTCTAAATTGTGTGCTTGGGACTTCCTGCTCCTATATGCCATTCATTTGTTTGAAACCCTGTAGCTATTCTGAGAAATTTAGGACCAAATGACCATGTCATCTAAACCAATACTGAACTTGCTTGACACCACATTGTATCTTACCAAGATGACTTCCCAATCTCTGTGTTAACTACACTATTTGCTGTACACATCATGCTTTCTTCATGTAGTATAATATGCATTGTTGCTATCTTACCATCCTATCTTGTAATTTCAGTTTTATCTATTAGATTCAGAGAAACCTATCAGATGCACTATGGTCTTCAGATCAAAGCTGGTTACATTATTCCCCACTCCATCAAGGCTCAAAGAGATTAAAAGATCCTTCATTTAGTAACATAACTCCATAGAAATTATAGTCTATCTCCTTAGTAAATTGCTACTATTTTTAATCTGTAATATTCCTAACCAGAAATTAAGAATTTTGTTTTAGATCACTTCAGTGTATAACTGTAGAGATAAGTTACAACTTCAGAGGCAAAAGTGTTAAAAAAAAAAACTTAAGCAAAAATAATTATTTTATTGACTAAGAATATAATTCTTGTTCATTTTCAATCTACGTTCTCATAGACAATCAAAAACTTCCCAACTGCACTACCCTTGTAATTACTTTTAAAATATTTTGATGCATATTATAATAATTTAACGATAATTTTATATTTTTAATAATATTCAGGTTATTGATATTATAATACCTTATAATTGGTGTTCTTTAAAATGTCAGCTTCACAGGATCGCTCACAGTCTAGATAACTACAAATGGTATGCTTCATTATATTACCTTCAGTTGTCTTGATAAAATTATCAAGGAGATCCTGGATTTTAAAAATAAAAAGAATCTCATTAATTATTATTATATTATTTCTCTCATTCAAAATAAACGATATGTATAAAAGCCCTAAATTAGAAATACTGTGTCACTGACTGAATGATACAAACACAGAAAATACTGGATTTCTTACATGATGTTATAAACTGTATGTTTGAAACTACTCACCATATTAATCCATAATGTAACACATGGCATGGTCTCATTAAGAATTACTTGGAGAAACAGACATAAAACATTTGAGTTTCAAGCGAGACTTTGTTGGAATTGGACACTAGGATGCTGAGTTGGCAGTAGAACTACTGTACAGGTACAATATAACACTCACTATCATAATGGGCAAAATTAAAGAAATATGTTTCTCATGTCCAGAGTTATGACTCAAAATATATTTCTCCTTTTAAAATGCTACTTAAATGTAGGTGAAATACATTATCAGGTCTAAGCCAGGGGTCAGACAAAGTCCTTAACATCTTTTAAAAGAACAGTATTACAAGATTTCAAATAGTATTAGTGTTAATATACTGAACATAAATAATAAGTAATAAGCCTCTACAGGTTATTTCAAGAATATCAACTCTATGCAAAAAGATTAAATAGAGAAAATACCCCAGAAAGTAGAACAAAAAGAAAACATTGAAAATATTAAAGAAATAAGAAAATGAGACGTAATCCCATATGCAAACTACCTGAAAAAGTCTTTCAGGGAGAAAAAGAGAAAGCTAAGAAATCATCACATACATAAATCAAGAAAATTTCCTTTCAATTCTGTCAATTTTGTTCCAATATTTTGAGACTATATTTCTAGGTATATACAAATTTTGAATTGTTATAGTTTCCTAGATGAGTGAATTCTATATTTTTAGGAAAGGTTTCTCTTTATTTTAAAAATGCTTTTGTTCATCAAGTCATCTAAAAATATGATGCTCCAGGAAAGTATGAAGTAAACATTTGGAAAAAGATATGTCATTCAAAATTAGTCAACAGAAATCTGGTATAGCTATTTTCATAGTAGACAAATTATAAAAAGGCTCATTTATTTGGTTTATGAAATAGGTAAAAATAACTTAAAAAGTAAGGAATGCTCAGAATATTTGAAGAAACAGAAACTCACATCAAGAATATAAACTGATATAAACTTTCTAAGAGGAAATATTGTGACATATCAACACTTTAGAAATGTGTGAACATTTTGTCTCACAATTCTACCTTTAGAAATTTATTCAAATGGAATATCATGACAAATAAAGCAACTGTAATGTTTAGGATAAATTAAATGCTCAACAGCAGGAACTGATTAAGGAAATTAAAGCATAGTAATACAGAGTACACAAAAATTCTATCGTATAATAATCTAATTACTGGAAAATTTAAAATACAATGTATTTTCAGATAATAAATAAATGTATATATCATACAATTTGGCAAAAATTAACAGAGAATTTGTGTGTGTATGTGTGTTTGTATGTGTTTGTACCTAGAATGACATAAATATTATGATTTTTCTATTTGAAGAAATATGATTGAATTTTATTTTTCATTTGGGCATTCTTTCATTTTTCAATTTAAAAAAAACACATTAATTTATTTTCTTGAGAGGCACAGTTACAGACAGAGAGAGGGAAAAGACACAGAGAAAGGTCTTCCATTTACTGGTTCACTCCCCAAATGGCTGCAATGGCCAGAGCTGGGCTGATCTGAAGCCAGGATCCAGGAGCTTCTGCTAAGTCTCCTTCATGGGTGCAGGGTCCCAAGAACTTGAGCTACCTTCTACTGTTTTCCCAGGCCATTTGCAGGGAGTTGAATGGGAAGTGGAGCAACCAGGACTTAAACTAGTACCTATATGGGCTGCTGGTGCCACAGGCGGATGCTTAACCTACTATGCCACAGCACCAGCCCTTCATTCTTCAATTTTTGTGAACAAAACCTTTAGTACTTTGTTATTTAATTCTACAACAAAATAATGAAATTATAATTAGAAGAAAAAGGAGGTAACTTTTTTTAACATTTAATTTTTAAGAGTTATATACTTGAAATGCAGAGAAACAGAAAATGAAAGAGAAATCTTCCGTTTGCTGGTTCACTTCTCAAATACCACAAGAGCCAAGGCTGGGCCAGGCCAACGCCATGGGCTAGGAACTCCCTCTGGGTATCCCACATGGGTGGTAGGGCTTCACATACTTGGGCCACTTTCTGCTGCTTTCCCAGGGGCATTAGCAAGGAGCAGAGAAGCCAGGACCCAAATGGACACTGCAATATGAGATGCCAGCATCACAAGCAGTTGCTCAACTCACCATAACACAGCATTGGCCCCTAAGAAGTTAACTATTACATCTGACTCCAACCATGCAAAGTACTGTATTAGTACAGCTATTGATCCTCTTGTTATTTGAAAATGCTAACACTGTAACTTCACTTCTGTCTACTTCCGAATTATACTAACATTCTGCTTAATAACAATATCAAGGTTGTTTCTCACATAAAAATTAATTCCCAATAAAAGAATGTGCTTATTATAGAATACAACATAGATGATATGAACTGTACTTTAACAAAGATGACTCTAATTAGTAACAGATGAAATGTTATTCTTAAATAATTTCTTACTTTAAAAGACGTAGGTAATTCTTCATCTTCTGTAGGATCTATGTCAAACCAATGGTCATTTGTATCTCCTATTTCTTGTAAGCTTTTATGAAATTCTAGCAGTCCTCCATTATATCTGCAAAGCATTTTTAATTAGGTTAGTATGAATGTGACTAAAACTAGAGAGTTTACTAGTCAGACACACTGTGAAAACTAGAAGGCCTCTATGGCAACAATCATGAAGATAGTATGTGCTGAAAATAAGGCCCAGATTTAATCGTAAGGTGGAAAAATTTACAAATATGGCCTTGATAGGACTAATACTATCAGCTCAGGACACTGATAGCTAAGTCTGTATGATAGAACAATTGCAAAGGATATCAAAAGCAAAACCTCAAAAGAACTGCCAGGCTAAATTCAAGACTTTGATAGAAAAGGATAAGATTCTGGAATGTGAATTGGAGATATTCAGGTAATTTTCTTAGAAATACTGATACCCAATATTCCCTGAGAACCTTCTGACTGGCAAAAGTCTTCTTCTTGATAGAGAAATGTTGCTGCCCTTTACTCAAAGATCATGATATCAGGAGATGTCTCAAAAGATGATGCCTTTCCTCCTCATGATTTTCCTCTACTTATTATACTAATTGCCTGCAGATCAATATATCTAGACAGGTATAAGAAAGCCCAAGAGGGAAGCCTAAGAAGAGAAAGCATATTAACCGTTAAAACTAGAGAGCATGATTCATGTGTACTGGCAGGAACGTGAGAGGAAGGGAGCACAACAATACAAAACCAATGGCACATACAGACTAGAGATGGAACATTTCTGTAATTCAAGATTCACTTTCCCACCAAGAACTCCTGAAGTCAGTGCAGACATGCTGCTAAGAGGCTTCTTGAAATCTGAATACAATGATGGTCTGTTGAAAGTGAAATAGAAATACTGGAAATGTTTTGCCAGAGTATTAAAGGATTCAGAAGGGTCATGAAGGTGAGAATGTCAGACAAGGGTTACCACATAAGAATGTAGAGTTCTGTACCAGATAATGTTCTGGAAAGGTTCAGAGGACACTTAAGTCATTCATTCATTCGCAACTAAGGAGTAAGAAGGTCACCAGTGTCTTTGAGAAGCTAACTGGTGGTTGTTCTCCATAGTGCAAGGATGAAAGTAATGACGCTACTGTACATTTGGAATTCCCAGTATCAATGCTCTGGAGAATGGATTCTTTCCAATGCCCACAATTAAAAATAAAAAGTAGTTTGCACATTTGAAGGAGGGACAACACACATTCTTTGTCTTGTCTCAGGCGAGGTTAATTCTTCTGTTTTGTCACAATATAAACTGAATGGATTTTGATCATCTCAACATTCTGAAAAACATCACATTAACACTATATTGATGATACTTGGTGAATAAGACCTGCCTATTAAACATGAAGTGAGAAATCTCATGGACACCCTAGTAAAACTGACATGTCAGGGAACAGGGAATATATCTTAAAAGAATCAGGAACTACAACACAGGTGGTACTTTTAGGGTTGCAATGGTTTGGCCTAGCAGTAATCCTTCGTAAGAGTGTGTTCAAGTAAACTTTCCTTAATTCATTCATCAGATCTCAGCCAAACATTTCTTTAGGGAAACTTCTGATTCCCAGAACCAAACTGGGGCTCCAGTAAAGGCTTTCATTGTTTAATGTATTTTCCTTCATTGCTCTTTACCACATTTCTTATTGAAAACTCCATGGTTAATTATTAGGTTAAGGTGTATACCTGCCATTACAATGTCTGTTACATGAGGAGAGGAAATGTTTATTTTGTAAAACAGCAGGGGAGTTCCAAGATGGTGGAATAGCGACAGGATGGTCTGAATCATGCAGAGCAAAATTAATATTTAAAAAGGGTTGATAAACTGCATGCCTGAAATAAAGCCATAGAAGATCTGCAGTGGGAAACCCAGAGAGAACAGCAGAGATGGTTCAGGTCTGCACCAAAATAGCCCCCCGCCCCCGCAAAAAAAAAAAAAAAAAAACAAAAACAGCAGAGACTTGGAGCCCAGAGAAGAGAATGCTGGCCAGTTGGACCAGGTGAGAGGGTAATCACGGGCCCATGAAGCTGTGGATAGCAGCAGGAGGCAGTGATTGGCAAACTGCTTTTGAGGTTCCACATGTGATAAAATAATAAATGAACAGAGAGGTGGCACACATCCCCACCACCTCCCCTTACCCTGAAGGGAAGGGCAGCCAGCCAGGAGAAGCCATTCTGCTCATTTGTTTGTTTTTTATTTCTGGATACAGGCAGATGGCTGCCTCCCATCTCCCCTGCACATGCCCAGCAATAGCGGGTGTTGTCTCACCGCCCACCCAAATAGCAAGGGACATAACATTTCAGAAGAATTCCTTCCCCTTCCATGCAAGCTGTATGGCAAAGGGAACCCCTGCCTATTGAAAGCTTGTACCCTCCCAACACCATTGAGAAATAAGCCAGGCTCCATTAGGCAGGTTCTTAATTCACCCACCTGCGACCCAAAGACGTTGTTTAGGAGCTCATAACAGAGGGAACCATGCTCACAGGAAAGACTTCACAGATCAAAGGTGAAGTTCATTAAGCAATGTGAACTAGTCCTAAAAACACTAGGAATTAACACCCGGGCATCCTGAAGCTGTGAGGAGAAGGCCAGGTCACATCAACAGAGGTGAACACCCTCCTCCATCCAGAGAGCCAGAGGAGAGCTACAAAGCCCCACAGGGGCCTTATCTTGGATACTTGCTCCCCCTGGAATACTGAACACAGCAACAAGGCTACACCCAGCACACACTCACTGTAAGTACAGATGTCCCACTAAGCCACAAAAACACAAGCCAAAGGTAAAAGAAACCAGACCAAACAAAGGAAAAAACTTAAGAATAAGGAAGACACTATGAGCCCCGCAAAGGAACACTATAACACTTCAATAGAAGATGAAGATGAAGAGATTGAAAGTATGCCAGAAACAGAATTCAGAAAATTAAACATCAGATTATTAGAAGCAATCAGAAGCAAATTCATGAACTAAATGAACATTTTCCCATGAAATTGAGATATTAATGAGAAATCAGAATGAAACACTAGAAATGAAGAATTCAATACATCAAATAAAAAATGCAGTGGAAACTCAACAACAGAGTAGATGAGGCAGAAGAAAGAATATCAGAGAGAAGACAATTTCTGGAAATTTTACAGTCAGACCAAAAAAAGGAAGAAATTAGAAAGTAAAAAACACTGCTGGAGATCTACAGGATACCATCAAACAACCTAACATATGGGTCCTAGCAGTTTCTGAAGGTGTGGAAAGAGAGGAAGGATTATAAGACCTTTTTAATGAAACAGTAACAGAAAACTTCCCCAATTTGGAGAAAGAAAGAGACATCCAAGTACATGAAGCATACAGAAATCTCGATATACATGACCAAAAAAGATCTTCACCATGAGACACTGTAATAAAACTCTTTACAGTAATACATAAAGAAGATGCTAAAATGTGCATGAGAGAAATGCCAGATCACATTCAGAGGAATCCCAGTTAGACTTACAGTGGACTTATCAGAAATCCTACAGGCTAGGACAGGATGGCAAGATATATTTCAAGTCCTAAGAATAAAAAAACCTGTTAACTCAGAATATTGTAACCTGCAAAGCTCTCATTTATGAAGGAAGTTGAACTAAAGACCTTCTATAACAAACAGACATTTAAAGAATTTGTAACTACCCGACCACCCCTACAAAAGATGCTCAAGGATGTGGTGGACACAGAAACACAGAAACAAAAACATCACTAAAAAAGAAGGTGAAGTCAGAAAATTGCTCAGTAAAAGTACAAAGGAAACCCAAAGTAAAAAATAGGCCTATTAATGGAAATATGTTACTTAAAAGTTGTTACTGAACAATAGTCACCCAGAATGTAAATGGTCTCAACTCTCCAGTTAAGACACAGATTGGTGAAGTGACCATATAGATAGGATCAAGTGTTAAAGTAATCACATAAATAGGACTAAGTGCTTGAAACCAATAATAGAATTAAAAAGGAGTGAAGGTTCCAACATAGGAAGCAGAGCATACAGCTGATGCATAGAAGGACAATTGCTTTAAGTAGCAGTCTGACCTCAGAATCAGCCATTAAGGCATTCTAGTCTGGCTGGAAAGTCCAGGGGGAGTATTTCAGGCATGGAAAGCCAAGATACTGTGGCAAAAAATGCCCTATATAAAGACCCTCTATATGTGAGACCCCAGTGGAGAGAAGTGGACACCAAAGAAGTATGTACATTTCTTGGGAGAAGAGAACTTCCACTTTTGCTTATGTCAAGCTAGTGGATCCAAAGGGCTTCCATAACTGAGGCAGCTCATGCCACAGCCTTGGACGATCACTGATGTCATACATAGGAGTGTTATTTGTTAAATAAACAACAAGAGTCACTGTGCACTAACTTCCCATGAAGTTGTATTGTGAAATTTAATAGTAAAACCTGTTCTCAAGAATCACTTCCTTTTAGTTTTTTAAATGGAGGATATTACTATGTCTCATAAGTTATGTCTAAGAGCTCACAAAAGAAGTACCATCATTGGATTCTTTAAAGACAATTAAGTTTCTAAAAGGAAAGAAGGGAGAGGACTGAAAAAGAGGAAGGTTGGAAAAAAAAGTGAAATCAAGAAATAATGACATAGAACAGCCCCTGTTTAGACTGCTGAGGAACAGTTCTCATAGTTCTTTTATTCTGCTCTTTCATTGTTTCTTTTTTTTTTCTCGACTATAGATAGGGAGGAGGAAGAGGGGGGTGCAGTAAGTGGGAGAGTGGGCACTGTGAGAAGAATTACTGTATTCCTAATGTTGTATTTATGAGATACATACAAATAAAAATAAATAAATAACTAAATAAAGGGCAGCATATACCCAAACCACACACATTTGGAATATGATAGATGCTTACTAATTAAAATAAATGAATGATGACACTAGTGAGAAAGGATCTCCATTTAAGAAGCAAACAGATCATCCATATAGGTTCCTCTGTACAGCTTCATTTTCTTTTTTAAGATTTATTTATTTAGTTGAAAGAGTTACAGTGAGAGGTAGAGACAGACAGAGAAGGGGGTTTTCCATCCACTGGTTCACTCCCCAGATAGCTGCAACAGCTGGTGCGAGCTGATCCAAAGCTAGAAGCCAGAGCTGCTTTCGGCTCTCCCTATCAATGCAGGAGCCCAAGGACATGGGCCATCCTCTGCTGCTTTCCCAAGTGCATTAACAGTGATTTGGATTGGAAGTAGAGCAGCCGAGACTCTAACTGGTGCCCATATGGGATGCTGGTGATGCATGCTGGGACTTTTAACCTACTGCACCACAGCGCCAGCCCCCAGCTTCACTATCTTAAAAGATGTAATACCCAAATATTCCCTAAACTCAACATTTAGACCCTTGAAACTTTTTTTTTTAATTTTTTGCCAGGCAGAGTTAGACAGTGAGAGAGAGAGAGAGAGAGAGAGACAGAGTTATAGACAGTGGGAGAGAAACAGAGAGAAAGGTCTTCCTTCCGTTGGTTCACTCCCCTAATGACCGCCATGGTTGGTGCTGCGCCGATCCAAAGCCAGGAGCCGGGTACTTCCTCCCAGTCTCCCATGCGGGTGCAGGGACACAAGCACCTGGGCCATCCTCTGCTGCCCTCCTGGGCCACAGCAGAGAGCTGGATTGGAAGAGGAGCAACCAGGACTAGTACACGGTGCCCCAACCGGGACTAGAACCTGGGGTGCCAGTGCCGCAGGCAGAGGATTAGCCAAGTGAGCCATGGCACCGGCCTGACCCTTGAAACTCTTTATAAGATCATTTACACATTTAAAAACTTTTCTAAGTTAATGATGATATTACATCATTGTTTCTTTATTATGTATAGCCTTTTTGAGTTCTGGGCACTGTGTTCTTTACCTGTAAGATTCTTTATGAGGTATACAGAATAATTAGTTTTGTTTTAGAGACAAGGGGGGAAAAATAAGGTTTAACAGCATTAAGTTCCCTAAGGTAAGTGGCAAAAAATGTGTCTGAACCCAGGCCTGTCAGAATCCAAGGACTGGGTTTCTAATGTCAATAATAAATTGGTCGATACTGCCATGGTCTATTAAGTTTGATATTCTCATGTTGACAAAATTACTCTCAAGTATATTAACAAAACTATTATCTATAAAATAAATGAAGAAGAAAATTACTAGAACATAAATGGTCATGATCTCTGGTTTACTGCACAAACTTTTTCCCTTTTCATAATGCTAAAAATTGACAAGATTTACCCATTAATGAAAATCCTTACCGCTTCTGAGCACATCGAAGTAAACCACGTCCAAAATAAACTAAAGACATAAAGTTTTCACAAATTTCATTTTCTTGGATCACCATCTTCATCACCAGAAATTTGTTTTCAGCTTCTGTATAATCCTGTAGTAACATAAAACAAGGTTTGATTGGCATAGGCAGACTTATTGGAAAAGACCCCAGAAGTACAGGCAATCAAAGCAAAAACAGACAAACAGGATTACATCAAGCCAGAAAGCATCTGCTCTGCAAAGGAAACACTTAGCAACAGAATGGGAGAAAATATTTGTAAACTATGCAACTGATTAAGGATTAACATCCAGAATCTACAAAGAGTTCAAGAAACTCAAAAGCAAAGCATTCCAGTTAAGAAATGAGCAAAGAACTTGGACAGACATTTTTGAAAAGAGGAAATTCAAATGGCCAAGAGACACATGAAAAAATGCTCAGGATCAGTAGCCATACGGGAAATGCAAATCAAAACCATAACGAAATTTCACCTCACTCTAGTAAGAATGACTCTCATATAGAAATCAACAGCCAAAAATGTTGGTGAGGTTTGAGGAAAAATATACCCTAATCCACTGTTGGTGAGAATGTAAACTAGTACAGCCATTGTTGAAGACAGCATTGAGATACCTCAAAAATCTGAAAATAGACCTACCATATGACCCAGCCATCCTACTACTGGGAATTTACCCAAATGAAATTAAATCAGCATATGAAAGAGTTATTTGTACCTTCATGTTTACTGCAGCTCAATTCATAATCACTAAGATATGGAATCAACCCAGATGTCCATCAACTGAAGACTGGATAATGAAATTGTGGTATATATACAGTTTGGAACACTACTCATCCATAAAAAAGAATGAAATCCTGTCTTTTGAAACAAAATGGATGCAACTAGAAACTATTATACTTAGTAAAATAAGCCAATCCCAAAAAGACAAATGTCATATGTTTTTCCTGATCTGTAGAAACTAATAGAGTACCATAAATGTAATGTAATGAACACTAATCAATAAATAAGTACTATTTATAACACTAATCAATAAAAGAGAATGAAACCCTGTCTTTTGCAACAAAATGGATGCAACTAGAAACCATTATACTTAGTAAAATAAGCCAATCCCAAAAAGACAAATGTCGTATGTTTTTCCTGATCTGTAGTAACGAACAGAGTACCAAAAATGTAATGCATAGAAATAAAATTCACATTTTGATATTCAATGATTGTTTTCAGCCCCTGTCTCTACTGTTAAGGAACAGTGTTTTGTTTTTTTTTTTCTTCTTCTTTCTATTTGTTGAACTCTTTACTTAGTGTGGTGTTAATTTTATGAATATAAAGTAAACTGAAAGATCATTGTAAACATCCAAGGAGGGAATAAGAGGAAAAGGTGGGCGCATTGGCAGGAGGGAGGTTATAGTAGGAAATATCACTATGTTCCTAAAAGTGTATATAGGAATGCCATGAAAGTTGTGCACCTTAAATTAAAACAAGTTAAAAATAAACAACAACAACAAAAAAACTAGGTTTGGTTGATGTGAAAAGCATTACAATAAATAATTATTTCCCAAGCTAGAGAAATTAGGACAGCTTTAAGAATGATCTGGCCATCTGGTCATTTATTCATATCACTAATCCTTTTGAAGTTTAATCTGAACAATTTCCTCTATTAGTATTCTGAGTTGACCATATAATCCTGGAATTTGATTTTCCTATTTATTACTTGTTGAATATTATGTTTAGTGGCAAATTCTGTGCATGCAGTGGATTAAAATTAGGTTTTTGCAAAAATTGATGAAGAAAGGGGAGAGAGAAAAAGACAAGGAGGGGGACAGGTGGTGAGTGAAGTGTGGCTGTCTTCTTGGAACTGTACCTATGGACTGCATAAAATCTGTTCTCTTCATATTGATACAAATTTTTAAATGAAACTAATGAAATGATATCTGTTGCTTTAACTTAAATAAATTTTAAAAATAACAGAAAATGGCTTTAAGTTTTACAGTTTTAAAAATCAACATTTTTATTTGGTAAAATGTTTTAGTGTTATGTATAAAGATTATAATGAGAAAATAATAGATACAACAGGAGTGGGCATTTAGTCTAGTGGTTAAAACACCAGCTAAGGGGGCTGGCACTGTGGTGTAGCAGGTATATCTGCTGCAGGGGGACAACCTGTTAAGTCAGGAGAGACTTAAATATTTGTTTTCTTTTTTCTTACTATTTGTTGAACTCTTTACTTAGTGTAGGGTTAATCATATGAGTATAAAGTAAACTGAAAGTTTATTCTACATTGAAAACTCCTCAAGGAGAGCCCCCTCCCCTGCCATCCCCAGCTTCAGTGCAGCAGGGCAGTGCCCGCAGGCACACAACTGGAAGCAGCCTGGGAGGCCCCAGCTCTGCCGCCCTGTGCAGGCTCACCACAAGAGCACTGGCAAGCCCAGCCCAAAAATGCACCTGTTGTCTTACATCAGAGTATCTGGGTTTAATTTCTGCCTCTGGTTCTTGACTGCAGCTTCCTGCTAATGCAGACTTTGGGAGGCAGCAGTGATCGCTCAAGTAATTAGATTGCTGCCAGCCAGAAGGATAGACCTATGTTGAGTTTTAGTTCAGTTTCCATGCCAGCCCAGCCCAGTCCAGCCATTACAGGCATTTAGGGAATGAGCCACTGAATAGGAGCTCTCTCTCAAAGTAATAATAAAATAAACATCCAAAAACATGCTACATACCTCTTTCTTTCCTCTTTCAATGAGTGACACTCCATATAAAAAGAGTAAAGTCAAATAATAGCCAATATTAATCTGTCGTGCCTACAAAGAAAAGTTAATTGATCATTAAGTCAGTTTTCAGTTCAACAAACTTACATATCCCAAAACCATTTAGCCATTACTTAAAAGTGAAATTAACCTACTTATTTATTAACCATCTAGTAATAATTTAGAGAGTTTAGGTGATGGCTCAAGTACTTGGGTCCCTGGTACACATATCGGAGACATAGAAGACTTCTTCAGGTTTTAGCTTGGCCGAGCCCTAGCTGTTGTAGGCACTCAGAGAGTGAACAAGTAAATGAAAAATTTCTCTTTCTCTCTCTGTCTCTGTCTCTCTCTCCCTTGCCCCATACCTTTCAAATAAAAAAAAGAAAAAAAAAAAGCACTTTAGAATATTTGATAATTCAAAAGAGGAAGCAGAAAAAAGAATATGAGGTTAAAAATATGCAATAAAAATTTGTTACAACTTTCCAAAAATCGAATTCTTTCTCTTCTTATACATAATATTTTAGGTATGAAGAATATTTAAGAGGCTGGAGTTTTGGTGCAATAGGTTAAGCCACTTCTTGTGATGCTGGAATCCCATATCACAGTGTTGGTTTGAGTCTCAGAGACTCTACTTCTGATTCAGTTCCCTTTAATGCAATTGGGAAGGCAGAGGATGGTGGCCCAACAATTAGGTACCTTCCACTCATGTTAGGGAAAGAGGATGGAGTTCCTGACTCTTGGCTTCTGTCTTGCCTTCATCTGGCTTTTGCAGCAATTTAGTGAGTAAACCAGAGAATGGGAAATCTCATTCTTTTTCTCTCTGTTGCTATAACGTAGTATACATATACTATAACATATAACAACAAGAGAATTTTGTGGTGACAAAACAGCTCTTTCATCTTGATTATGACAGTAGTTACACAAGTATACCATTCTCATAAAAGGCATAGAACTATATACCATTGTATATAATAAAGTGAGTATAGCCAAGACTGTTATCATTGTAAAGGTCTGCTTGCAAAGTTGATACCTGGCTGGGATCTGATTTAATAAGGGTGGTTCACTGGGTGTAGACTGTACATTGTGATTTATGCTGAATGCCTAGGAGTTTCTTCTGGGAGTCTGGAATTTTGATACACTCTAGGCAGAAGCTACTTAGTTGACCAAGCCTCAGTAAAAATGCTGAGTTCTGAGTATCTAATGGGCTTCCCTGGGCAAACTTAAAGTGTTTGCTACATGTTCCATTTTCATTGCTGGAGACTAAAAGGAAGGGAATGTACTCTGTATGACTCTATGGGATTAACAAAACCTGTAGATGGAATTCTTTAGACCCTACTGGTGTTTTGCCCCCTTATTGTGAGAAATGACCATGGTGTATTTTCAAAAAAGAATTAGTTTAGCCTTAGCGCAACCATGATACTTGGCCTCAGTGGTATGCAGGATTGAGGGCTGCAAAACCAAAGTAGGTGAACTACTGGGTTTGCTTTGCAAACAGTGCGCCACTTGTTACCTTTGTAACTTTCAGGAATTCTGTAACCACCAGATGTCTGTTACACAGTGCTCCCAATCTCAGTTCTGGAGCCTTGATGATACCTCAGTATAACTCCCCTTCCTCTGCCCTAGATCTGCCCAGCAACACCCCCGCTTTACACCTCCCTCTTCCTGCCTTAGGCACCATGTGGAGTTTAGGTTTTGCCTCCCAAAATTCTCAATGAGAAAATGTGGAAAGGGACCGCTGCATGGTAGGGCTACAATGAGCTGAATGTCTGAAGGTAGCACCTGCTTCCACTGGCTGGTCACTGCTCTCAATACAGGGTACCAATAAATACCTTGCTTTCTGCTTCCTTCCTTTGTGAGTCTACTCTTCGGTGGGTAGGTAGTCTCAGGTGGGCTTATTTCTCACATTACCACATTCTGTGTATCTTTAGTATGTCACTGTTAATAAATCAAGACCAAGAGTACAACTACATACCAAGTCCAACCCTTCTAGCAAATTTCTGAACTTAAGAGGTGTGTTAAGAGAACCTGACTGAAAATCCACTGTACCAATCTTTGATAATGCACTACTGTTATAAAAGATGTAACTATCGGGGAAAACTGGGTGAAGGGAACACTGAGACCAATGCATTTTTGTATTGCATAGTTGCAATCTCTTTGAATCTATAGTAACCTTAAAATAAAAAGCTAAAAAGTTATGTAGAGGCTGGTGCCGTGGCTCACTAGGCTAATCCTCCGCCTGTGGTGCCGGCACTCCAGGTTCTAGTCCTGGTTGGGGCGCCGGTTCTGTCCTGGTTGCTCCTCTTCCAGCAGAGCTCTTTGCTGTGGCCCGGGAAGATAGTGGAGGATGGCCCAAGTGCTTGGGCCTTGCACCTGCATGGGAGAACAGGAGGAAGCACCTGGCTCCAGGCTTCAGATTGGTGCAACGCACCGGCCGTAGTGGCCATTTGGTGGGTGAACCAATGGAAGGAAGAGCTTTCTCTCTGTCTCTCTTTCTCACTAACTCTGCCTGTCAAAAAAAAAAAAAAAAAAAAAAAAAGTTATCTGGAGAGAAAAATACTATCCGTGCTATTTATGATGGCTAATCTTATATGTCAACTTCACTGTCCACAGACATTTTCAGATCAACTATATCTGAGTTTGACTGTGAGAGTGTTTCCAGGTAGTCAGCCTTTAAACCAGTGCAGTCAAAAAAACTGCCCTACCAAATGTGTATGAGCATCAACCAATCCACTGAGGGATAAGAACGAATGAGAGGAAGATGGAAGAATTCACGACATTTTGTTCCTCCTTACTTACTTGAGCTAGGACATCTATTCTCATTCTCTCCTGCCCTTGAGTTGGTATTTTCACTGCTGGCTCCCTTGGTAATTTGGCCATCAGAACTGGTATAAATTGCACCACCAGATTTTCTAGGTTTCCAGGTGGCAAATCGCAGGATATCTTTGCCTCCATAATCACAAAAACTAATTCCCTAAATAAATCATATATATTCTTTATTGTTTATATATGTGCTAGGGATCCACTGGCAAAGGAACGAAACTATGTAACCGCGCTACTATGACAACAGGACTTGGGAGGGTGGCGTTACTATGACTATGAAGCCTGGGAGGTCAGCGCATGGGCGGGGTTGACCTTTAAAAACTGTATATAAGTAGACCCTCAGCCGCTGAAAGCAGAGGTTGCTCAGCCTCTCTCCCCAGTCTGTAGCACCTTGTGCCACGGGGAAAGCTCCTGGTCCTGGTCCTGGTCCGCAGCACCTTTGGCCTGCAAGAGTTGGCTTGAGCGATCTCTCCCCCTAGTCGCCTAGAATATCAATAAAGTGTGTTTAGCTTGACTTTCCTCAGTCTCCTCGACTCTTCCTTCGTGGCAACCTGGCCAGTGGCAACCTGGCCAGTTCCCGGAGGGGGGAGATCCTGACAATATGTGCATATTCCTCCTAATAAATTATGTATGTGACACACAAAGGTACTTTGAAAAGTCTGTAGAATGGAATTAGCAGAATATGTGCATTTTCAAATAACTCTTTGATGGCTGTTTGTACATACTTTAACTATTTATATGTGTACATATGTATAAAAACAGTATATGTATAAAACAGAAATTGGTTCTATTTCTCTGGAGAACCCTGACTCCATTGGTCATAAGCTAATGTGACTGATTATAAGGGTATCTTTTTTCTTTTTCTTCCATTTCCTAACTCCCCTTCCCAATCCTATTTCCACATCCCTTCTGTTCATGCTTTCCACATTCTCTGAACCCTAAATCAATATCATACTTTGACCAAAAGCAAAACCTCTGGAATTTAAAGATACAAAAGGTATATTTTTAACCTACAGATCTATCCATACATGTTCCCATTAGTAAGATTATTCCAAGTACTGGAATGGGTATAGAGATATTATTTCCAACCACACACCTCCAACTCACTGATATCTCCTACAAGGTTGTCTTTCTTCTCCTTGATGGCCTTGAGGGACAGGGAGAGCCATTTGGAGTAAGCAGACTGCTTTGATCATGACAGTTTCAGTTATGCTACCAATTGTGATACCAATTCCAATGCTTCTAAGAGAAAGACCTCTTTAATTCCTACTCAAAGACGCATCTACGAAGTAATGCCTCAGCAGAGAAAGTTAACAATGAGAAGTTGTGAGTGTTGATTTTATACTGATTTATTCATTTACTGGCAATCTGGTCAGTGGGAGAAATAGCAGTCTGCAAGATCTAAGAAGTTTTCAGGACTGCAAGACACCAAGTCCTTTTTTCTTTGTTTCCTCTTTTGAATTCCTTGAGAACCTCCTTTAGAGTGACATCTGTCACCCTTTAAAATTCTGGCCCTACAGTCCTAAATACAGACTTGTTTCCCCCATCTTCTTGTACATTGTTGCAAAAATGGGATTTGGTATTTTAGACTATGTTTTTGGCACCCTGTTATCTGTTTTTAAGGTAATCCTAACTCATCTTGTATATGTACGCAAAGCTTAGTTTACTTTACTGATCCTAGTTATGCAAAGAACTGATTTTCCTTTTCTATTATCCAGTATAATTGTTTCTAATTTTTTATGTAGTTTTCCTCAGTTCTATTTATTTCCATTTGATCTTAAATACATAAATATACTTTGTCACTTTTACCTATAATACAAACTTCAATTTTTACACATACAGAAATATTAGAAGAAAGAGTAGTTGATTAATAACTGGGGAAAAGAATGAACCATATGTTTCTTCATTTTAATGGACAAAAATTGTACATATGTAAGATATATCACGTTTTGAAATATGTATACACTGTGGAATGACTAAATCAAGCTAATTTACATATGTATCCCCTAACCCTTTTGTCATGTTTGGTGATGAGAACAATTTACAATCTACATTAGCAATTTTGAGAATATATTAACTACAGCCTCTGTACTGTACAACAGATCACCTGGACTTACTCTTATTATCTAACTGAAGTTTTGTAACCCTTGAGCAACATCTCCTCACCGCTTCCTCCAGCCTCTAACAACTACCATTCTACTATGCCTATGAGTTCAATATTTTAAGATTCCACATATAAGCAGCATCATTTAGTATTTGTCTTCCTATATCTGACTTATTTCTTTCCTAGTTCATGAATTTCCATGAACTAATTTTTAATTGTGAAAGCCCATTTCTTCAAGTTTTTCTTAACTTAAAATGAATCATTTTGTGGCATGGAAAGATTGAATAGACTAGGCTCATTACAGAGATGCAGTCACATAAGAAAGTGCAAGACACAAGAAAGCAATACAATTATATGCATCCTTCTCAAAAGGAAAATATAAATTGGCCTACACTTCAAAATAAGGACACACTGACTATTTTCTCATTAAAAAATGTTGTCCAAGTACTTCAAATTTTCAAAAGGAAAATACTTACTGTGTAATTAGTAGCTTGAATGTTCCTAAGTGCTGTTTCTAGTTGTGTTATTAAGAACCGTAAAGTTAAAGAAGGAACAATTTCCTCCCCATTCTGGCTGTTAGCTGCAACTTCTCGCTGTGGAAAATAATTGAATTGAAAATTTCTTTAAGTTAGAAATATATATATATTTATCAGGCTGATGCTGTGGTGTAGCGGGTAAAGCCGCCGCCTGCAGTGCTGGCACCCTGAATAGGTGCTAGTTTGAGTCCCAGCTGCCCCGCTTCTGATCCACCACTCCACTCTGCTATGGCCTGGGAAAGCAGTAGAAGATGGCCCAAGTCCTTGAGCCCCTGGACTGCATGGGAGACCTGGAAGAAGCTCTTGGCTCGTGGCTTTGGATTGGCGCAGCTCCGGCCGTTATGGCCAATTGGGGAGTGAACCAGCAGATGAAAGACCTCTCTCTGCCTCTACCTCTCTGTAACTCTGCCTTTCAAATAAGTAAATAAATCTTTAAAATATATATAAATAAATAAATAAATATGTATATACATGTATATACATATTTATATAAATATATATATATATTTATACACAAATAACACATACTCACTGCAGGAAATTTGGAAAATTGAGACAACCATGCTCTGTAAAAGTCCATACCATCTAGAGACATTGTTCTTACACATATTTTTAAATAGACTAACGGATGTACTTTATAGCTAGTCTCTCAAAATACTACAAAGCATTCCTAGGCCTGCCAACCAAAGAAAAGGCAACACCCATTCCTTGAGAGGAATGTGATGATCCCATTTCATTCTCTATTCTGTGACATAATTAAAATCTTCTTGAACCTACAATAAGTAGGAAAGCTGGTACTAGTCTACTTCTGACAGCCTCTTAATGGAGTTTTTAGGTTTCTTTTTTTTATTTTTTATATTTTTTTTAAACTTTTATTTAACAACTATAAATTTCCAAAGTGCAGCTTTTGGATTACATTGGTCTCCCCGCCCAATAACTTCCCTCCCAACCGCAACCCTGCCATCTCCCGCTCCCTCTCCCAATCCATTCACATCAAGATTCATTTTCAATTCTCTTTATATACAGAAGATCAATTTAGTATATACTAAGTATAGAGTTCAACAGTTTGCACCCACACGGAAACACAAAGTGTAAAATACTGTTTGAGTACTAGTTATAGCATTAATTCACATTGGACAACACATGAAGGACAGAGCTCCTACATGAGGAGTAAGTGCACAGTGACTCCTGTTGTTGACTTAACAAATTGACACTCTTGTTTATGGCATCAGTAATCACCCGAGGCTCTTGTCATTAGCTGCCAAGGCTATGGAAGCCCCCTGAGTTCACTGACTCTGACCATATTTAGACAAGGCCATGGTCAAAGTGGAAGTTCTCTCCTCCCTTCAGAGAAAGGTACCTCCTTCTTTGATGACCCATTCTTTCCACTGGGATCTCACTCGTGGAGATCTTTCATTTAGGTTTCTTTATAGATGAATCATGTTATCAGCAAATAGGGATAATTCAACTTCTTCCTTTCCTATTTGAATGCCTTTTCTTCTTTCCCTTGCCTAGTAGTTCTGGCTATGAATAACAGCAGTGAGAGCAGACACCCTTTTCTAGTTTTACAACTCAGCACGAATGTTTTTAACTCCTTCCCACTCAACATGATGCTGGGTGTAGTTTACTCATATTTAGCCTTTATTATGTTGAGGTGGGATCCTTCTATTCCTAGTTTGTTCAAGGTTTTTTTTTTTTTTTTTTAAATCATGAATGGTTAAGTTTTATCTTTTCTGTATCTGTTGAGATGATCATATGATCTGTATCCTTCACTCTGCTTATGTGATAGATTCTACTTATTGATTTGCCTATGTTGAAATACCCCATTTTCCTTGGGATAAATCTCACTTGATCATGATGAATGAATTTTTTTTTTGTTTTGTTGCATAAATATGGTAGTACTTTCTTGAGAATTTTTGCATCTACATAGCATCAGGGAAATTAGTCTACAGTTTCCTTTGTTGTGTCATTGGTTTTGGAATGAAGGTAATGTTGGTTCATAGAGTAAGTCTGGAAGTTTCCTTCCTTTCAAGTTTTGGGAAGAATTGGTACTAGTTTTTACTTAAAAGTTTGGTAGAATTCAGCAGTGAAGCCATCTGGTCATGAGCTTTTCCTTGTTGGAACTTTATTACTGGTCATTGGCCTGTTCATGTTTTCTATGTCTTCATGGTTCAATTTCAGTTTGTTATAGGTATCCAGAAATATATTCATTTGTTCTAGGTTCTCCAGTATGTTGGCATACAGTTGCTCATAAAATTCATAACAGTCCCCAATGATCCTCTATATTCCTGTGGTATATCTATTGTAGTATCTCCCTTTTCACCTTGATTTTATTTAAATCTTATTTCTTTTTTCCTTAATCTAATGGTTTACTGATTTTATCTTTTCAAAAGACCAACTCCTCCCATCTTTGTATTCTTTTAACTTTCATTTATTATTTCTTTTCTTTTAACTTGGTTTTGTTTTGTTCTTTTTCTAGTTGTGAGTTTTATAATTTTTTTAAGATTTATTTATTTATTTATTTGAAAAGCAGTTACAGGGGGTTGAAGAGGGGAAGAGGAAAAAGACACAGAAACAGACATCTTCCAACCACTGGTTCACTCCCTAAATGGCTGCAATGGCTAAGGCTGTGCCAAGTCAAAGCCAGAAGGCTGGAATTCCATCCAGGTCTCTCACATGGGTGCAGGGGGACAAGCACTTGGATCATCTTCTGCTTTATTCCCAATAGCATTAGCAGGGAGCTGGATCAGAAGTGGAACAGTTGGAACTCAAACCTGTGTTAAAATGAGATGCTGGCATCACAGGCAGCAGCTTAACCCATGGCACCAAAATGCCTCATGAAGTTGTTTATTTGACATTTTTTTTAAATAGGCATTTATTATAAGCTTCCCTCATAATATTGCTTTTGCTGTCTCCCTTAAGTTTTGTAGGCTGCATTTCCATTTACCTTTTAGTTTCAAGGAATTTAAAATTATTATTGCTGTTATAAAATTTATTTGAGGCCGGCATTGCGGCTCACTAGGCTAATCCTCCGCCTTGCGGCGCCAGCACACCGGGTTCTAGTCCCGGTCGGGGCGCCGGATTCTGTCCTGGTTGCCCCTCTTCCAGGCCAGCTCTCTGCTGTGGCCCGGGAGTGCAGTGGAGGATGGCCCAAGTGCTCGGGCCCTGCACCCCATGGGAGACCAGAAGAAGCACCTGGCTCCTGCCTTCGGATCAGCGCGGTGCGCCAACCGCAATGCGCCAGCCGTGGCGGCCATTGGAGGGCGAATCAACGGCAAAGGAAGACCTTTCTCTCTGTCTCTCTCTCTATCCACTCTGCCTGTCCAAAAAAAAAAATAAATAAATAAATAAATAAAAAATTTATTTGAAAACCAGAGACAGAGGGAGAGAGAGAGTGAATCTTTCACCCACTGGTTCACAACTCAAATGCCCAAAAGAACGGGAGCTGGAGCAAGGAAGGGTCAGGAGGCTGGAATTCCATCTGTGTATTTCATTTAGGTGGCACAGATCCAAATACATGAGGTATAAATACTGCCTCACCTTGTGCCTTAGGAAGAAGCTGGAATTGGAAGCAGAGTTGGGACTCAAACCTAGGTACTTCAATATGAGATACAGGCATTCCAAACAGTGTCTTAACTGCTGCACCAAAAAAAAAAAAAAAAAAAAACCCTCAAGGAAATTTTTAATTTCCTTAACAGGAGCACATTATTCAATCTCCAGTTTCTTGTCATTGATTTTTATTCCACTGAGTTCAGAAAAGGTACACATGATTTGGATTTTTTTTTAATTTGGTTAGATTTTTTGTTTCTGGTCTAACAAATGGTATATCCAACACAATGTTCATCACTATTGTTTTTAGCTATATTAAGTAAGAAACACTCTTCTATTTTTACCTTCTAATTGTCTATTATTTCTATATATGAAGCCTATCAATTTCTGTTTCATTCTGTTTCTAGGTGATTTCCAAGAGATATTTGGGAAATGCTTATATTATTCTATCACTTTCAAGCCAGAATTGTAATGTGGTAAATCATCTTAGTTAAGGTTATAATTTTATATAAAGTCCAATGGTTATTTTCAGAGTTTGTCTTTATTGTTAATTATAATAGCATTAATCTGTTTCATGGAAACAGTTGACGGTATATTTTTTGACAGAAAAAGCAAATGTGGCCTTTTAAAGACACCTGTGGTATATCTGTTTCCTGCACCATCCTCCCAGTTAAATATCACAAAATCCCATAATGAATGGTTTCCTTTTCTGAAATTCTTTTCTGAAAGTTATCACAAATTATTTTGAAAACTTTTTTTAAAGATTTTATTTATTTGAAAGGCAGAGTTACGGAGAGAAGTCTTCCATTCGCTGGTTCACTCACCACAGCTGCAATGGCTGGAGATGAGCTGATCCAGAACCAGATGAAAAATTATTTTTAAGTTGGAAACCTACAATGTATTCTCTAGAATATTTGTTTTACTCATAATTCTAGAAGTTTTGGATATCACTTTGTCTTAAATTTTTGAAATAGTTAGCAACATTTAAAAATTTTAGAAAACAAAAGCAGGGTCTGACATTTTGGCGCAGCAGGTTAAGAAGCCACCTGTGATGTCAGCATCCCATATCAGAATGCCAGTTCTAACTTTATGCTAGTACACCTGGAAAGGCCATAGAAGACGGCCTAAGAAGTTGGTGCCCTACATCCCATGTGGGAGACCAGGATGGAGTTCCCAGCTCCTAGCCTTGGCCTAGCTGAAATTTAGCTGTTGCAGCCATTTGGAGAGTAAACCAGAGGATGGAAAACTGATCTCTCTCTGATACTCTGCCTTTCAAATAACTAAGTAAATAAAGCTTTATAAAAAAAGATATTTGTAAATCAAAATATAAAACAAAAGAAATCCAAAGCAATCACCCATTACAGAGTGGTATATTATGGGTTATTCGTATTAGAACAAACATTATATCTTACAGTCAATATCTTAAAAGATGCAGGACTGGCATTGTGGAGGAGCAAGTTAACCCACTGCCTGGAGTGCTGGCATCCCAAATGGGTGCAGGTTTGTGTCCTGGTTGCTCCACTTCTGATCCAAGTCCCTGTTAATGAGCTTGGGAAAGCAGCAGATGTTGACCCAACTGCTTGGGCCCCTGAATCTACATGGGACACCTATAGAAAGCACCTGGTTCTGACTTTAGCCTGGCATAGGCCTGTCTGTTTTGGTCATTTGGGGAGTGAGCCAGCAGATGAAAGACCGATATCTCTCTCTCTTTCTCTGTAACTCTGCCTTTCAAATGAATAAATAAATCTTTAAAAAGAAAAAAAAAATAACTTACAAGATGTAATCCCACATCCCTACCATTATTTAGTAAGATGCAGATTTTGAGACCATAACTACATTGTATTAATTACAGGGTTTAAAAAAAAAGGCAAAGACACAGAAAAAAACATTAAGATGTACCTGCATCGTTTGGAAGGAAAAATCGTCTTGCAAGAATTTCTTAACATGAGGAACTACACCTTTTGGTAGACTATTAATTGCATTTAATAGCTTCTTCACTTCTACTAGTAGGTTAACATGGACAAGTTCAGAAGGTATGTCTTTTTCCTGTTTGTCCTAGAAGACATTATTCATAAAAAATTCACACAATTATACATATTCTCATTTACGAAAAAAAGAACAATGTACCTCTTATATGCAGATTACTGTGACAGAACCATACAAATCCATGTAAGAATAAGACACTCTGCTCTCCTGGAACTTACATTACAGAGATTACTCCATATATAATAATATTAAAGCTATTTAAGAGTGTTTTTACAGATGCATCTAATGCTTAAAATACTAAATACACAGAAATTTGACATGAACAGAGTTGCAATAATTTAAATTGTAAACAAAAACAGTCACTCAATTCAGTAAGGGTCAATCAACAAGTAAGAATCTTGAGACTTCAAGAATTGATTTATATAGACTTACTAAAGGCATCACTAAAGGTTAGTTGACAATTACACACTTAATTCTTGCTGGATTGTCTATTAATATCAGTGTGAAGAAGAGGTGGGCAATAGAAATGGGTAGATGGCTGGGAACACACGGATGACAGCCTTCCTTTAGACCTTAGTGTTTGAATTCCTATATCCTGTTAAAGCTATAATTATGCTGTTTGACCTGTAAAAATCAAAAGTAACAGCTTTCTACTGCAGAATCCATATAGAAATTAAGCCACTAAAATGCCAAGCATGAGGTAGACTGTGACAGAAAAGTGACTAGAAGCATTATAGGACAATCTATGTTCACTTTCCCCTTTAGAGTTTGAGTTTGAAATTAATATTCTTCTATTCTCATCCATATATAACAAATACATCTTATATTTTATAGTACTTTATATATGAAACTATATCAAAAATGGAAGAAAATGTTATATGTTTGCTATATCTCTGTACAGGGTATACAGGTGTTTACTATTCTTGTCACTTTTGTGTAGGATTTGAAAAAATAAAGTAAAATGAAGCTATTCATTGTAAAAAACGAAGAGAGGGAACAAGAGAGGAAGGAGGAGAAAAGGTGGGAGTGTGGGCAGGAAGGAGAGCAGGGTGGTAAGTATTACTATGTTACGAAATACAATGTATGTATACATGAAATACATGATATGTATGTACCTTAAATAAAATTTTAAAAATTTTTAATAAAGTAACTAAAAAAATCTCATAAAATAAAACAACTTTCAGCACTACAAATATTTCAAGCCAATGGCCAATTCTGCAGTCAAAAGGCATGGCAGAATCATCTGATAATAATTAACAAATTTATATACATGTAAGATTACAGCATGAATAAAAATTTTTAACAGGAAATATTGTCAAAATATTTAATACTATATCCATTTTTACAAAATTGATTTATCATCTAAATCAAATTCAGGTCAGCATGCACACATTCCTTGTTTTTTATATTCCCTATTTTTGTATCTAGAAATGTCTTTTCTAGTACTGATCCCTTTTTTTGTTGTCTTTGCTAAACTGAACAACCCTCTGGTGCTTCTCCTGGTCTCCCATGGGGTGCAGGGCCAACCTCCACTGCACTCCCGGGCCATAGCAGAGAGCTGGCCTGGAAGAGGGGCAACCGGGACAGAATCCGGCGCCCCGACCAGGACTAGAACCTGGTGTGCCGGCACCACAAGGCGGAGGATTAGCCTATTGAGCCGCAGCGCCGGCCCTCAGTTACATTTTTGTAAGTGATGATCTCATGCAAGTTAATACTATCATTATTTTATATTTATATATTTTCCTCCCAAATTAAGGATAATCTTTGCAAACATTACTAATAATGGACATCAGCATGACATAAAACTACATGGAAGGTAAAAATTGCACTGACAAAAACATAAAACAACTATATTTTGTCTTTCTTTGACCAAATACTAGGATATATGGTATTAACCTAAAAATGAATTGCCAGGGCTGGTGTTCTGGCATGATAGATTGAGTCACTGCCTGTGATGCCGGCTCCACTTCAAATTCAGCTCCCTGTGGTGTGCCTGGGAAGACAGGAAAAGATGGCCCATGTGCTTGGGCCCCTGTCATCCACATGAGAGACCCGGAAGAACCTCCTGGCTTCAGCCTGGCCCAGCACCAGCCATTGAGGTCATTTGTGGAGCGAACCAGCAGATGGAAGATATCTCTCTATCTCTCCCTCTCTCTCTCTCTATGGGATAAAGCCCCTGCCTGCAGCACTCGCATCCCCTATGGGAGCCAGTTCAAGTCCCAGCTGCTGCAATTCTGATCCAGCTCTCTGCTATGGCCTGGGAAAGCAGTGTAAGATGACCCAAGTCCTTGGACCCTGCACCTGCATGGGAGACCCAGAAGAAGCTCCCGCTCCTGGCTTCGGATTGGCACAGGACCAGCCGTTGCAGCCAACTGAGAAGTGAACCAACGGATAGAAGACATTTCTCTCTCTCTCTGCTCTCGCCTCCTCCTTCGGAGGGTAGCTCTTCCAAGTAAATAAATAAATTTTTAGGCGGGGGGGGGGGGCTCAATAGGCTAATCCTCCCCCTAGGGGCGCGGGCACACCGGGTTCTAGTCCCGGTGGGGGCCCCGGATTTTGTCCCGGTTGCCCCTCTTCCAGGCCAGCTCTTTGCTGTGCCCAGGGAGTGCAGTGGAGGATGGCCCAGGTGCTTGGGCCCTCCACCCCATGGGAGACCAGGAAAAGCACCGGGCTCCTGGCTCCTGCCATCAGATCAGCGCGGTGCCCCGGCCGCAGCGCCCCGGCCGCGGCGCCCATTGGAGGGTGAACCAACGGCAAAGGAAGACCTTTTTTTTTGTTTTTTTTTTTCCCTGTCCCCTTTGCCTGTCAAAAAAAAAAAAAAAAAAAAAAAAAAAAAAAAAAAAAAAAAAAAAAAAAAAAAAAATCAATCTTTAAAAAAAAAAAATTTTTAACAGATTATTAAACCAAGTAGATTTGGCATTACATTCTCTTACATAATTATTCATTATTGATTAACTAAAATTTAACAAAAAGTAAATTTTCTCTTACCAATTGACCAGTTGACTTATCTACTTTATTCTCAAGTTCCTCCTTTCTCTGTTCCTCCACAGCAGGTTCCCTATTTTAAAATGAAAAAAGAAAGGTATATGCAGTGTATCTTCTCACAAAGAACACAACTAAATTCTAATAGTAAATAAACAAATAATTGAATTTTGCCTGAAAGTTTTAAAGTTTAACCAATATGTTTTAAAGCTTGATGATGATGGTAGGTGCCATCTCTCTTTAGGAACTCATGATAAAAAAAAATAAACCACACCATGCCTTTTCTGGGGGGTGGTAGAGAAAAATAGCAAACTGATGTAAAAATACTTTGCATCTTAGACTAATAAATCAAAACAATGAGAAAAATTATTCTTTTAGAGAAGCACTGTTTCAAAGTAAAGAAAAAAGGTCTCTGAAAAGGTTGATGTTTTATTTGTGTGTGTGTGCATGGTATATGAAAATAATAAAGGTTAGGAAAATATCTATGATAGATGGATCATTTTATTTTGCATTTTGGGTTCCTAGACTTATAGTTTAGTTTACCAACATATTTTTTAATTGAGGGAGAATATTATATATAGAAATTATGAATAATGACACTTTTTGCTTTCAACATTGGCTTACGATATGAAAATTTCACATTCTGTTACATTCTGAATTTTAAAAATTATTTATAAAATTTTTTTTGCTTTCATATAAAGCCATAACATAAGAATCATAATTTAGAATCATATATGATTTACATGATCTTCATTCTTGCAATATCAATGATAAAGAGGTAAGATATTTTATATTGATTAATTTACTTAGAACTATACAGATATTATCAAAATTTACTTATGTATTTCTTTGACAATCAACTATCATATGCTAACTGATTTTGTTGGGGAAAACTGGAATGGATCAATAATGTAGTGCATTTTCAAACTTCCAGTAAAAGTTTCAACAAAAGATGATTTACACATACAAACATTACACAATATGATTCTCACTGCTCTTCAAGTGTCATGGTAAAGATAAACCTATTAGCTGTCTTTTCCTTCACTTCTAAGCTGCATTCAAAAAGAACAAAATAAATCACCATGTGTAATCAATGAATGAAAAATACTATAATAGTATGTTAAAGGCTTTCAAGGTTTGAAAAGTATACAAAGTTTTCTCAAATGTAAACTCTCACTCCATTTCATGATTGTTTACTCCTTAACCCAGTATATCTAATATAATATTTATTAATTTTGTCTAAAGATGTAATTATTTTATACATCTCCTTACCACCTTATAAAGTTCTGAGTGTGAATATTTTGTCTTAGTTTTTATTTCCTAATAACCAAGGAGTCAGTAAATTCTTGTAAAATAAATGTCACATTGTTTGCCATGAGTCATAATAAGAATGGAAAGAAATATCCAATATTGACCTGATTTTTAGTATTATATGGAAGAGACGAAGAGATTGAAGTTTCCTTGGTTGTAGGGAACAGACTCCCTTTTGGCCTGGGCCGAAATGAACCACTCAGTAAGGTGTTCTTTTTAAAACAAGAATAAGAGCACTCACTTCATAGTTGTTCTGAAGCTTATATGAGTTAAAATTTATTAAAAACAGTGTCTCTCACATAATAACTCTGTGTAACGGCTTTTTAAGTGACAAATGAGAATGCCCAAGAACAGCAAGGTATGACATATTTTCAATTCTTTGCTCTTTAGCCAGGATGTGATCCCTACAAAACTTTTATAAAATTAGAGTTCCCATCATCTACATCCTCTACTAATCAAAGTTGCTAAATTGTCTCGAAGTATCTCATTAACAGTAGCTTCCCAAGGTTATGTGGAAAAGACAAATGCCCTATCTTTGGGTTATAACAAATGCAGTTGGATTTGGCCGCGTATCCCTTACCTCACAAAAAATTCTTCTGGTACAGAATCCATGCTGGACAATGTTCCTTTACAAAAGTCTTATCCAGTGTTTGCAAATTGATTTTTACCACTGCTGTTTAAAGCTGAAAGAAAAATAATATTTTTAATGAGAAGGCAGGAGAGTTAAACTGTTTCTCTGAACTATATAAATTGTACATGTTCATTAAAAAAAGCTGAGACTTCTATAAAGCAAGCACATATCATAGTTTTACCACCCAAAACTAATCGCTGCCTATAACCTAATCTACTTTTCTCTAAACAAAAGTATATTTCACCAATTTTTAATTTTACTGAATAGGAAATAGTCTATCCCACTTTTTCCATCACTGTATGTTAAAGCATCTTTCATGTTATTTTACCCTTGTAGTAAAGCAATGTTAATTGCTACAAAACTGGGTGAGGGCTCCTTACTACTTCCATATTATGGTAGAGGCCTTTGTCTTCTAATTAAAATTGTTTCTAACTAACATGATTAAAGTTGTGGTAGAGGCTGCTCCATGGTCAGACAGATAAAAGAAACTTACTCTGGAAATGAAATGTGGTCATTATCTGCTTGCCTGTGAATGCTTCAACTGTAGTTATAATCTGCTTATATGTAACCATTTCAGGTTTTGCTTGCTAGTACAGAGCAATGGTGTTAAACCTTGCCAGAGAGTATGCAGCTCAGTATGTGTGTGAAAGAATCAGCATCAGTAACTGTACCCATGTGCAGTATTGTATCAATTATAGTGGCCACTATGTAACATCAGAACATCCAATCAAATGTATGCTTGTGAGCATGTAAGCATAGGAGGGAAACAAAAAGGCCAAAACCACATATAAGAAAATACCCCTCTGTTCAGGGGTCAGGCTTCTGCGTAAGAAATTCTGCTTAGGCCTTATGCCAGCATAAATAAAAGACTACTTCCTGCTAAGAGGTCTTGATGTCTCTGTACATGAAATCTGCTACAACATAATTAGACATTTTCATTTCTTCTCCATTATAAATAATTACTCCCATGACAAACTCTAGTGTTCCTAAGGCTTTTTCTATATTTATGATTATTTCCTTATAATAAATTCTCAGAAGCAGAATTCCCAGGTGAAAAGACAAATAATTTAAGCAACTTGGTGCATATTGCAAAATGGTTTCCCAGAAGGTTTGCACTAATTTATTTCCTATAGAAGTATATGAGTTCCTGCTTAATACAATCTTTAAATTTTATTATAATTATTAATTTGAGAGAGAAACAGATCTCCCTTCTGCTAATTCATTCCTCAAATGCCTACACCAGCCAGGACTGAACCAGTCCAAAGACAGGAGCCAAGGACTCAATCCAGATCTCTCATGTGAGGGATCCAACTACTTGAAACATCACAGGCTGCCTCTCAGGGTGTACAACAGCAGAAAGCTGGAATTGGGAGTGGCACTGGGACTTGAACCCAGGCACACAAATGCTGTGCAAAATGCCTGCCCACCACAATTTAGATAGCACTAATTTGTTTCCTTTCAGTCTAAAAATACCATGTAGCCACTTTCTCCCAAGATGTTATAATTTTATTTCTCTATAAAATAGAAGACACGGGATATAAAGAATTATTAAACAGTTTCAAATATCAATGGATGTTGAAAATGCTGACTAGAGTACCATTAGTGTATATATACTTATTCATATAGCTCCCTATTTAACTATTTCAAAAAACTCTCCTAAAAAGTGCTGTTTGGGACATCTGCCATTCTATGAGTCTGCTGTGTATCCCACTTCCCATGTTGCATCGTTCTCTCCCTTTTTGATTCTATCAGTTAGTATTAGCAGACACTAGTCTTGTTTGTGTGATCCCTTTGACTCTTAGACCTATCAGTGTGATCAATTGTGAACTGAAATTGATCACTTGGACTAGTGAGATGGCATTGGTACATGCCACCTTGATGGGATTGTATTGGAATCCCCTGGCATGTTTCTAACTCCACCATTTGGGGCAAGTCCGATTGAGCATGTCCCAAATTGTACATCTCCTCCCTCTCTTATTTCCACTCTTATATTTAACAGGGATCACTTTTCAGTTAAATTCAACACCTAAGAATAAATGTGTGTTAATTACAGAGTTCAATAAATAGTATTAACTAGAACAAAAAAATACTAAAAGGGATAAAGTATTAAATTGTACATTACTGTCAAAAGTAAGTTGAAAGACTGCATGGTACTGTTGGTAACAGCATAAAAACTCTGGAATCACTCTGCAAAGGTATATGGGCCTGCTGTGATACACACTAGTTCTATGACCTTAAGTGAAATTAACATTCTCTGTGTCTGTTTCTTTATCTGAATACTGGAGATAATGAGATATCTAATTTATAAGGTTGTTGTGAAGACAGAATGCTTAAAACACAGCATAGAATAGTATCCTGCACATAGTAAACATTACATAAATGTTCCTATCAAAACCATCTTCCTCCTCCTCAGCATCATTTAACCTTTAGGTTTTGAACAAATTCATTCATTATCCCCTATTTCTATACATGATGAAGAAATGCAACTGTATGAAAAGGAGTAACAACTAAACTTAAGAAATGGGATGAGGCTGGTGCCATGGCGCAGTAGGTTAATCCTCTGTCTGGGGTGCCAGCATCCCATATGGCGCCGGTTCCAGTCCCAGCTGCTCCATTTCTTATCCGGCTCTCGGCTGTGACCTGGGAAAGCAGTAGAGAATGGCCCACGTCCATGGGCCCCTGCACCTACATGGGAGACAGGGAAGACGCACCTGGCTCCTGGCTTCAGATCGGTGTAGCTCCAGCCATTGCGGCCATTTGGGGAATGAACCAACGGATGGAAGCCCTTTCTCTCTGTCTCTCCTTCTCACTATCTGTAACTCTACCTCTCAAATAAATAATAAGAAATGGGACAAAAGCTATTTCTCACATACATCACACATGAAACAAATGGCACTAAGCTTTTCACATCAGCACATATATATATTTACCGTAGTATTTAAACTATAGGATATGCCATTGTATAAATTTTATTATGCCCAGATTTGCCTCTTAATTTTTTTTTGCTACTGCAAACAATGCTGCAATAACAACCTTGAAAATAAAACTTGGTAACATCTCGATAGCTGTTTTTAAAAGCTAAATTTACATCAGCATAGAATTAAACATCAACATTGAACTAGAAGTTTCTACATGTTATCAAGCAAACTTTGACACTACTAGTAAACACTTCTTTTGTTTTACCATAAGAATCCCAAAGCTTCCTGTAAGTGGAGATATTAGATGCTATGATCATTTCAAGACTTAAAAAAATGAACAAAATGCCTCTGGGAATATGTCAAGAGACTTTGTGATGGAGTTCCCTAGAACCAAAATTGTAACTATGGTTCATCGGATTATTTCTGATAGACAATCATTTTGAAGTGGTATAAGGGGTTATCTTAGTTACTGGGGCTGCTGTAACAAAGTATAAACAACAGAAATATCTTTCTCACAGTTCTGGAGGCTGGAAATCTGACATTAAGGTGCCAGCAGAGTCAGCAGGATCTCTTCTGGGATGTTCACTTCTTATCAGCATGTGGCAGAGGAGGCTGAGAGCTTTCTAGGGTCCTTTGTATTTTCCCCCTCATGAGGATCACCTTTATAAACTGATTTACTTTCCAAGGTCCGTATCCTGATACCATTATACCGAGAGTTAGGATTTCAAGACAGAATTTGAAAATGAGGCATATTCAGTTCTTTGTTTTTTTGAATTTGTATAACTTCCTGGTAAGGTCATAAAATCAGCATATCTAGACATAAAAGGCCAAAACATTATTGGGTCCCAAAGAATATATTGGTTCCTAGGGTAAACTCTAGGGCTGATGAATGATGACTGTAAAATCTTTGCAAAAGTTATCAGAAGCTGAAGATATTTCCTGCCCTGCCCTCTGCCCCCCCCAAAAAAAAACAAAAACAATGTGCATCTTAGCACTTTGCCACTATGTAAATATTGTTTGTACTATCTGGCAGCTTAAACCAGGAAGCAAGAAATCTGACAATGTATACTGATTGCCCCCTTGTTATAAACCTGCCAATACATGATCCCTAAAGCAAAATCAGCATCTTAGTAAAAGCAGGATTTTAAGGTTTTTTTGAGAATCCATTCAGTTACTTCTGGACTTACCCAGCAAACTTACAGGATTAATCATTTGTTTTCAATGTTAGGAATGCACTTGCAATGAATATGAAAGTTTAGGAGTTAGTTGAAAATGCATCCAGATACTAAATTTGTCAGCAGATTCAGGTATTTAAAGGTAGCACTGCTAAAATCATATTGTTTATAAATGTAGCTAGGAACCACAAGAATGGCATATGCTGCCCCTAAGTACATTCTTCCCAAGTGGAATATTTTCAGCAACTCAAAAATGTTATATTGCCATTACCACTGTTGGACCATAATTATGAAAGGAGAATTTTGAAACATGGCATCTGTAGAGATGACCATCAACCAGAGAATGGAGGACACTTTTTTTATGTACTTGGATACCCCACCACCAATGACAAAGCACCTTCAGCCTCCTCCAACTATGCAAGTGAACTGGCTGCTCTGATAACTTAGAAAGATATAAACTTTAAGAAAGGTTTAAGCGAGAAAGAACATCAAGCCTTTGGTATGAAGTTTTCTTTCATATAAAATTAGCTGGTTACATAAAGCTTGAAAATAAGATTACTTTTCATCAGCTCTGATGTCCCAGGATCTATGTTATGTATCTATGTATACTAATCTTCACAAAACTTGGAAAGATAAACATCTCTGCAATCAGTTTTAAGAATTAAGAACCTGAGGCCTAGAGAGTTCTTGTAAGCTGGTAAGTCAGTAGTTGTAGGAATTCCTGCCCAGATTTCACGAGCTGTAAATTTTTTGTTCTTTCCAGTGCCATACTGACTGTATAAGCTTATTGTACAATTATGAGTCAGGCTAGATAATACACACACACAGTGAGAAACAGAACTATTTATATGATCTCTCGAATCAGAAACCAATACATAAAAAAAATTGTCAAGCAAAAAAAAGTCCTCTGAATTGACAAAACACGATTTCTAATTAACGACTTAATTAAAGGGACATGTAGCCTATTCTCACAATTTTCTACAACCCGGTTTTTAAAGCTTTATTCGTCATTAGCCCTTTAACTGCAGAACCAGATACGGACTTTTCATTCAGATACACATGCATCGTAATATGGCTGATAAAAACCGCAAAGAATGCCAATTTCGTAGCCACTGACATTTATAAACAAACAATCAAGCCAAACAGAAAAACACCTCAACTTACAAAAGTGACGCTAGTGCGAACACCTTCGGAGTATCACCTGGCCCAGGAATCCCCCCCGGGGGTGGCTTTCTCCAGAGCCAGATTACCGTCGTGAGGGCGCGATTAACTTGCCTCACAGCCGCAAAGAACGTACGAGGAAACCACCACACCTGGGCAGAAGGGACGGACGCCTGAGACACAGAGGCCTCTGCAGCCCGCCTCAAAACCCAAGTCACCGAAACTCTTCTCCTCCCGAGTTCCTCACCGTGTCTAGATAGAGGACAGCGATCATTTCTCTGGTAGAGGATGACGCAAAAAGCAAAAACCGGCCATCCATTAGCAAGACCGAGATCGCTCACGACATTCCGGGCGCAGATGCACACCCCCTTGCGCTTAACCGCCCCTCCACAGATCGATCCACAGTCACATTTCTCGCGAGATTTTTCGCCTTCACGGGATCTCACATTGAAACCTCGCGGACTCTTGGACAAGTAGGGGATAGGAGGGAGAGGTTCCCAAGCCCCTTCACAGATTCATAGAGCACCTCTAGCCACACGCACCACGCCCATCAACCGCGAGTGGCTGGGCACTTCCGGAGCCTGACCGGAACCGGAAGCTTCCGGGAACAGGGTGGGTGGGCGGTGCCGAAAATCAAATAAAGCGCGGCGAACGCCGGAGCCGGGAGCTGTCAGGGTAGTGGTGGATCTTCTGCAAGGCTGCAAGGACCAAGGCCTGTCTCCATGGATTCTACCGCCTGCTTGAAGTCCTTGCTCCTGACCATCGGTCAGTATAAAGCCGTTAAGTCAGAGGCGAACGCTACCCAGCTCTTGCGGCACTTGGAGGTGAGACGCCTTGGGGTGGGGGGGAAATGGGGCGTCCCTGGTTACTAATCCTTAGTTCACCGTGTGTTCTGGGAGTGGGCCCCCAGCCTGGGAAAGAAGACCCTCGGTACTTTCTAGGTATCGCTTAGTACTGCTAAAGGCGACTGTTGGCGTGCAGCTCGCTTAAACGAGAGGAATGTGAGCTTTCTGAAGGTTAAAGATGGGGCAAAACGTTGGAGATGCTGGCTGTGTTTCGGTTAGGAAAAGGAGAAAGCTCAGAGCTTGTCTAATATTCCTTTGCTCCCCGGTTTTCGTTTTCACACTGCAGCCAAGCTCGCACAGTGTATACAGCTGTTTTCGGGGCAGATGTGGCAAGGAGTTAACGATTTGATAATTTGTTAAAAGAACTCGGACTTTAAAATGACCCTCAGCTGTGTCTTTAAGTTATGTAAACTTTTTATAGCAGGCGTATAACAATTGTACATATCTATGGGGTACCATGTAATACTTTGGTACATGTGTTCATTGTTCAGTGTTCAAGCAGAGTAAATAATAATATCCTCAAACATTTAGCACTTCTTTAGAGTGAAAACATTCAAAATCCTATCTGTAGTTTTTTAATAGAGACATGTACAGTATATTATCTATAGTCACCCTTCTGGAAAGTAGGACTCCAGAACTACTTACTGCTGTCTACCTGTACCTTGTGGCCTATTAATTAGTCTTTCCCCAGGCACTGTTAACCACCATTGTATTTTTTACATAAGATCACCTTTATTTAGGCTCCAATTATGTGAGATCATGCGATACTTTTCTGTGTTTGCCTTATTTCACTCAACATAATGACTTCCAGTTCCAGTTGTTGTTAGGAATGATAGCAATTCTTTTTTTAATGGCTGAGCAATAGTATCCTGTTGTCCTGTTGTGTTTATGTACCACTTTATTTTTTTTTCATTCATCAATGGGAAGACATTTCCTGACTACTGTGAATAGTGCTCCATAAACATGGAAATGCAAGTTAATGTTCTACAGAGTGATTTCATTTTCCTTTGATGTATGTCCAGTAGTGGGATTGCTGGATAATATGGTAGTTCTATTTTTAAATTTTGAGAAACTGCTTTTCTGTTTCCCACAGAGGCTGTATATTCCTTACTAGTAATCATAATCTATTTTCTTTACCAAAAGATCTTTTATCTCTGTCTCTCACTCTCTTTAACTCTGCTTTTCAAATAAATAAATATTAAAAAAAAAAAAAAAAAACAGGTCTGACATGAGGTCTGCTGGTTCACTCCTCAAATTGCCGCCACAGCCAGGGCTGAGCCAGCAGCTTCTGTCTCCCATGTGGGTGGCAAAGACCCAAGTACCTGGGGCATCTTCTACTGCTTTCCCAGGCACATTAACAGGGATCGGTATTGGAAGTGGAGCAGCCAGCACCCATATAGGATGCCAGCATCGCAGGTGGTGGCTAACCCGTTACACCATAATGCTGGCTCGGATGTTACTGAGCCATAGGTCCGATCCTGGGGAGAAGCATGTTTCATGTAGAAAATGTCTGAATCTTCTGGAGGGCCAGATTTATAAATAGGAAAAAGAATATTGCTCAAAATATCTGTTACCAGATATTTCATACTTGGATTTATTTTTCCTGTCTTATAGGCTTTCATTTAACAATAGTGTTGACATGTATTCCTTTAAAAAACAGAATGGGAAACTTTTTTTCAGCAAGACTTTAGAAGGAAAACTGGCATGTGGATGAGGGAATGAAAGAAGGATACCAGGGGCTAGCGTTGTGGCACACTGGGTTAATCCTCCACCTGCGGCGCTGGCATCCCATATGGGCACTGGTTCCAGTCCCGGTTGCTCCTCTTCCAGTCCAGTTCTCTCCTGTGGCCTGGAATACCAGTGGAGGATGGCCCAAGTGCTTGGGCCCCTGAACCCGCGTGGGAGACCAGGAGGAGGCTCCTGGCTCCTGGCTTCGGACCGGCGCAGCTCCAGCCATTGTGACCATTTGGGGAATGAATCAACAGAAGGAAGACCTATCTGTCTGTCTCTCTCTCACTGTCTGTAACTCTACCTGCCAAAAAATTGATAAAATCTTTAAAAAAAAAAAAAAAGGATACAGAAGGGAAAGGTTAGAGGAATACTAAGGTAACCAGCTTAGGACTGATCTTTTAGATTCAGTCTTTAGAGCAGATTTACTCTAATTCCAAAGTAAATAATGGGTTTTTCCATGCTTATGGAAAAAAACTTAATAATGAATACATTCGTAGAGCATTTTGAAAATTATGCTTTCTGATAACTCATTTTAGCTTTTGAATCTCAACTCTGCTACTCTTCTCCCCTCCCCTCCCTTCTCATCTCTTTCGTTCCTTTTCTCCTGTTCTTTCTTCCCATCTTCTGCTTCTCTTCCCTTAACCTTTCTTTTCTCTACCCTTCTCTGCATGTAGTTTATAGGTTATAAGAAAACAGTAAAAAAATGGAATAACTAAAAATTAAATTTCTTATTGCTTTTCTGTCTACTTGAAAAAAAATTTCTTTATTCCTTGTAATCTCTTAATTTCTGAGCTCGTTTGTTACATTTGGGAAGGAACTGAAACAATCTCATAGTTCCACTCTGGATTTCATTTTCCATTCTCTTCCCTCAAAGTAAGTGGAATGAATGTACTTGGAATTCATTCATATATGCTTGAGTGCAGATTTATGACTTTGTCATTTGTTTAATGTAGTCTGGAGGGTAAATATTGCTAAATAGTCGAAGTTTGCTAACTCAGAAATACTACTATAATCAATAATGTAATAGGCAAACTTAACCTAGATGATCTAAGAGCTGAGGCTTAGGAAAAACTTCTGGAAGCAATGAATTTGAATTAAGATCTAAATGACTACTTCAGCGAGTTAGGGAACAAGTAGGTCTCTTCTAGGCAGAGATAACAATGTGTGAATTTTCTGAATTGGGAAGAAGGTGGTATTAACACTTTAGAAGAATTTAGTTTTTATTTGTAGTGGAGCAGATGAAAAGTGCCACCTATAGTATTAGTGTTATTTACTGAGGGCAGCAGATGACAAAATATGGTGAGAACTCATGTAAGAGTGAACTGTCACATCTCAAACCACAACAGAGAGAGAGAGTGGGTGGGACCATACACAAGCCTTAAATGTACAACTGTAATGAGAACTGCCTTCTGAGGGCACGCCCCCTGTGAGTTAAGGACATCTCACTGTCCCTCATCCTTTGCATCTCATGGTAGAACCACCCTAGTGACCAAGCCATAAACATTTGGACCTCTGGGGACATTCAACATCCAAATCACAATAGCACCAACTTTTAACTAACACATTTGGATTACTGTTTTATAGGTAATTTCCGGACAGAAGCTCACACGACTGTTTACATCAAATCAGATATTACCAAGTGAATGCCTAAGTTGCCTTGTAGAACTCCTTGAAGACCCAAACATAAGTGCTTCACTGATCTTAAGTATTATCAGTTTGCTATCTCAACTAGGTAATGCATTTAGTACTTTTTTTTTAGAAGATATATAAATTCAATATTTTTTAAAGTACAGATTTAGTTATTAGTTATTTAGTTATTTAGTAATGATTTTCATTCAAAAGTTTTATTGGAGAACTTCTCAGAATTTATACTTTGAAACTCTTAAAAGAAGGGCATGTTAAATGTAATATTTCTTAATTATTGAACCAAGGATTCTGAAGCAAATCAAAATTTCAGTGGTCTACAGAAAAGAATGAACTTCGGAAAGAGCTGTCCTATTTGTGCATTAAAAAATGCCAACAAAATATTTGCACATATACTTAATTCCAGTGTTAAGTATATCATTCAAAGTCAGTAATAGGTCCCAATCAAGGAAACATTGAATTTAAGAGTTAAAATACTAATGTTGTATTCTTTATTTTTCTCTATATTTTTAGTTTTTAAATATTCATTTAATAGTCCACTTTCCCCTGACTTGAGGGTAGGAGGATTGTTCTGTGTGTGGTTATAAAATCAATATATGCTCAATATAAAAAAAAACTAGTGATAACAACATTGTTAATAAAGAGTAGCATTGTTTGGTAGAACTTTCTTTGTTAACAGAGTACTTTTTTTAAAGATTTGTTATTTGAAAAACAGAGTTATAGAGAGAAAGAGAGAGAGAGAGAGCCAGAGAGGTTCATTCCCCCAAATGGCCACAAAAGCCAGAGCTAGGCCAACCAAAAATCAGGAGCCAGGAGCTTCTTCTGGGTCTCCCACATGAGTTCAAGGGCCCAAGCACTTGGGCCATCCTCTGCCTCTTTCCCAGGTGCTAACTCATTAGCAGGGAGCTGGATCAGAAGTGAAGCAGCCAAGACTCAAACTCACCCATATGGGATGCTTGCACTACAGGTAGCTTAACCTGCTGGGCCCCTAGAATGCATTTTAATTGCTCTAAACTTAAATAGCCTTATCTGGCTTAGTGGCTATCGAATCAGTCAGTATAGATATAGAGTAAAATAACCCTCATCAGTTCTACCTTTGAGAATAAAATCTTTAATGATTTGATATGTTTCTTCCCTGATCTCTTTCTGTGTTATAACAAATCATTTTAGATTTTTAGTTGGTTGTTTCTTAACACAAATGATGTTGCAGAGCACCAGGTGTTAATTTCCATGTTAGTATTTTTAAAAGATTTATTTATTTGAAAGAGTTAGAGAGAGGGAGAGACAGTTCTTGTATCACTGGTTCACTCCCCATATGGCTACAATAGCCCAGGCTGGGCCAGGTCAAATGCAGGAGCCAAGAGCTTCTTCCAGGTCTCCCACATGGGAGGTAGAGGCCCAAGTACTTGGGCCATTTCTGCTGCTTTTCCCAGGCCATTATTAGGGAACTGGATCTGAAGTGGAACAGCTGAGACTTAAACCGGTGCCCCTGTTGGAGGCTGTAGCTTAACCCACTGTGTCACAATGCCAACACCATGTTAGTATTCTTTTTAATGGCCATCTAAGTACCATAATTAAAGGATACTACAATTTATTCAGCCATTCCCCTAATGATGAACATGTGTACTTTTTAAAGTTTTTGCTGTTAGAATCAATAGTACAATGAATCTTTCTATGTGATTTGCTCTAATGTGAGTATATTTCTGTTGGATGAAATCCTATACTTTCAAGGTCATTTTTAATTTGATAGCTATGACTAAATTGCTTTCTGAAAAGGCACTGCCACTTCTAACATGCACTTATGATTTGAATGAGAGTGTCTGTCACTTTAAACATTTAAATATTTTTAAAAAATTTAAGTGATAATTTCTGTACATTTAAACTATAGTTTTTTAGTTACTATACTTTTTTAAAAATATTTTACGTTTATTGAAAAACTGAAGTGATAGTCATTTTTTTTGAAGATTTTTTTTTTTTTTTAATTTGGAAGTCAGAGTCAGAAAGAGATAGGGAGATAGGGAGAGGGAGAGACAGAGATTTTCCATTGCCTGTTCACAATTGTCTGCAACGGCTGGGGCTATGCCAGGCGGAATCAGGAGCCAGGAGCATGCAGGGGCCCAATCACTTGAGCTATCTTCCTCTGTTTTCTCAGACACATTAGCAGGGAGCTAGATCAGAAGTAGTACAGCCAGGACTTGAACTGATGCCCATAAGGGATGTTGGCATTGCAGGCAGCAGCTTTACCTGCTATGCCACAATGCCAGCCCCAAGTGATAGTCTTTTAATTAACAAATTTCTACAACTACACAAAGGAAGTTTTTTAATATTTACTCCATGTGTTGAAATGAATCTCCAAGTTAGATGGTATTGGGGAATAAAATTGTTATATCATATTTTTTTAATGATAGATTATTTTTTTCATGAAGACCTTATCAAAAAATGATACTTGTGAGGCCAGCACTGTGGCGTAGCGGATGGACTGCCGCCTGCAGTACTGGCTGGCATCCAATAAGGGAACCAGTTCAGTCCAGGCTGCCCCACTTCTGATCCAGCTCTCTGCTATGGCCTGGGAAAGCAGTAGAAGATGGCCCAAGTCCTTGGGCTCCTGCACCCACATGGGAGACCCAGAAGAATCTCCTGGCTCATGACTTCAGATTGGTGCATCTCTGGCCGTTGCGGCCAATTGGGGAGTGAACCAGTGGATAGAAGACCTCTCTCTCTCTTTGGCTCTCCTTCTCTCTCTGTGTAACTCTGACTTTCAAATAAATGAATAAATAGATCTTTAAAATGAAAAAATGATACATCTTTTACTATTCTAACCTACAGCTGTGGACAATGAAACCAGAGACTGTCTTCAAAATACATACAATCTGAATAATGTGCTGGCAGGAGTGGTTTGTCGGAGTAGCACTTGCCATAATGATTCTGTGTTTTTACAGGTATATGTTCCCCTATAATACGCTCTCTCTTAATACGTGTTCTCTTATTCTCAGGTAAAAATTGATGGTATTTATTATAAACTGCTTAGAATGTATTTGCTGGAATAATACCACATGATTAGACACAGTTCTTGCCAGTAAGAGCTGGTTGCACACACATGCACTGCTATTGAAATGTTTCTAGAGAAGCAAAAATGTTTTGCATTATAAACACAAATGTCTATTTTAGGATGTAAGCTATTCATATTAAAATAATTTGAATTAGCATCAAGTGTGATTCTGTTGTGGAAGCATACAAAAATTAAAGCTATAGAGAAAGTCTTATTTAGTATAGATTCAAAGCTCTCATTTCGATTATATTTAATTTAATCTAAAGAGGTATTAATTATAAAGACAGGAGTACATCACCAGTTAAACTGACATGCAATTTTACATGGTAAAATGTAAAAAGTTATTTTGGGATTGATGATGGGTATGTCTTTCAACCTACATTCAAGTTGAAGACAAGTGAACATAATTGGTGATGATACTGTATTTGAGATAAAATTTATAGGAATGTATAAGTCAGGAGGTGGACCCTAAGATTATTAGTAGTCCTATTATTGTTTGCATTAAAGGAAAACAAAAAAGCTTTTGCTCTATCCTCTGCCTCTAAAATGATATCGAACTCAGAATTTGCAAGGCAGTGCATTCTCGTGAAAAGGCAGTGTGTTTTTATATGTTTATATTCATAATTGTTTTCCTATTCTCAGTGTATTCAACTTCTGCAGAGGTTGACATATAACATCAAAATGTTCCATTCTGGTGCCAATATAGATGAATTAATTATGTACCTGATAGATCATATGTGAGTATACAACCAAACATTTAACTGCATAATCTGTTATTTTTGTACTAAAACCATATAGCTGACCTTTTTTTATTTTTTAAGATGTATTTATTTATTTGAAAAGGAGAGCTACAGAGAAAGAGGGAGAGACAGAGAGCTAGAGCTAGAGGTGTTCCATCTTCTGGTTCACTCCCCAGATGGCCATGATGGCTGGAGCAGAACCAGGAGCCAGGAGCTTCGTTCAAGTCTCACACATAAGTACAGGGTTCCAAGCACTTAGGTGGTTTTCTGATGCTTTCCCAGGCACGTTAGCAGAGAGCTGAATTGGAATTGGAGCAGCTGGGACTAGAACCAGCACACATATGGGATGCCATCTTTGCAAATGGCAGCTCTACACCCTATGCCGCAACTGCAACCCCACACTTTTTCTTGAAGAATACTTTTCTAACTTTAACTGAATGAGACTGTGATTCTTATTTATTCCTCTTAGATGACTTCAAAATCAGATGTAAAGCAGCTTTGATTTTCAAAAAAATTTATGAAAGGAGTTAAGTTTGGGAAAAATATGTTGAAAATAAACATTTTGCTTTTATGTGAGATCTTGATAGGATAATAGTACAGATGAAATAGCACTAGGCCACTGACAATTCCATATTTTTGTGATGTGGTTCAATAGAGTAATTTAGTTTCAAACCATAAAGTGAATAGGACTATTCTGAGGTTAACTGTCTTCACATTAGTTTTTTTTTTTTTGCATGTAAAAATTTACATGTGTACGTTGCTGTATCATTTTGACTAACTTAGAATGAATTTAATACTTTGCTTTTATTATTTTTCTTTAAAACATAAAATAACAGTCAGTCTTCTGAAGATGAATTAACAATGCCTTGTCTAGGATTATTGGCAAATCTTTGTCGGCACAATCTTTCTGTTCAAACACATATAAAGACTTTGGTAAGAAATTTTTTTGTTGTTTTTTTAAGTATTTCTTGTTTTGTAGTGGATTATATGCTTAAAGAAAATGCTACCCCTCCATTTCTTTCAAAAAATTAATAAGAATTCTTAAATATTGTTCAAGTGATCCATCAAGCTAGTGAAAAATCAGATTGACATATCACTTTTTTGAAGCATTGTGGCTTTTACATATGTTGTATTGAAGATTAAGTTAAGGGTTAATACAAATCTTGATTTGTAAACATTTTCCCTCTCCATGGTGTCCCAATATTTGTCACATTGAGTAACACAAGAATTGCTAAGTTATTTCATGGCAATAGAAAGGAAACATAACACTGGGAGTCCCGTATGCCTCAGTATTGTGTTTCCACAAAATCAGTGGTACCTCCACAGCAAGGTCCTGAGTAAGTGCTGGTGTCAATTGCCAGTCATTGTGATAAGTCAAGGCCCCTAAGTGAACTTAATCTACTTTCAGATATTACAACAAGAAATTTCATGTTTGCTTTAAGATACTTTATGAAAAACTCCCATTCTGTACAATATTCAGAATTACTTGTTTGGTGTTAAATAATATTTCGTTTGTCCAAGTGCTAGATTTTTCTGACCTGGTTTTGGTTTTTTTTTGATTTTAGATTGATTGTTTTGCAGGTAGAGTAACAGGGAGAAAGGAAAAGACATAGATAGATCTTCCATTTGCTTGTTTTCTACCAAATTTCTGCAACATCCAGGGATAGGCCAGGCTGTAGCCAGGAGACAAGAATTCCTGGCCTCCCTCATGGCTGATCATTTGAGCACTCTGCACCAGGGCCATCTTTTGCTGTTTTCCCAGGCGTATTAACAGGGAGCTGGATCTCAAGTGGAACAGACAGGACTCGAGCCAGCACTCTGCAAGCAGTGGCTTAACCCACTGTACCACAGTGCTGGCACCTGATCTGGTCTTTAAAGGTGGTGTTGATTTTGAGCTATGAGTGTTTCAGAAAGTTTTGTAGAGAAGGAAGAGAGAGCTATCAGTATGATAGCACACATTTATGCACACAAAGACATATTTTCAGTTTCCAAATTGAAAAGAACTGTTCATATTTAGCAAACAAATGAAGAGTAAATATTAATAATTCCACAGTTAGAAACTGCTCTTCACCAAAATTGTACCTGTATCTATTAGTGTTAATGATACAAGAGAACCCAGCTAACCCCTCAAATAATCTCTTAAATCTGAATGGTAATTAGCAAATGTGACCATTAACTACTACCCCCAAAATGTAACGCAAAAGAAATTTTATTAATTTGTTGACTGTTTTCTTGGTTTTCACGTGATTATGAGTGTCCCTCATCATTTCTTTCTTTAAGATTATTACTTGGAAGACACTTACAGAGAGAGCAAGAGACAGCTCTTCCAGATCTGGGCAGGCCAAACCCAGGAGCATAGAACTCCATCCTGGTCTCCCACATGGTTGATTGGGGCCCAAGCAATTGGGCCATCTTCCACTGCTTTCCCAAGCAAATTAGTAGTTAGCTGGATTGGAAGTGGAGCAGACAAGACTCAAACTGGTGCTCAAGTGGAATGATAGTATTGAGCTTAACCTACTGAGCCACAAGGCCAGTGTTTTCATTTTATTTGAGTGAGAAGTAGAAAGAGAAAGGAAACTCACATCTACTGACTCCTCAAATGCCTGCCACAGCCAGGGCCCTAAACGAGCAAGTTTGAACTCAATCCAGTTCTCCTATGCAGGTGATAGATCCAATCACTTGAGCTAACATTGCAGCCTCCCTGAGTCTATGTTAGCAGAAAGCTGGATTTGGGAGTGGAGCTGGCTGGTGATTGTCAATTTTAAAAGATAAATGTTGGAGAAATGTAGATTCTAGATAAATGTAAATTCAGAGATTATTATAAACAAAGAGCATTTTCAGGAAAAAATTAGTGAAGTTGCACAAATAAGTGAGAGATGGATTTCTGCTTTGTGTTGTCTGCTTAAAATAATAATTGCTTGGCCATGAATCAGGATGTCAATTCTAATAGATCAAGGGGGATATAGAGGTAGAACACAGAGAAGTACTGCTGAAAGCTATTTAAGTTAATAAAAAGTAGTGTATGGGCAGGAGTTGTGGCATGGTGGTTTAAGCCACTTCTCATCCAACTTCCTTCTAATGCACCTGGGAAAACAGATGATGGCTATGTACCTGGGCCCTTACTACCCACATAGGAGACCAGGATAGAGTACTTGGCTCCTAGCTTCACTGTGACCTAGCCCCAGCTATTTAAATATATTTTTTTAGAAAAACAGGGTCAATCATTTCTTACTGAAATAAGTCATAATGTTTATTATTATAAGTTTAGCCACTGTGTACCAGATATAGTTTGTAAACTGAAATATAAAACTTAAAATTTTTCATTCTAATTTTTTTTTTTTTAATTTCTCAGAGTAATGTGAAATCACTTTATCGAACTCTTATATCCTTCTTGGCCCATAGTAGTTTAACTGTGGTTGTGTTTGCACTTTCAATATTGTCCAGTTTGACTTTAAATGAAGAGGTGGGTGAAAAGGTAAATATGATGTTTTTTTCTACTTATAGAGTTAATTTTGAAGTATATGGTCTCTAAAATTTTAAAAGTCTTTAAGGGTTTTTGCATTTGTTGGTGTGATCAACTTAAAATTTTGGGATAACATTCTTTTCCTATTTCATTTTGAAGCTATTCCATGCTCGAAACATTCATCAGACTTTTCAACTAATATTTAATATTCTCATAAACGGTGATGGTACCCTGACTAGAAAGTATTCAGTTGACCTACTGATGGATCTCCTTAAGAATCCCAAAATTGCTGATTATCTTACCAGGTAGGACTTGACTTGAGTAAATTTTAAGCCTTTTTTTTTTTTTTTAAACTGTGATGTGTTTGTGACATATACAATGGCATTTTAGGTAATAGTAACTTTGGATTTTACTGATTCCATTCATTGTAGGCCAAATTTAAGACTAAGTTGAAATGTTTTGATTTACTTTACATCCATTCTTTTTGCTTTCCTGAACTGAAATGTAAAAGGTAAAACAAGGGTACATGTGGTTATTTCAGTTTTTGTCTGGATCAGTAGGATTATGTCATTTTTGAAAATGTAGGCATGTTGACTAATCCGTTTTAAAAAAAGTTTTCAAATCTTTGACAGAACATTGGAGTACTAAAGAAAGTTGGTAGGAACACAGATTTAAAAGATATTTATTTTTGCACAAAACTGTTTTTTAATTTTTTTTATTTAGTTGACAGGTAGAGGTAGAGTTTTAGACAGTGAGAGAGAGACAGAGAGAAAGGTCTTCCTTCCATTGATTCACTCCCCAAATGGCTGCCATGGCTAGCACTGCGCCGATCTGAAGCCAGGAGCCAGGTGCTTTTTCCTCGTCTCTCATGCAAGTGCACAGCTCCGGCCATACTTGGGCCATACTCCACTGCCCTCATGGACCACAGCAGTGAGCTGGACTGGAAGAGGAACAACCAGGACTAGAACTCGACGCCCATGTGGGATGCCGGCGTCGTAGGCAGAGGGCAGAGGATTAACCAAGTGAGCCAGGGCGCCGGCCCCAAAATTGTTTTAAAATGCATGCATAATTATTTTAAAGATTTATTTGAAAGTCAGAGTTGCACAGAGAGAGGAGAGGCAGAGAGAGAGAGGTCTTCCATCCTCTGGTTCACTCCTCAAGTGGCTGCAACGGCCGGAGCTGTGCGAATGTGAAGCCAGGAGCTTCTCCCTGGTCTCTCACGTGAGTGCAGGGGCTCAAAGACTTGAGCCATCTTCCACTGCTTTCCCAAGGGATAGCAGAGAGCTGGATCAGAAGTGGAACAGCCTGGACTTGAACGGGCACCCATATGGGATGCCGACACTGCAGGCGGTGGTTTTACCCGCTACGCCACAGCACTGGTCCCCCATGCATAATTTTTTTACATTATTAATTTTCTATGAAGTTTTTAAAGAATTTTTATTTCAGGAACATCATGTCAGTGTGTCTTTGTCTTATATTTTGTATAAAAAAAGAGATGGTTTTTTTTTGTATCTGCTCCTTTTATGTTGTAAAATCAGATCCTGTGTTTATGTCCTTTCTATGTCAGTGTAATTTGATCATTTGTATTTTGAAATCAAGTGGTAACTGGTTTCCAAGTAAATTAGATTTTCCTCTTGCCTAAACTCCTTTGTGATCCTTAATTAGGAAATTGTTGAAATACTTCAAAAATTAGATTACTGTCTAAGAAAACATTTATATAGCCCTTACTATGGTCAGTCACTGGAGGAAAATGAGGTCTTATTAGTGTCAAGATATTATGTCATAGTCCTTAATCTTTAAGAAACACAGAATGCAGACATCTAGAAAGTAAGTAAATTAAAAAAAAAAAAAAAACTTTTGTACTAGGACATAATTGATTATTATTCATATAAGAATATTTTTTCCAACCAGGAAGCACTCATATTAGCATTTCACTTTTTCTTCTCTTAAATGGAAGTAAATAAGACAGCTTTTTCTTCCAAAGTGCCCTTGCTTCACTTGCCTCCTCATCATGTTTTAAGAGTCTCATGAGGTACAAAGAGTCTCTTAAGGTACGAAAACCTCCTTCATATTTTGGAGATAAGTCCCAAGATCCCCAGTGGATACCTGCATCAAGGTAATACAAACCCTATACATGGAGTAAGCAGGTCTGTATCACTCATTTCAGGTGATCCCTTGAAATTGTCCTGTAGGCTCAGTGCTTTTTGTTTTAACAGGTTGCTCTTAGTTGGAGCACTTCTTTAATTTATGTCTCTCATCCACAAATGCAATAACTGTTTCAGTTTAACTAATTGCTTGTCATGCACTATGGCCGTTTCTTTTGTAATATGTTTTTTTCAATGATTTATTTATTTGAAAGAGTTACAGAAAAAGAAGGGGAAAGAAATGGTTCACTCCTCAGGGCCTGCAACAGCCAGGGCTGAGCCAGGCGGAAGCTAGGAGCCAAGGGTTTCAACCAGGTCTACCACTTAGGCAGCAGAGAGTTTGGGCCATCTTCCCCTGCTTTTTCCAGGCCACTAGCAGGAGCTAAAATCAGAAATGGAGCATCTGAAACATGAACTAGTGCCCAAATGGGATGCTGGCATTGCAAGTGGCATCTTTACCCACTATGCTACATTGCCGACCCCCTTTTGCAATTTAAGATGTGAATGCAAAACTGGCACAAATTTTTCTTCACAATTTCGCATGTAGTTTTGTTCTTACTATATCTTAGCAATCTCAGAATGTGATTTTTTTTTCCTTCCTTTATAGGTAGTGAACTTTCACCTATCCACTTAAAAAAGAAGATTTTTATCGCTTCTCTTTAGCATATCTTAGTTGCCACCCTCACTGTTGGGCATAGGGCAACTATTTTGTGAACTAAGTGTTGAACACAAGTGCCAGAATACTGTTAAAGTGTGGTAACCAAAGTGGCTAAATAAGAATTTATGGGTGGGCAGCATATGTACTTTGATTCATATCCCAAGTGAACAGAGTAGGATGTAGCATGGCACAAGATTTCATTATGTTACTCAGAATAGTGTGCAATTTAAAAGGAATGAACTGCTTGTCTCTAGAATTTTCTTTTTAATATTTTTGGCCAAGAGTTGAGCAAAGGTAACTGAAACCATTGAAAGCAAAACTATGGAAAAGGGAGCACTTCTGCATATCCATTCTTGCTGCCAGATAGTGTTTATTTTTAACTGTTTCATAGTAAACAGAATAAGGAGATGGAAAGATAATTGATTTAGCATCAGTAAAAGACTAGTTAATCACTTATTGTGTAACTCTTAGTTTCATTATCTATTTTCTTTATCTAACCTAAAACCCCAGAATCACTTCTAGCAAATCCTCTTTTTTTCTGCTGTGCTATTTAGCAAACTACCAATCCTGATTTTGTTCTAAAGTCTAATGCACAGGTTCCTGGTCAAAGCTTGAGAAAACCACACAATTTTATCTGGATTAAACCTTTTATTTTATTCTTAGTCACCTTTCTTTCCCATTTCCTACAGTGCCTCTTACAGCCTTTTATTATTTCCTCTTGCCATTAATCACACAGATGATAAACTTTTTCTTTGTTTCACATATAGAAAAATGAAGGAATCCCATCTAGTTGGATTCTTCCAATCTGCCTAAAGAAAAACTTACCTATGTTATTACCAGTTCTTAGTTTTATCATGTTTCACTCATAAACATACCTTACTGTTCTGTGCATTAAGTCTCATTTTGTCCTATCTTCAGTTTCCCCTATTGATTACTTTCCACTTAAGTGATCGTTTCCTTTTATTTATAAGTATGCCCAATTTCAACTTTTCCTTCAACTGTATGCACTTCTTACAATCCATAGTATCAGGGGCCTGCTTTATGGCACACCGAGTTAAGCGCTGCCTACAATGCTGGCATCCCATATGACTGCCAGTTCCAGATCCCTGCCAATTCATCTGTAAAGGAAGTGGAAAATGCCCCAGTGATCCATGTGGGTGACCAGAGTGGAGTTCCAGGCTCCTGGCTCCTGGATCCAGCCTCTTGCAGGAGGCCCCCTCCCAGGGGACCATTGAGGCCACTTGGGGAGTGAACCAGCAGATGGAAGATCTCTTTCTCTCTTTCAAAAAAGTAAATCTTTTTTAAAAAATATGATCTCTGTTTGCATTCAAAATGATTATCGAAATTTTTATCAGAGACCTCCTGATCTTTTCTTAACCTATTTTGTCAAATCGCTTCAACCAATAAACAGAAACTCCAACTTGCTAGAGATGCCATTTCATATATGAACTGCGGTTTTTTCAATAGTATTTCCTCTGGAAATCTGGAATGCTTTCTCATTTATATGCCTTATGTCCTGTTTATTCTTTTTAAAACTCAAGTCCTGGAAGTCTCACCTGATTAGGGCTGTCATGCCTTGTCTAGACTTGATACACATCCTCTGTTCTAAAGCATCCATCATCCATCATAGCATTATATTTTATTTCGCCTTATATTACTTACTTTTTCCTGCCTCCATTTTTAGACCATGAGCTTCCCAACAGGTTATAATTTTCCCTAATCTAGAATGTACTCAAATAGAATATGAGTGGTACTGCTCTGGTGTGGGACCTCTTAGAGTTGTATAAAATGGTTACTGCCCCTTCTAAATCTATAAAGCCAAATTTCATGTGTGGCCATTTTAGAGGCTATATGTAAATAAATGGTCATATGATTTATTAGCATATTTATTTGAACACAATCTTTTTTTTAAAGCTATTGAGGTCCTAAAATTTCTCTGATATTTTAATACCAGATGAGTCAATCTGTTTCAAATGAAAGGACCAATCCATATGTATCATAGCGGTAAGATATAGGTTCCAAGTTTTAAGTACTGATGGTCCCCAACTTACAATGGTTTAAGTTATAGTTTTTCACTTTCCATTGGTGCAAAAACCATATGTGTTCAATAGCAACTATACTTTGAATTTTGAGTTTTAATTTTTACCTAGGCCAGAGATAGGTGGTATAATAACTCTCAACCACCACAGCTGCTGGTCAGCCACGAAATCATGGGTAAACAGCTGATACTGTATAGTATACTGTACTTTTAAACTGGTGTTCAATAGGTTAGGTGTGTTAAATGTCTTTTCAACTTTGGTTGGATTGAGGACCACCTATTTAAACTTTATCAAGACTGTATTCTGTATTAGAAGCCCAAATAGGAAAATAGATGAAAGAAAATACTCTTAAATTTTGTGTTCACCTTGTAGATAAATTCTTTTTGCTGTATCAGTTTTTTTAAGTTATTATCTAAGCATTACATGAGTGTTTTTCATATACTTTTAAACCTAGGTATGAACACTTTTCTTCATGTCTTAATCAAGTATTAAGTCTTCTTAATGGGAAGGATCCTGACTCTTCTTCAAAGGTAGGTAAAAGCATGACATTTTGTTTTAAACTGTAAAAATTATTATGTACAGAAAAATCTATGTGCATAGCTCTCTGAATTTTTACAAACTTATACAGTCATGCAACCAGTGTCCAAATCAGGAAGTAGAACATGACTGATGTAGAACCTTCCACATGTTCCCTTTTAGTCAGTCCCTACCCTTACCTATCCCCTTACCTTTACCAAGGGTAACAACCATACTGACTGCTAATGACACTTTTTTTTCTGGTTTTGGATTTATGTAAATAAATCATATATATTTTGTGTCTAGATACTTTTGGTCAATGGTATGTTGCAAGCTTAAGTTGCGTTTCATATAGTTAGTCCTTTTTTGGATGGATTTTGGCTACTATGGAGAATCCTGTATTACCATGTTTGATGTGTCTTTTTGTGGGCTTATGGAGAGGCCTATCTTGGCTCTTTACCTAGAACTGAAATTGCCCTGTCACAGAGTTTACATATGTTCAGAAGACACTGTAAAACAGTTTTTCAAAGGAGTTGGTTATACCAGTGTATGAAGATTTTGTTATTCTTTTTTATTTTAGCCTTGTGATAGTTGCAGAGTAGTATTATATTATGTTTTAGATTTGTATTTCATTAATAATCAGTAAAATGTAATGTCTTTGCACATATTCATTAGTCATTTTCATATATTCTTTGTTTATGGACTTATTCATTTCTTGGTCATTTTTTAATTTGTCATTCACCTTGCTCATTTATATATACCACTCACATATACATAGTCCATTTTGGAATCTATATATATTTTCTTCTTGTAAGTTGCTTTTTCACTCACTTAATGATGTCTTAATTTTAATGTAGCTTAGTTATCAATCCAATAGTATGATTAATGCTTTTTAAATTCCATTTAAGAACTCTTGGCCTACTCAAAAGTCAACAAATTGGACACTTAATGTTTCATCTAAAAGTTTCATAGTATTCTAACTTTGGTTTATAGATCTATAACCAGTTAAAATGGATTCTTGTGTCTGGTGTGAAGTAGGGTTTGTATTCCAGGACAGATTTTGTCTTACAGGTTTTGTTGATTGCTTGTTTTAAAGATTTATTTATTTATTTGAAACAGTTACAGAGAACTTCCATTTGCTGATTCACTCCCCAGGTGACTGCATTGGCCAGGGCTGCACCAGGAGGAAACCAGGAGCTTCATCCAGGTTTCCAGCATAGGTGGCAGGGGCCCAGACACCTGGGCTAGCTTATGCTACTTTTCCCAGGCCATTAACGGGGAACTGGACTGGAAGTGGAGAGCAGCCAGTACACCAACTGGCACCCAAATGAGATGCAGGCATCAAAGGCAGCAGCTTTACTCGTTATGCCACAAGACCAGCCCCTCTCCTATAGGATTTTATAGATGACCATTAGAATGGGTTTGAGCTAATCATTTGTAAAGTTAATCCAGAAGATGATAGAGGAGTTCAAATAGTACCATGTTTGTTGCACAACAGTGTTTTCTGTTTGTTTATTGCTTGCCATTGTCCCTCTGCAGTATTTTTTTCAGATGAACTACTTTGATAATACTTTCCACCCCAGAAACCTTTAATTTAAGGTGTACAAACTTCGTGTATTTCATAAATACAACTTTAGGAACTTAGTGATTCTTCCTACCCAGTTGATTTCTCAACAATGTTGCAGTGGATTCTTTCTGAGAGGAGGAGTGTGGTGGGGGCAGGAGGCGTGGAGTCACCACACAGACCCTGGGAGTCGGGTCTACCCGCCCTCCCTCCTGCATTCCCACCCTTCTATCTTCTCTCTCTCTTACTACTATTCTTATTTTTCACTAAGATCTGTTTTCAATTCACTTTATACATGTAAGATTAAACCCTATACTAAGAGTTCAACAAATAATATGAAAAAAGAAAAAAACTGTTCCTTCACAGTTGAGACAGAGACTGTTCAAAGTCATGACATCTCCAAGTGTCAGTTTCACTTCTGTAAATTGCCTTTTAGGTGCTCTATTAGTTACCACAGATCAAGAAAACATACAGTTTTTGTCCTTTTGGGACTCACTTATTTCACTAGAAGTACTCTGATAATATATACTATTTGTTTGAACCCCAGAATGTCCAAAATGCCTTTTTCCATGCAACCAAAAGCTAATATCTATATAAAATCTAAATAAATCTTGACTGCATGACTAGGAATTTGTAATATAAGTGTCAATAAAGCTTTTTGGAATAAAAAGGCATACAAGAAGGGGGGAAAAATCTAATAATCTAATAAGATACTGACGTAGCAGGAAATTTAGGCGTTCAGATAGGGCAAGGGAGTAGAAGCATTCCAGAAGTGTCAGAAAACCCAAAAGACAATGGATAAGTTAGTCATAAAAATACTTCATTATGATATATAGAAGTGGGGAAGCAGTGAAAGCCAAAACAGTGTTGGTTTGGGAAATAAAATAGTTGAATTTTTTTTTCATATACAATATTGTACAAGCATGTCTGATTATAAGGCTAGTGTAACCTCAGAAACAAAACCTGTCAAGTACACTATAAGAAATGAAAAGTAATATCAAGGGGCCAGCGCTGTGTCGCAGCAGGTTAACAACCTGGCCTGAAGCACTGGCATCCCATATGGGCGCTCGTCCTAGTCCTGGCTGCTCCTCTTCCAAACCAGCTCTCTGCTATGGCCTGGGAAAGCAGTGGAGGATGGCCCAAGTCCTTGAGCCCCTGCACCCATGTGGGAGACCTGGAGGAAGCTCCTGGCTCCCAGCTTCGGATCAGCACAGTTCCGGCCATTGTGGGCATCTGGGGGGTGCACCAGCGGATGGAAGACCTCTCTCTCTGTCTCTGCCTCTCTCTGTAACTCTGTCTTTCAAATAATTAAAATAAATCTTTAAACAAAAATAAAGTCAATATCTTATATGAACATAATTGTAAAAATTAAGCCCAGATATTATGAAATCAAACCCAATGATGTATAAAAACAGTCATGTTTCATTGCCAGATGAGGTTTATCCTAAGAATGCAAGGGTTGTTTACCGTTTGAGAATTAATTTCTCACATTAGTATAAAAGAGCAGAAAAATCAGATTGTCATCACATTAAAGGCAAAGTAAGCAGTTGATAAATTTTGTACCAATTCATGGTAAAGATTGGCAAACTAGGAGTAAGCAGAAACTTCTGTTCTCTGATAGAGTAACTACCAAAAATCTGCATCATCTTTCTTTTTCTAATTTTTTTCTTTGAGAGGTAAAAATAGGAGGAGAGGTCCCATCCTCTTGTTCACTCCACAAATGCCCACAATGGCTGAGGCTGGCCTAGGCAAAGCCAGGAGTTCAGGACACAGTACAGGTCTCCCAAATAAATTGAAGATACCCAATTACTTGTGTCATTTCTGCTGCCTTCTAGGGTCTGTATTGGCAGGAAGCTGGAGTCAGGAGCCAGAACTGAGAATTGAACCCAGGAACTCAGATGTAGGATATGGGGCAGTCTTACCTGCTGGGTCAATGCTTGTTCTCATCAGCATTCTTACTATCAAATTATTGGAAGTTTTCTTCTAAATTAGGAATAAGAAAAGAGTGTCTTTTCCCACTAGTTGTGTTCAGCATAGTTTTGGTGGTCCTAACCAGCCCAATGAGGCAAAAGAAATGAATGACAAGTATGGGAATTAGAAATGAAGAAATAAAACCCAGTATTCCCATTACATTATTGTGATAATTAGATAAATCTATAGAAATAATTAAAACCAAATGAATTTATTTAGCAAATTGTTTATAAGGATAGATATGTATAAACATATCCTGGTAATACAGAAAATGAAAAAAATTAATTGATACTATATACTGATATTTTAAAATATCAAAATCTTAGAGGACATGGCTGTCAGAACATATGCAAGGCTTCCACCCTGAAAACATTGAGAGAAATTCAAGATGTAAATAAGTACAAATATACTGACTTTATTGGTTGAAAAAGTTTCCAATGAAGTCAATCAAAACTCAGCAGGTTTTAGTGTTTTTTTTTTATCAATGTTGGTATGTAGAAATTGAAAAGCTGATCACAGAATTTATGATATGCCAGTGTCCATGGCTATCCTGAAAAAGAACAGTTAGATCACTTACACTACCAAATATCATATAGTATAAAGTATAGAGTTAGTATAATTTACAATAATAAAAACCTTCCAAAGCAAATTGTATATAGTCTCCTGATTGATAACAACGGAGTCTTAAAAATATCATTTCAGTGACACTGGGTCAGTTGAATATCCATGTTTGAAAAAATGAATCTTTACCCCTACCTCAACACCAAATGCAGAAATATCAGTATAAGACAAGCTGTAAGGGTCAGTGCTATGGTGCAGTGGGTTAAAGCCCCTGCCTCCAGCACCCACATCCCCTGTGAGCACCAGTTCAAGTCCTAGCTGCTCTACTTCCTATCCAGCTATCTGCTAATGTACCTGGGAAAGCAGCAGAGGATGGCGCAAGTCCTTGGTCCCCTGCGCTCATGTGGGAGACCTACAGGAAGCTCCTGGTTCTGGCTTCCGATCAGTTCAGTTCTGGCCATTGTGGCCATTTGGGGAGTGAACCAGTGGATGGAAGACCTCTCTCTCTCTCTCTCTTTTTGTGTTTCTTCCTCTCTTTCTGTAACTGTCTTTCAAATAAATAAAATAATAAATCTTTTAAAAAATAAAAGAAACTGTAGATACAAATGTAAAGGGTGAGCTAAATGTGATGATGTTGCAGTGTACAAACATAGTAAGGTTTTGAGGAGGAGTGGGGAAAGTCAGGCCCTGCTAAAATCATTTGGTCTGGCCCTACCAAGGCAACCTTAGGTGGGACTTGAAATTCAGTTAATCTGTATAACAGGCTAATTTTTTAAGTTGATAATTTTGTGTGACCCTTGAAGTGTATTATAAAAATCCAGGGGGCTCTTGGCAGAAAACAGGTTGCCTATTCCTGTAGACTTTGGGGAGCCACTTCTTTATCTTATTCTACAGTATGCTTTATAGCGGTTGTCGAATCTTAGAGTTATAGCAAGTATTCTTAATTTTTATTTTATTATATTAATTTCTTTTTTGTTACTTTAAATAAGAAAACATGTTTGTATTGTTAATTAAGAACTATAGAAGGAATATCCATTAGTTGAACTTACCCTTACCTCTGTGAGTCTCACATTCATGCCTATCATAGGAAAGCACCATTAACAAATTTCTCTGTAACCTTCTGGAAAGTAGTCAACACATTTGAAAAAATAAAACTGGAAGAAAACTTGGAAGCTACTTTTAATTTTTGTCTTAGAGTATATTTTTTAAAATATGGCATTTTCAGCTTCATCATATGCTTGCTTTGTATATGGAAGTTTAAGTTGACATTTAATGAAGACTTTATATTGCACAGGTTTTAGAATTACTTCTTGCCTTCTGTTCAGTGACTCAGCTTCGCCATGTGCTCACTCAGATGATGTTTGAACAGTCACCATCTGGCAACTCCATTCTGGGAAGCCGGTCTAAATGTTTAGAACCTAACGTGGCTTTACTTCGTTGGTTAAGCCAGCCTTTGGATGGATCAGAAACCTGTTCTGTTTTAGCATTGGAATTGTTCAAGGAAATATTTGAGGTAATAGATTGGTTAACAAATTTTTGCTTTCATGACTCTCCATTAATTTGGTTTCAAAAAGATTCATAGTAAACTTCCAAGTATTGATGCATTTTGTTAAAACTTCTCATTTATTAATAATAGTCAAACTAGATTCCTTCTCACTTACTGAATTTTCTGACAGTCACATCTATTAATATTTTACTTATTTCACCAAAGAGCTTATAAAACTCATTTCTATATAAGTAGAGGTATTGGCAAGATTCTTATGATTTGTTATTGTATACTTGCAATAGTCACATATTGTCTCTCCATCTCAATAGTTTCTGTCTACTCCCTTTATTAGCTGTTGAGTACATTAATATATTTATATTATATTCAAAAATTGAATGGAGTTGCAACTACCAGCCAGTGTGGCTAGGCACTTAGAATACAGACCAAAGTTTTTACTTTCTCATAAATTCTACCAGGGCAGTTTACCATTCTCTGCTGTTCTCCCTGTCTTCATATTTATTCAGCCTACCCCAGTGTCCTTCCAAGTATTTCCCCTCATTATTAGATCCTATGCACAAATATATGCGTAATGATTAAGTATGAGGATACTTGAACAAGTTCAAGGAAATTGCATATTATGTCTTTGCATGTATAACCTAAGCAATAGTGTTGTTCAAGTTAGCCCATTGCATCCTTTCTGTCAGATTAGTAAGCTTGTGTCTTTATGCACCAAAATAAACTTACCTTCTAAGTATCTTTATATATGCATTAAAAGTTGTTATGCACAAATTATTTTATCTTGGTCTTGACTGTTAATGATCTTATTTTACATCAGTTTATGTGATTCTTAATGGAAATTATTTGTGGTTGGGGACTATTAAAACAAATATCATTTAATGTTCTTACATGTTGAAGATTTAAGATTTTTTTAAAGTAAATACTTTTGAGTTTAGAATACTTTTTAAATCACATTATCCATTAGAAATGTCTTGTTTGTAAAACCTTACTTTTGAGAAAAACCATCATATCTCTCAAAACTGGTTAAAAAGATGAATTTTAAATAATTTGTAGTAAGAGACTTGAACCAATAGAGTACTGAAGTGAATATAAGAAATTTAAAGAGCGTGTTAAACTTAATGATGATAATTTCTACATTTTGTCTTTCATCTTGTTTTTAATTGTGCATGATGGTTGATTCTCCAGGATGTCATAGACTCTGCTAACTGTTCCTTGGCTGACCATTTTGTGACCCTTCTGCTGCCAACAATTCTTGATCAGCTTCAGTTCACAGAACAAAATCTAGATGAGGCCTTAATAAGAAAAAAATGTGAAAGGATGGTCAAGGCCATTGAAGTTTTATTAAATATCCTTTACAATCATAAACGTGAAGACTATAAAAACTTTTTTCCCATGATCATGCTTACTGCATTTTGTCCTTATTTATAATTCTTTTTACTTTTCATGCTCATGTATTCAGAATTGTTGAACTACAATTTAAACTATAGAGAAAAAAATCTTAACTTTTTCAAAATTGCCTTTATTTTTCTTGTTTTTCTGTGTAAAACTTTAAGTTGAAGCACATTTTAAGAAATATGTTTTAAACCTGGGTTGAATGGTTTTATCACAGTTTGAGATCTGGAGGTATGTTCTAAAATGATTGGTCCTTACTCCTTGTTACCCTTTTTGTTTGTTTGTTTTAAAGATTTATTTATTTATTTAGAGTTAGGGAGAAAGGGAGATGCAGAGAGAGCCTGCATTTTCTGATTTACTCCTGGATGGCCACAAAATGTGGAAGTCAGAAGCCAGGAGCTTCTAGGTCTCCCACATGAGTGTCAGGGCCAAAGCACTTGGAATATCTTCTGTTGCTATTCCCAGACCATTAGCAGGGAGCTGGATTGGAAGTAGAGCAGCTGGAACACAAACAGGTGCCAATATGGGATACTAGTATTGCAGGTGGCAGCTTTACCCGTTAGGCTATAAATCTGGTGCCTTCTTTCACTTTTGATGCCAATTGCTGTCCATGGATAATTATTTGTGTTGTTCTTTGGGAAAGTGTATATTAGATAAAGAAGTACTGATAGAATTATTGATATTTTTGTCGGATTTTTTTTGTGGTGCATGCCATTTAAAAATGAAAGCCTTCATAAATGTATGCATTTGTATACTACCTAGGTGATTCTAACATGCAGCCAAAGTTGAGAATCACTGCTATTGAGACTGTGATTTACTTTGCTTGACCTTAAAGATAGTTGTAATTAATTTAGTGAGGTCTTGTCTCATTGAATAATAGATAAATTAATTTATGGTTTATAAAATATGAGAAAATAACATTCCTTAATTTGGCAGTTATTGAACTGTTGTCATACCTGTTAACAGAAAAAATGAGCATTCAATGGAAAAACATTCATTTTTTGTTTTACATTAGAATGAGGAATGTTTAGGGCAGTCCAACTCTTGGCACTTACCAGTCATTTACATGTTTTGACCTCTGGTTTTCTAATGTACCATTGAGCTAGTATAAAAGTAATAATACTGGATTGCAGTGATGAGCCAATTTTTATGAAGTTATCTTGAATGTTACAAATTATTATACAAAGTATTTGGAAAATTTTTTGTTTGTGTATCTTAACAAAACCTAACCTCTTTGTGGAGATGATACTCTGAAAATGCATATTGCAAAAATTCTGACTACCATCAAGTGTACCACTTTGATAGAACAACAGTTTACATATGGCAAGATCGATTTGGGGTTTGGAACAAAGGTTGCAGATTCTGAATTATGGTGAGTATACGAAATCAAAAAGACATAATGGTCAAAGGCAGTAAAAATTAAAAAATGTGATTTTCATCTTGGAGAGATTATGCATGGATATGTTCTCTTAACTCAAGGTATAGCAAAGAACTGACAAATATTTTAAAAATGAAAAATTGTAATTTAATTTTTCATAGATTGCTTCTGAAATAAAGTATTAATAGTTGTGATTTTTCAATGTTTAGGTTTATTTTGTCTTCTATTTTTGAAAGAAAAATCCTACCTGCTGATTCACTTCTTAAATGTCGAAGCCTGAAGCCAAGAATTCAACTAGGGTTTCCCACATGGGCAGTAGTATCCTAAGTATTTGTGCCATCATCTGCTGCCTCTGAGGGTGTGCCTTAGCAGGAAACTGTTATAGAAGTGAAGGAGCTAGCCCTGGAACGAGTCTCTCTGATGTGGAGTGTTCCAAGCTGAATGCCTACTCCATGTTTTAATTTATTGTGATTATCTAAGAGTCCTGAACATACCTCTTCTAGAGCTGCTTTAATTAAATTTTTTTGTTCTTTTAAGTTTACATTTTTAAATGAAAAGAATGGCAAAACATATATATATATATTTTTTTAAAGATTTATTTTATTTATTTGAAAGAGTTACAGAGGGAGGTAGAGACAGAGAGAAAGGTCTTTCACCCGCTGGTTCACTCCCCAAATGTCCACAACGGCCGGAGCTGTGCCAATCTGAAGCCAGGAGCTTCTTCTGGATCTCCCACGTGGGTGCAAGGGCGTAAGGAGTCAGGCCATCTTCTACTGCTATCCCAGGCCATAGCAGAGAGCTGGGTCAGAAGAGGAGCAGCCGGGGCTAGAACCAGCGACCATATGAGATGCTGGTGCTTCAGGCCAGGTCTTTAACCTGCTGTGCCACAGCAATGGCCCCCATGGGTATAGTTTTATTACAAAGAAATCAGCCCACTGCAGAAGATTTCTTAATAATAAAGCCCATTTTTCTTTCTTAACATGCTAGTGATTATAGTAAAGGTAGATTTGTTGCTGGAAGTAACAAGTAATTCTTTTATGCCTCTCTTATTAACAAAGTCCATCAAATAAATCTTAATTGAAAACCTACTGAGTGCTAGCCAGTGATTATGTCCACTATTCTGCTGCTCGAGAACAAGGAATATCTCTTCTGTATATTCCTTTATAGTTACAAGTAGAGAACATGGCCTTGTAATCCTTCCCTATGTTTTTGGTATTCCACATTGCCTAAAGTTACCCTGTATCTTTCAATGACAAAGCTAAGAATTGAATGCGTCATGTTTCAAGACCACTAAAGTGAAGCAGAAAGTTGAAGAATGTTGATATTTAAGAGTAGGGGGAAAATTACTGAGAATTAGACTGTTGGTACCAGTTCTCTTTGTGTCTTAAATTATGAGTATATTGATCTCTATGATATTTTTACTTCGCAGTGAAATAATACTTAGGTGTTATTGAGTTTTAACAAACAAAGGTTGTTGTTTTTTATTCTCTTTAAAAAAATGGACAAAAACCCTAAGAAATTTTTAAGCTACCTAATTTAAATCTGATTTTTTTTTTTTTTAAGTAAACTTGCTGCTGATGTAATTTTGAAAACTCTTGATTTGATGAACAAACTTAAACAGTTGGTTCCTGGTATGGAAGTAAGCTTTTATAAAATCCTTCAGGTGAGTTTAAATTCTTTAAACACTGAAGTTTATTTATACATAAGTGCTTTCTGATACATATTTCTGTTTTAATATTTTTAACCTTGAGAGGACGTTTCTCTTAGAATTGGCCATGATGATAAAGTTTAAGGTTGTTGATTGTCTTTAGTATTATAGTAGTCTTAATGGATGGTTATTTTATATAGTTTCTCAGGAATTGAACATAATTACTTTTGATTCTAAGGCTTCTCTATTGTAATATTTGTAGTACCTGAATAAGAGTTCTAGATGTCAAAATACAAAAATTATAACTAATATAATTTAAAGATGTAATTTTCTTTTATTTGTTATTTTAGAATCAGGTAATGTACATATGTACCAATGAGCTGAGCAGAGGAGGTTGACTTTATAGACAGAAAAGGACTAAAGAAAGCAGAAATGAAATAAAAATAATAGGCTGTTTTAGTTACTTTGCTTAAAGGGTTAAAACAGAGGGTACTTCCTTACTGCAGGGACTCAGGTTGACTGAAATCACATCTTTTGTTTTCATTTCTTAATTTTAAAGTTCAGTTTGATTATGTGACACTTAACCCAAGTGATTGCATTCTGCTTTGATCAGGCTTGCTGGGGCCCAGTGCAGATGGCTAATCCAAAACAATGGCCTCTTGAACATTTTGCTTTACAATGTCTACCCTGATATCTACAACACCTGGCTTATATTTAACAACAATATGTGAATTAAGTTATTACAGTAACATAACATAGCTGGCTCTAGCGAATGTATCCGTAGGGTAGACACCCAAACTGAAACCTTAGGCCACATGTAGGCCACATGTAGGCAGTGAGAGAATCATGTTTAAGAAACTGAATCCAAATATTGACTCTTTCAGTTGTTGGTCAGTGAAGACGAACAAGTCATTTCACCTGTCTGAACTTCATTTTCCTTGACTACAAACTGAATTCCCCTCCATAAGTGGGGTTGTGAACCATTTTCATTGAAAGTGAAGGCCTGATTTTATAGTTCAGTACCATTGAATTATACTTGAGTATCTACAAGGCACTCAACATTTTAATTTTAAAAGAATTTATATTTTAATTTTTGTCTTCACTAATATGTTTTTAAAAATTTGAATCAAGTTGATTTGTGTCAATTCTGAGGAGATTTTTTCATAGTAGATAAGGCTTACAGTTCTAATGTAAAATATTGACATGAAGGACCTACAGTTCAGGTACTTAAGTGTGTTTTGTTTTGTTTTGTTTTGTTTTATTTTTTGACAGGCAGAGTTAGACAGTGAGAGAGAGAGACAGAGAGAAAGGTCTTCCTTTCCGTTGGTTCACCCCCCAAATGGCCACTATGACCGGCGCACTGCAGCTGGTGCGCTGCGCCAGAAGCCAGGTGCTTCCTCCTGGTCTCCGATGTGGGTGCAGAGCCCAAGCACTTGGGCCATCCTCCACTGCACTCCTGGGCCACAGCAGAGAGCTGGACTGTAAGAGGAGCAACCAGGACAGAATCCGGTACCCCAACCAGGACTAGAATCCGGGGTGCCGGCGCCGCAGGCAGAGGATTAGACAAGTGACCGCGGTGCCGGCCAAGTGTGTTGTTACAATCATTAGATCTGGTTTGAATTTATTTGAATTTTCCTTTTTATTTTAGGACATTTATTAATTTGAAAATGATTAGTCATTTTTAGTTGTTCTTTTAAATGATAACCAGAAAAAGTACAATAGAATACATCAATTATAGATATCCTAAATTAATCAAGACATTTATGGCATCATTTTCATAGACAATTGAAAGCATTCAAAACCTTTTCAAGATTTTTTTAGGCTGCTCACATTGATCCATGACAGTGTAAATATCTGTAACAAGGTAAAATATATCATCAATACATTGAAACACCACGTAGAAACAATTTAAATTTAGCCTAAAATTATTTTATGATATAGTTCTGGTTACTCACCTTGCTCCAAAAGATCCAATGTTGTTTATTCTTTCTGCTTCTTATTTTCTGAATTCTGATTTGTTTAGGATTCACGTTTGATCACTCCTTTGGCTTTTGCTTTAACGTCTGATAATAGAGAACAAGTACAGTCTGGCTTGAGAATATTGTTGGAAGCTGCTCCACTGCCAGATTTTCCTGCTTTAGTGTGAGTTGTAATTGTTTGCAGTGTATCTCTCATGCTGTTGGAATACCCTGCCGTGTTTCTTTAGTAATCCTGAGATAGAGTAGCTAATTAAATCGAAGATTTTTATTGTTAATCAGTTCTTTTTTAAATGATTAAAAATTGTTTTTTTTAATTTCTATAACTGAAAAGACCAGATGTATACTCATTCAGAGAAAAGTTGGATCCAGGTGGTTAAGTATGTTAAATAGGTACTATCCTCCTTGGTCTCTTTGCATCTATTTTTAATGTAGCATGTTCTGGACACCTTTTTTTTTTTTTAAATTTGAGAGGCAGAGTTACAGACAGGGAAAGGGTGAGACACAGAGAGAGGACTTCCATCTGCTGGTTCACTCCCCAAATGGCTGCAGTGGCCAGAGCTGAACCATTCTGGAGCCAGGTGCTTCATCCGGGTCTTCCACGTGGGTGCAGGGTTACAAGCAGTTCAGCCATCTTCCTCTGTTGTCCCAGGCCATCAGCAGGGAGCTGGATTGTAAGAAGAGCAGCCAGGACTCAAACCAGATCCCATAAGGGGTGCCAGGACCACAGGCAGAAGTTTAACCTACTATGCCGCAGTGCCAGCTGCAGACTCTGGACACTCTTTTTTTTTTTTTTTTTTTTTTTTTTTTTTTTTTTTCACAGGCAGAGTGCACAGTGAGAGAGAGAGACAGAGAGAAAGGTCTTCCTTTGCCGTTGGTTCACCCTTCAATGGCCACCGCGGCCAGCACGCTGTGGCCGGCGCACTGCACTGATCCGATGGCAGGAGCCAGGTACTTATCCTGGTCTCCCATGGGGTGCAGGGCCCAAGCACCTGGGCCATCCTCCACTGCACTCCCTGGCCACAGCAGAGAGCAGGCCTGAAAGGGGGGCAACCGGGACAGAATCCGGCGCCCCGACCGGGACTAGAACCCGGTGTGCCAGCACCACAAGGCGGAGGATTAGCCTAGTGAGCCGCGGTGCCGGCCTCTGGACACTCTAAGCTTACGTGTTACCAGTTTAGTTACTCCACTGAAAAATCATTTCCTCCACAGTTGTTTCACTGAAAGTCTAAGCATTAATGTCATTGACCAGATTTGGGCCATAAGTTTCCAATACTAACGGTAAGCCAATGGTTGACAAAATACCAAGTAAGGCTATGCTTTAATGAGGTTTTAGAACTAAGTGGTTTACATAAATTAATTTGTAAAAATAGTTTGAATAATTTAAAGCAATTGGTAAATAATTAAGACATTTCCTACATTTCAAGGGTTAACAAATAGTCTAGTGAATAGGCACCTATTCTGTAAATAGTTTTATTGAAACAAAGCCACACCTCTAGTTTTTCCATCATTTGTACTTTCTATGGCAACTTCTATGCTGTAATAGCTTGAATGGATAATGTTATAACAGGGACCATGTAGATCCTCAATTCTAAAATACAAAGGTACTTCAAAATTTGCAGGGAAAATGGAATTTAAAAATAAGTTTATTTTGATGCAGAAACTTTTTGAAATCTCTACACATGAGTCTTAAAATGTCATGGAAAATACATATTCTGAAAAAAACTGCATGGATTTCAACATTTGTTGCCAAAATAATCTTATCTTTTGAAATTGCTTACAGAGCAGCAGAATTAAGTATCCTTATATGTATCATCTTGTCCTGGAAGAAAGTTTACTAACCTTTGCTTTATGCTATTAACTGATTTAACAATCTAATGGTTCAGAATTAATAATTTAGATGGTCCTAAATCAATGAAGAAATAGAGAATATAATACATAGAGACCACATATTCAAAATTGACTTTACTTTATAATACTTTTTAGTAGACAAATAGAAACCTTCTCAAGTTACAGGGAAGTAGTAGTCTGTGAATGAAGCTGCTGTGTTTTATGGTGGTTTGCTTCAGTTATTTTAATCTAACATGAGACAAAACCCAAAAGCCTCAGAGGGGAAAGCTGTAGCCTTACTGAATGTAACTGTTCCTCATTCTCTGCCTATGTTCAGGAGGTTTTCCTACCATTTTGAATTTGACCCTCCGTGTCTTACTTTTGTTATGGATAAATTTTTTCTTCAGGCACCCTATTAGGTGTCCACTTATAATTTTTTTTATGCTTCTATTTCACATCTAGGAAATTTAATAAGATGAATGAATTTATGATGGATGGTTGGGTGAGTTAGATTTTTTTGTGGAATGCTTGTTTGTTTTATTTATTTATTTATTTATTTTGATGACTTATTTCTTTATTTGAAAGAGTTACAGAGAAGGAAAGGCAGAGAGAAAGAGGTCTTCCTTCCACTGGTTTATTCTCCAGTTGGCAGCAATGGTTGGAGCTGCACTTATCCAAAGCCTGGAACCAGAAGCTTCCTCCAGGTCTTCCATGAGGGTGCAGGGGCCCAAGGACTTGGGCCATCTTCTACTTTCCCAGGCCATAGCAGAGAGCTGGATTGGAAGTGGAGCAGCTGGGACTCGGGACTCGAACTGGCCCACATATGGGATGCCAGCACTGCAGGCAGCAGCTTTACCTGCTATGCCACAGCGCTGGCCCCTTTTATTTATCTTTTACTTAGACACTTAATAAACTGTGATGAAGGCTTATTATGACTGTATGCCATACTGTCTTGGCATTAGATATTGCAGTGTATTAGGCAGAGTGTCTCCTGTCATGACCTTTGCACTCTAGTTGGGAGATAAGAAAAATAAGTTTCCTACTGTATATATTACTGTGTGGATGAGGGGTGGTTAATATTAGTGTTATACTAGGGCTTTGGTGAAGGTCTGTTTGAAGAGGTGAATTAGAACTTGGTCTTAATGGTAAGAATTCAGACCTGTGCAGATCTCATAGGAAGTGTTTTGCAGGACAAGGCATAACAGTTTTTATAAAGGAACTGAGGCAACAACAAGATAGTCTAGTTTTTAAAGGGTCATAATGTAAATCAGTTTGGTAAGAATGCACTAAATGTGAAAGGGAAAGTGGAAGAAGACAGACATAGCTAAACACCAGGTAATGTCACCATGCTCTCCTGTGGATGTTTAGCTTAGCAGTTAAGATACTGGTTAGCATGCCCATGACCCAAGGCAAGAGTTCCTGGGTTTGATACCTGACTTTGGTTCCTGACATCACTTTACTGCTAATACAGACTCCAAGAGACAGTGATGGTGGCTTGAGTGGTTGGTCAAGTAAATAAAAAATTACCCAGTTATATAGATTAACTGAATTCCAATCCCACCTAAGGTTGCCCTGATAGGGACAGACCAAATGATTTTGTGGGCTGCATAACAGGGCCTGACTTTGCCCACTCCTGCTTAAAGCCTTACTGTGTTTGCCCACTGCAACATCATCACACTTAGCTCACCTGCTGCACCCTTTGCTTTGCATATAAGTTGTGCCTTTTCCTATTACATCTCTCATCACCCTACTAAAATTAGGTAGTAAGGCAAAATCTTCCTTATTTCTTGAATAAAAAAAAATCATTACCATCATCCAAAAAAAACCACACTGATATCTCTTTGCCTATCTACTTTTTTAACATTTTAAGTCTGTTTATTGTAAAAGATGTAAAACTGGGATTTCTGTTTTAATCAATTTGATAGCATCCAATCTGAATAGATTCAGCCCAGTAATATTAACTGTAACAAATAATAAACAACCTTTGATTTATTCTTTTAAATATAGAAAGTAGTACTTGTTTTTATCTGTTTTCTCAAAATTTATTACTGAATAGGTAATATAATCATATTGTTCCAAAATCAAATGCTGAACTAGCTACACTCCTTGAAGATAAGCAATGTTACTGACTTATTTTAATAACAAGCAAACAAAATTTTTTTTGAAAATTGCTCTGACCAATATCTATTATTTTATAGTTAATGCAAATAATCCACACTCACAATTCAGTTCTGCAGTGTTTCCAAACAAATGGTGGAGTTGTAAAGAATAGAAAGTTGAGGTGCTATAATTATGGTACAACATGTTAAGCCACTGCCTGTGATGCCAACCTCCCCAGATAGTCTCCAATTCAACTCCTGGCTAATGCACTTGTGAAAGCAGTGGAAGATGACCCAAGTGCTTGGGCCGCAGCGTCCACATGGGGAGACCAACAGAGTTCCAGGCTCCTGGCTTCACTGGCCCAGCACCAGTGAATCAGCAGATGGAAGATCTTTCTCTGTATCTCCCTCTCTAATTCTGCCTTTCAAGTAAATAAATAAATATTTCTTAAAAAAAAAAAAAAAGAGTAGAAAAAGAGGGTCCTCTGGAAGATTTAGGATATTTCACCAAAACACATTTCATCATGGTTCCCCAAAAGGTTATTTTTAAGAATATTTAAAAACTTCTATTTGCCCAAAAAGATCCATTCTAAAAGATTTCCTTATTCTACATCAACTCTCTTCTTGGCTCCATTTTTATGTAATTATTTCTTTTTCTTTTTGATTGCCACTCAGACTTGGAGAAAGTATAGCAGCAAATAATGCTTATAGACAACAAGAAACAGAACATGTACCCAGAAGAATGCCTTCGCAGTCATTCAATCACAACCTTCCAACATCAGTAAAGTGTGTAACTCCTCCCGTTTTAAAAGAAAGTGTTCCTGGTCTGAACATTGAAGAATTAATAGAAAAACTTCAGTCTGGAGTGGTGGTGAGTGAAAATAGCAATTATAACTAGATTGGGACTGTTATGTACCAACTGAATGTCAGCTCTGATTATAGTATGTTAACAACTTTAGATGCTAGCTTGATCGTTGAAACCTTTTAATAAAAAGATAACAATATTCTAGAGAGTTTAGAAAGAAATGAAGAAACAACAGTCACAGAATTCTAACATTTTAACAGTTATTCAATCCCTATTCCTCTTCCCACCCAGCTTAAGAACTATTTTTAAAGTATTGTAAGCTTACCAAATCTTAGTCAGATATGCTTCTGCAGTAGCCAGATTAATGAAATATTTTTGGCCCAAATGATAAAGCATTTTTTATTTTAATTTCCTTATAAACTTTAAGTGATTTGATTTCACAATATTTATTTTATCATTTTGTAAAGTGTTTAAGTATTCTGATTTTTCACTTTATTAAAACCTAGGTAAAGGATCAAATCAATGATGTGAGAATATCTGACATAATGGATGTATATGAAATGAAACTGTCCACATTAGCTGTGAGTACAAGTGTATTTTAATGACAACCTATCATAGATGCTTTCATAAAGCAAGGAAAATTAATGGTGTGTGTTTTTTCTTATAGTCCAAAGAAAGCAGGCTACAAGATCTTTTGGAAGCAAAAGCTCTAGCCCTTGCACAAGCTGATAGATTAATTGCTCAGTACCGTTGTCAAAGAACTCAAGCTGAGACAGAGGTGTGTACAATATAAATATAAAGACCAACTGATTAGAAGACAAATTAATTAATGAATTAAAATGTACAAAATCTTGTAATTCTGTTTTAATTTTGATTACATCATTATCTCTTTTTTTTTCCCTCTTAATATGCTTTTCCTGTATCATTTATAGTCTACCTGGGGGTTCCCAGGGTTATATTCCAAACTCTTTTCATTTATTTCTATGTTCCGTGGTTTCAACCATGGCAAAATTTGCATGTTCCCAATTTTATATGTTGAGCTTAGATCTTTTTCCTGAACCCTAAACACCTCCTGTTTAGCTCTATTTAAATAAAAAAAAAAAACCAGATACTTCAAACTCAGCCTCTTTGGTAATGAAATAATCGCTGTTCTTGTTTTAGAAACTTATTTTTGTGTATCATTGTACTGTCTTAAAAATTTTCCTAGGGCCAGTACTGTGACTCAATAGATTAAACTGCCATCTGCGGTGCCGGCATCCCATATGGGCACTGGTTTAAGTCTCGGCTCCTCCATTTCTGATCCAGCTCCCTGCTAATGTGCCTGGGAAGTCAACAGGAAATGGCCCAAGCACTTGGGCCCCTTCACCTACATGGGAGACTCGGATGAAGCCCCTGGCTTCTGGCTTCATCCTGGCCCAGCTTTAACCATTGCAGCTATTTTGGGGAGTGAACCAGTAGATTGAAGGTCACTCTCTCCCTCTCTCCCTCTCTCTTTCTCTCTGTAATTCCGACTTTCAAATAAATAAATAAATCTCTTTAAAAACAATTTCCGAATGAAAAACCTGAAAATCACACAGTTTATCTCCTATGATTATTTGCCAAGTTTAGTTGATTGTACCTTCTAAATATTACTGTGCTCTGCCTTGTCTCTGTTTCTGCCACTCTTTGCTATGGAACATCCGTTTTCTTTTTCATGAGATTCATAGCAGAACCTATAATTAGTCTTCCTGCATTTAGTCTGGTGCCCTCTTCTTTACTACCCTCTACGCTACAGCCAGAGTCACCTGCCTTTTGTATTTAGTTCTTCCCTCTCTCACCTGCAGTGATCTCTGGTGCAGTAATATTATACTGCCCATCCAGTGATGTGTATTATTCATAGGCGCTGCCATCAGTTTCCAGAATATCATTAAAATTCCTTAGTTTGGAATACTAGGATTCCAACTGTTCCTCAATCCATATCTGACATTTCTGCACATGTTTTGTTGTCAACCACTTTAAATTATTTGGCATTTTCTGAGGCTTCCCAGGCCCTTGTATTTTCCTATCTTGGTACCTTTCCCTCTCTTTGTTTGCCTAACTCTGCATAATACTACAGATTTTAAATACCGCCAGTTGCCAGAAACCTAATACAGTCTTCTTCCTGCTTGTGTTTGGCAATCCTTCCTCGATATTTCCACCTTTATAACATTTCTTATACCATGTGAAAATCATAGTACCTTCCATTCCACCTGTGATACCTACAAACCCTAGCACATACTTGGCACATGGTACTAGCTATGTTTGGCATATATATATATATATACACACACACACACACACACATACACCTAATGTGCACTTCATGGGTGAGAATATAGTGCAGTAATATGAATTCCCAGCAAATACAAATGGAATTTATACAACTTGTTTTCGTTGCCAATTAATCATAAAAAAGTTGTCCAACTTTTGAATTAAGATATGATCAATGGCAAAATATCTTTTAAGTCTTTTTGGAATAAAGGTATTCTACAAAATATAAAGGAATATAACCAGGTTTCTTTATGCTATTTTTATGTTAACATAGTTTCGTTTGTCTTGTGTGGTGTGTTGAATGTGTCATCAAGTTCATGAAGGAAAATTAGTGGAATTAAAATCATTTTTTCTTGTCTTTTCTCATAGCATAGTCTTATATTGTATCAATTGCTCATTTCTCCCATTTTGTTAGAGAATTTAATATTATTTGTATGTTACTGGAAAATTTTCTCATAAAAGTAACACTGAATAATTGAGTATTACTTCTTTATGATCTATGTCATAAAAATAAAGAAGGGCTTATGTTATCATCTGGCATTTTAAAATAAGTAGTATTTTTAAGACTAAAGGAATGGAAAGAGTCCACTTCTCATTTCAGTTACTTTTCTGTTCCTTTAATTTTTTTTTAAATTTTTTTAACTTTTATTTAATGAATATAAATTTCCAAAGTACGGCTTATGGACTACAGTGGCTTCCCCCCCATATCATCTCTCCCACCCGCATCCCTCCCCCTTCCCACTCCCTCTCCCCTTCCATTCACATGAGGATTCATTTTCGATTCTCTTTATATACAGAAGATCAGTTTAGCATACATTAAGTAAAGATTTCAACAGTTTGCTCCCACACAAACATAAAGTGAAAAATAATAGATGATTTTTTAAATGATGATGAAATCAGATCAGACCTATTGTCATGTTTAATCCCAGTGAGAGTCAAGTTGGGAATTGATAATTTCTTCTTTTTTTTTTTTTTTTTTACAGAAGATCAGTTTAGTATACATTAAGTAAAGATTTCAACAGTTTGCACCCCCATACAAACACAAAGCGAAATATACTGTTTGAGTACTCATTATAGTATTAAGTCTCAATGTACAGCACATTAAGGACAGAGATCCCACATGAGGAGTAAGTACACAGTGACTCCTGTTGTTGACTTTACCAATTGACACTCCTGTCTATGGCATCAGCAATCTCCCTATGCACCAGTCATGAGTTTCCAAGGCTATGGAAGCCTTTTGAGTTCACCAACTCTTATCTTGTTTAGACAAGGTCATATTCAAAGTGGAGGTTCTCTTCCTCCCTTCAGAGAAAGGTACCTCCTTCTTTGAAGACCTGTTCTTTCCACTGGGATCTCACTCACAGAGATCTTTCATTTAGGGTTTTGTTTGTTTGTTTGTTTGTTTTGCCAGAGTGTCTTGGCTTTCCATGCCTGAAATACTCTCATGGGCTTTTCAGCCAGATCGGAATGCCTTTAGGGCTGATTCTGAGGCCAGAGTGCTGGTTAGGACATCCACCATTCTATGAGTCTGCTGAGTATCTCGCTTCCCATGTTGGATCATTCTCCCCTTTATTTATTCTATCAGTTAGTATTAGCAGGTACTAGACTTGTTTATGTGCTTCCTTTGACTCTTAGTCCTTTCATTATGATCAATTGTGAACTGAAATTGATCACTTGGACTAGTGAGATGGCATTGGTACATGCCACCTTGATGGGATTAAATTGGAGTCCCCTGGTATGTTTCTAACTCTACCATTTGGGGCAAGTCAGCTTGAGCATGTCCCAAATTGTACATCTCTTCCCTCTCTTATTCCTACTCTTATGTTTAACAGGGATCACATTTCAGTTAAATTTTAACACTTAAGAATAACTGTGTATTCTGTTCCTTTAATTTTTCAAATCACTTGTTAAATATAGGTTTTGTTCCCTGATTGTATTAAATGTTTGAATAAGCATCTGTATTTTAGAACAATGACAAGTTAATCATTCATAATTGGAAAATCTAAAATACTCCAAATTAGCACCAACACATGTCTCAAGTAAAAACATTATACATCATGAAACTTTCACACAAAATTGATAATGTATTAAATAATCTTCAGGTTCTGTGTATACAGTATATATAAAGCATAAATGAATTTCATGTTTTGAGTCATATCTCATCTCCAAGATATCTCATCTATATACAGATATTCCAAAAATCAAAAATACTTCTAGTCTTACGCATTTGGATAAAGAGTTCTCAAACTATATTAAATTATTAGAAGTGGTTACGTAATAAGTGCATATATGTCATATATACTTACTATGGCTAATATAATTTTACATAATCCAATGAATACTGTCTATTAGATTTTTGGTGAATTTTTTAAGTTGTAGAAACTTGAGTATATTATTAAATAATGTTAGAAAATCTCATGTTGTGTTTCCTCTTAAGGCACGTACACTGGCTGGTATGTTGAGAGAAGTTGAGAAGAAAAATGAAGAGCTTAATGTGTTGCTGAAATCACAGCAGGTTGAATCAGAGAGAGCCCAGAGTGATATTGAGCATCTCTTTCAACACAACAGGAAGCTAGAATCTGTGGCTGAAGAACACGAAATATTGACAAAATCCTACATGGAATTGCTTCAGAGGTAAACTAAGCTTAAAATCTAGAATGAACACACAGCATTTCTTCTCCTTGACCCTGAAATGCTTTTGTAAGCATTTTATGTATTCTGATAATAGTATAAGGTAATGGTAAGTAATTAGTGAGAAACTTAAGTCATAGTGAAATGAAGTATTGCTTACCCAAACTCATTACCAAAATTGTGACAGGATGCAGATCTCTCTTTCCATTTGGCTTTACTTCTTTATTTTATCGTAGTCAACAGTCATGTAAGATACAGCCTTTGTCAAGGACAAGTGTTTAAGAGTTGACTTATTTATTTGAAAGGCAGACTTCACAGAGGGAGAAACACAGAGAAAGAGATGTTTCATCCAGTGGTTCACTCCCCAAATGGCCACAATGGCCAGGGTTGTGCCAGGCCAAAGCCAGAAACCAGGAACTTCCTCTAGATCCCCCATATGGGTGGCAGGGACCCAAGCATTTGGGCCATCTTATGCTGTTTCTCCAGGTACATTAGCAAAGAGGTGGATCAGAAGTGCTTCATCCAGTACACGAACTGGCACTTGTATGGGATGCTCATGCCACAGGTGCTGGCTTAACCCACTACACTACAACATTGGCTCCAAATTTTTCTGATTTGATCACTGAAAATTGCTTTGTTCCAGAACACTGGTGGGTGTACATAGTTTGGTACACCATAAGTAATTTTGTTAAATGAACTTAGTGTCACGATTAGTGTTGCCTTGAACCATCTGAATTAGTCATTCCTACAGATCAAAAGTAGTTGATTGTTAGCAATTTTATATCATTCGGCCTAATAGCACAAAAATTCATGTATGTGTTTTAACTCATCTCTCAATTTCGTTGAATATAGCTCTTACATATGTGACTGTGTGGAATAAGTTATTTTAAGTGAGTTATGTTAAAGAGTATGTGCATTTAAAATTTTGATAGGTATTTCCATCGAAAAAGTTTATACCAATTTATATACCTACTAACAAAGTTTGATTTTTCCCCCTTTTATTAAACTCTTTATCTTTGATGCCAGTTTTAAAAACCTCTGAATTACAAGGAATACTGGGAATAATTATATATTACCTTTTTTTTTTTTTTTTAAGATGTTATTTATTTCTTTGAGAGGTGGCGTTAACAGCCAGAGAGGGAGAGACAGAGAGAAAGGTCTTCCATGTGCTGTTTTACTCCCCAAATGACCACAACAGCCAGAGCTGGGCCCATCCAAAGCCAGGGGCCAGGAGCTTCTTCTGGGTCTCGCACTCCCATGTGGGTGGCAGGGGCCCAAGCACTTAAACCATCTTCTGCTTTCTCAGGCCATAACAGAGAGCTGGATTGGAAGAGGAGCATCTGGGGACACCATCCAGCACCCATGTGGAATGCTGGCGCCACAGGTGGAGGCTTAAACCACTGCGCCGCAACACTGACCCATAATTATACATTTTTATATAGTCTAGTTAAAAATAAAACAAAAACACTCTGGGGACCTTGTGTATTATTTTAATTTATATTTTAAGGTTATTCTTTGCTTTTTTTTTCCTTTTTTATTTTGACAGGTAGATTTATAGACAGTGAGAGAGAGAGATAGAGAGAAAGGTCTTCCTTCTGTTGGTTCACTCCCCAAATGGCCACCACGGCCAGCCCTAGGCCAGCCCGAAGCCAGGAGCCAGGTGCTTCTTCCTGGTCTCCCATGCCGGTGCAGGGGCCCAAGCACTTGGGCCATCCTCCACTGCCGTCCCGGGCCACAGCAGAGACCTGGACTGGAAGAGGAGCAACAGGGACTAGAACCCGGCGCCCATATGGGATGCTGGCACCACAGGTGGAGGATTAACCAAGTGAGCCACGGCGCTGGCCCCAATTCCTTGCTATTAACATACAGTGCAGAAATTTTTAACTTTATCAATTCTAATAGGAAATTAGTAGCATTTTGAAAATTTGTGATGTTACTTTCTGAACAGGGCATTTTTCTCTAACAACTACTTTTTCAAAATCCAAATCTGGTATTACTTGATAATAGGCACCATTAGTGTTGGGTTAAGAACTTAGGGGGTGAAGAGAGGACTTAAGAAAATATAGGCAGTGGGCCAAGAGAAACAAGGTTTCTAGGAATTGCTTGTGTTCTAGTTAGTGATTTAGAGACCAACAAGTAGAACTCCATGAATTTCCAGGTGGGTAACAATAAATTAGCCACCTGGGGAGAGGTCTGAACTATCTAAAGGTATTCAAACTCACATTTGTAGAAACTCTTTGTGGATAAATAAAAAATTTTTGCTGGTCATACATGGCCAATTCCTTTTTCATATTATTGTACCTACTGAAGTAAAAATGACATTTTATCATTAAGATAGTTGAGTATTAAAGTATCAATTTAGAAAACTATGCTTTCTGAGAATAGCATTGTGGCATAGTTGAGAAGCCACTGCCTGTGACTTCAGCATCCCAAAAGGGTACCACTTCAAGTCCCAGCTGTTCACTTCTGATCTAGCTCCCTGCTGATTCTCTTGTGAAGGCAATGGAAAACGACCAAAGTGCTTGGGCCCCTGCACCAATATGGGAAACCTGGTTGAATCTCCTGGCTTATGGCCTCAGCCTGGCCCAGCCTAGACCATTGCGACCATTTAGAGAGAGTGTCAGTGGATGGGAGAGCGTTCTCTCTTTCTTTTTGTTTCTTCCCCCCTCTGTAATTCACCCTTTCAAATAAATAAATAAATAAATCTTTGAAAAATTCTTTCTGTATTTACAATGCAAATTAAATAAGTAGAATTATGAGATTAAGAGCTTTAAACACGGCCGGCGCCTCAGCTCACTAGGCTAATCCTCCGCCTTGCGGCGTCAGCACACCGGGTTCTAGTCCTGGTCGGGGCACCGGATTCTGTCCCGGTTGCCCCTCTTCCAGGCCAGCTCTCTGCTGTGGCCAGGGAGTACAGTGGAGAATGGCCCAAGTGCTTGGGCCCTGCACCCCATGGGAGACCAGGATAAGTACCTGGCTCCTGCCATCGGATCAGTGCAGTGCGCCGGTCACAGCGCACCGGCCACAGCAGCCACTGGAGGGTGAACCAAAGGCAAAAGGAAGACCTTTCTCTCTGTCTCTCTCTCTCTCACTGTCCACTCTGCCTGTCAAACAATTAAAAAATAAAAAATAAAAAAAAATTTTAAAAAAAGAGCTTTAAACAGGCAGAGAAGTTTAGATCCTTAAACTATGTATATATACCAAATTGTGTAATACAGTATCCTCTATAAAATGAAGCTCCATATCCATAAATATGAGGTTAATGTCCCACAGAATTCTATTTTATAATAAATTTAACTTCCTTAGTCAGCTAGAACAACTTTATTGTGTTTTAGAGTTCACAGTTTATATCCTGCTGGTTCCTAACATTCTTCTTAAATTTACATGCAGTTTTTATAGTTTGATAATAATTAATAACAAAGTAAACACTGAGTTTCTTTTCTCTTATGTTCCCTCCATGAAAATGCCAACTCATCTCCTTGTCTTTCCAGAAATGAAACTGTTGAGAAGAAAAATAAAGATTTACAGATCACATGTGATTCTCTGAATAAGCAAATCGATACTGTGAAAAAATTGAATGAGTCACTCAAGCAACAAAATGAAAAGTAAAATCTAGTTCTATATTCTACTTATGAGATTTTTCAAAAACATTTGTTCTGTTTCTATATAGTGCATTGTTTTTCTTGATAACAATTAACATTTTTATATAAAGTATATGTTTGTTGGACTTCAGAGGGATTTAGTGTTCTTATAACTTTTCTCTTTATTTTTTGGATGAGAATCACAAATGATGTGGTTCATTGATATTTTCTTTTTCTTTTTTAATAACTTCAGGACTATCACGCAACTAATAGAGAAAGAAGAACAAAGAAAAGAAGTACAGAACCAGTTAGTAGACCGAGAGTATAAACTATCAAGTAAGTGGCTTCGTATGTAATATACAAGGTCTTTGAAAAGTTCATGGGAAATGTGTATTATGAAAAAACAAAATTTCAAGATTATTTTCCATCAAAATAAAGTTTTAATTCTGTTTTTCTGTGAGCTTTTTGAAGTACCCTCATCTATTGTCTATTTTTAACATACTTTATATTGGAGAAAAAGCATGAGTTGTCTATTTTTTACTTTTTAATTATTTTCTATTTCTCCCATTTTTAAAAATTGAAATCACTTCCTGAAAAACTTCCCTTTTTTTGATGTCATAGTTCAGAAAAGCAGTTTAGTGACATTGTTCGAATGAAAAACGCAGCACATTTTTAGAAACACAAAGGTATATGAGAAATGATTCTCCTTTTAAAATAAAAAGCAAAATTAAGGATCGGAACAGCAGGTGGCAGTGCCAGGTAACTTTTAGTTGCTGACTTCTTAATGGAATATCTAAAATCTTCCACTGAAAGATTTTGTTCTTACTCACTGTAAAGTACAGTTACCTCCCTATATGATTTTTCACAGTTGTCACTCTCCCTTTTCCTTTCAGTCATTAAGCTCTGAGGGTTCTCTTTCTTTTTAATTTATATTATATTGAGAGCAGAGGAAAGGCATAGAGATAGGGTGTTATCTGAAAGATTCTGATATAGTGGAAGAGTTGTGTGGTATTTTTTACCCAGAAAATATTATAAAGCTTTTATTTCCAACAAGAGATTCCTTATTAATTTTCCTAGCTTTCTTTTGCTGTTAAAATAGCTGTGAAGTCTTCTCAGGGTAAAGTCGGTATGAGACCTCTGAGCATACAACTGACTGTTTGGTTTGTTTTAAGATTTACTTCAAAAAACAAAACTACAAGAAGAAAAGATTAAAGTCTTACAAAAGGAAAGAGAGGATAAGGAAGAAGCCATTGATATCCTTAGAAAAGAATTAAGCAGAACGGAACAAATAAGAAAAGAATTGAGCATTAAGGTAAGAATCTGTTTAGTTTTCACTTTCAGTAAAATGAGTCTTATTGTATGAAAAGAGTGCATTTGGGTAAATTAATGTTCTTTAGCAATTTTTTAGAAGATATTATAAGTCTTTATCACAATGTGAAAACATCTATTTCCTAAAATCCTTAAATATACTAGGTGTCAGTGTTTACTGCTTTCAATTATGTGAAAAAGATAAGAAAGATTACTCAGGTTTTTTTTTTTTTTTTCTTTTTTTAATGATTTATTTCATAAAATTTGAAAGGCAGAATGACAGAGAGAGCAAGGGGCAAAGAAAGAAAGAGATCTTCCATCAGTTGGTTCACTCCCCTAAGTGGTAGCAATGGCTGGAGCTGGGCCAGGCTAAAGCTAGTAGCCAGGAATTCTATCCACATCTCCCACTTGAGTGTCAGGACCCCAAGTAATTGGGCCATCTTTTAGTGCTTTTCCATTTGGGTTACCATGGACCTGGATCGGAAGCAGAGCCGTTGGGACTTAAACCAGCACTCTGATATAGGATGTTGGCATTGTAGTCAGTGGCATTATCCTGCTGTGCCACAATGCCAGCCCCTTAGTTTCTAGTTCTTGCTGTCAAATGTAGGTGTTATATGTAGGTGTACATCCTCATCTCTCTTTAGGGAATAATAGTAATAGCAATGATTCATGTTTGTTCATGGCTTTATAATTTGCCAAGGACTCTGAATCTTTTTAAATTCATCTTTAAAAAATATTAATATAAGGGGTATTTTGAAATTTCATGTAAAATGTGTATTATGAAAATGCATACTGAAAAAACATGGATTTCAAATTTTCTTCACTGATATAAGCATTATGTAATGAAAATAAACATCGTTTAATTCCATTTTCCTTAGGCTTTTTTTGTATTACTCTCATGTAAATGTTAACATCTTAATTTACAAATGAAGAAACAGAATCTGAGATTATTTTCTAAGGTCAGGTAGCTAATCAGGGGACCAATATTCTGAATCTAAATCCACTGTTCTCATTTGTTATATTTGCATAGTCTGAATGATAGCTATGAATGGTTTTTTCCGTACCAGTTATAATAAGGAGAATGAAGGCAGACCAGGATTAAAAAACTGAAGCCAGGAACTTGATACACAGTTAAGATACCACCCAGAACACCAGCATCCCTCATCAAAGTGTCTGGGTTTTCCAACTCGCAGTTCTAGCTTCCTCCTAATTTGTACCCTAAGAGACAGCAGGTTATGGCTCAACTGCTTTCACCCCACCTGTGTGGGCATTTATGGAATGAACCAGCCAGTGGAAGGTCTCTGTCTCTCTCTCTTCCTTGCTGTCTCTCTGCCTTTCAATTCAAATGAAAGTAAGTTGACAAAATATTTTTTTCTGAAAAGACTGAATTACTTCAGAGTATGAATAACAGAAGAGACATGAAATGTAATGCCATGCTATGTTTACAACTTTTTAAATTCTGCTTTAATATAGTTATCTTATTAACTCTGTGTAGTTGTATGTGGTTTCTGCAAAATTTTAGTTGCTAGCCAAACCCAAAAACACAAGTTGAAAGTGTCTGACCAATTTACATTAATCTGTTTAATTGTCTGATACTTACCATTTTATTTAATTAACTGAATATACATGTGTGATGGCTTGAAATGATTCTTACAGATAAAAAGCTAAAACACCTTAAAAATGTCTTTGAAAAGAAAACATGCGGAGTTATTTTTCCTCTCAATTTTTCTTTCTACTCTCTCCCCAATTCCTTAGGCATCATCCCTAGAGGTTCAGAAGGCCCAATTAGAAGGTCGCTTAGAAGAGAAAGAATCTTTGGTGAAACTTCAGCAAGAGGAGTTGAACAAACACTCCCACATGATAGCAATGATCCACAGTTTAAGTGGTGGAAAAATAAGTCCAGAAACTGTGAATCTTAGTATATAGAAATTACTGCATTTTGGAATGTGTAATCCCTTGAATTTTTGTTGTATTTATCTGTTGGAGAGGGGTGGGTAAGGAAGATAATTTGTGACTCCAAAGCAATAGGATATGATTATCTAATTATTAATTTAGTAAAAAATTGATCTGATGCATGTTTTTATTTGGTCTTTTGAATAGAGATTTTCTTTTTGAAAGGTTTATTTTGTGTTTCTGGCTTTTATTGCTTAACACTTTGTTTCTTATGTTAGAATATCCTTAACCTCAATTATTATTTTTCTAGAACTCTTCCCTTAGTTTCTATTTTTCTTTTGCTTGTGAATTTATTCTCATTTGTATAGCTGTCATGGGTGGCTTAACAACAGGAGAAGTGTATCTGAGAAATGTGTTACTAAACAATATCATCAAAATGAACAAACAAAAATGAAAGGGGCTGGTGTTGTAGCATAGTGAATTAAGCTGCCGCCTGTGAAGGCAGCATCCCATTTGGGTGTGCCATTTGAGTCCTGGCTGCTCTGCTTCTGATCCAGCTCCTGCTAATGGCCTGGGAAGGGCAGCTGAAGATGGCTCAAGTGTTTGGGCCCCTGCCATCCAAGTTGGAGACATGCAGGAAGCTCCTGGCTCCTGGTTTTGGCCTGGCCCAGCCCTGGCTGTTGGTGGCCATCAGGGGAGTGAACCAATGGATGAAAGATTGTGTGTGTGTCTCCCTCTCTGTAAAAAAAAAAAAAAAAAACCTTGTTCAAACATCATAGAGATACTAACATAGGCTAAGGTGGCCACAACTTTCTAGGTGACCAGAGGACTATGGTGCCACTATCATATATGCAGTCTGTTTTTAACTGAAATGTCATTTTGTGATACATAACTATTTATATTTTAAAACAAACTTTTTTAGTTTAAGTCTGAAATAATAAGTTGAAAATGCAGTTAGCAGTAGTAAAAAGTATGATGCTACTAGAGAAGTTTTTCTCTAAAGTAGCATGAAGTGAGGCATCAGTTTAAAATTATTTTTATTGTTCCATTTAAAATGAAGTAAAATATATATGGTAAATGTTCTTCATTTAAAAGGGTGCAATGATTAGTAATCAGAAATAATATCTAAAACTGGAAGCTAGATATTGTGTTAATTATATTATTTTCTCAAGTAACCAATAGTTTGTAGAATATTTATATCTTTAGTTTTTGTGATGATGACTGAGTTCTGTATCTGTGCTGGTAATACCATAGCCATGAGATGATCTGTCCTAGCCTGACCTTGTAGAGTAGAAGCAAAAAAAGTTAATTTAATGAGAAAAAAAATACCCTTGCCATTAGGCACATGTGACTGTTGAGCATTTGAAATGTGAGCCATGTAACTGAAGAATATAGTTTTACATTTTATTTAATTTACATTATAATTAATGTTCATGCTGCTGGACAATGCAAATCTAATCCATTGTTGGAAGTATGCATTTATATAACCAGCTCAATTTGCCTGTTCTTTAAGACCTATATAAATAAGTAACAATAGTTTTACTTTATCCATAGTATCACTTTTCATGGTTTCAGATACCCATGGTTAACTGCAGTCAAAGTATTTAGTGGAAAGTTTCTGAAATAAGTAATTTATGAATTTTAAGTTGTACACATTTCTGAGTAGTGTAATGAAGTATCATTGTCTTGATTTATCATGTGACATGAATCACTACTTTGTCCAGCTTATTTGTGCTGTAGATATTATCTGCCTGTTAATCACTTTGTAGTCATCTTGGTTGTTAGATTAGCTGGTGTGGTATGGCATTGCTTGTGTTCGAATATCCCTTATTATAATGACCCCAAAGCACAACTAGTGATGCTGGCAATTTGGATGTGCCAGAGATGCCCTAAAGTGCTTCAGTATCATCTTACACTATCACAAGAAGAATGGTGAGTGTAGTACATTAAGATTTTGAGAAATACACTACTTTTATACAACTTGTACAACAACATATTTCACAATTGTTCTTTTTCATTACTAAATATAATTAAGCTGTTACTATACCTAATTTATAAATTAAACTCTTCATAGGTATGTATAGATAGAGAAAAAATCCATAGCCATATGTAGAATTTGGTAGTACTTTCAATTTCAGGAATGTACTGAAGTTCTGGAGCTTCTCTCCCTGGATAAACAGAGACTTTGATATCCCATATATATTTGTAGTAGCTTTTTATATAATGACCACAATTTTAACCTGTTTTTTCTCTCTCTGAAGAGAAAAACAATGCATTAACTTTGAAAAAGAATAGTAATAATCCTTCATCACTTTTTATCCCTTGTATTACTTATCATATTGTTCCTTGTGGTTTTCTTAATATCTTTAGTGTGCTGGACAGTTTTTTCTTTTTGCTTCTTCATACCTTAGATTAAGAAAACTTGTGTGTGTAAATATTCTTCTTAAAAAAAATCATTTTGGGGCCATTGTTGTGGTGCAGTGGGTTAAAGCCATGAACTTCAGTGCCAGCATCCTATATAGACACTAATTCAAGTCTTGGCTGCACCACTTCCGGTCCAGTTTCCTGTTAATGTTCCTGGTAGGGCAGCAAAGGATGGCCCAAGTCCTTGAGCCCCTATACCCACGTGGGAGACTTGGAGGAAGCTCCTGGCTTCAGCTTTGCCCAGCCTAGTCATTGTGACCATTTTGGAAGTGAACCATCAGGTGGAAGATTTCTCTCTGTGTCTCTCCTTCTGTCTCTCTGTAACTTTGCCTTTCAATAAATAAATATTTTTTTAAAAAAAATCACTTTAATCAAATTTAAGCTACCTCCGTCATCAGGGTTTTACAAGTAATCTGTATGTATATATGCCCAGTATCTAATGGACGAAAAAAAAAATAAAACATAGAAAGTAAATCATTATATTAGGAAAGCCGAAATCCTCTTAAAATTTAGCTAGGAAGAGTTTGTCTCTAAGGTATACATTAACACATTTCCTTTTTGCTATTTAAACTAGCCATGAACAAAGAATTAAGATTTATCTGATTGAGATTTATACTAAACTTTCTATTAATTTAGCATGATTACAAAAGAAAGTACTTAATGAAACAATGCTGTAACATAGAGTAAAATTTTAAATTTTGTCCTTTTAGACCCATTTACTTTTTTAAGATTTATTTTATTATTTGAAAGAGTTACAGAGAGAGGTAGAGACAAAGAGAGAGGTCTTCCATCCGAAGCTAGGAGCCAGGAGCTTCTTCCAGGTCTCCCACCTGGGTGCAGGGGCCCAAGGACTTGGGCCATCTTCTACTGCTTTCCCAGGCCATAGCAGATTTGGATTGGAAGAGGAGCAGCCGGGACTCGAACTGCCTCCCATATGGGATGCTGGCACTTCAGGCCAGGGCTTTAACCCACCACACCACATCGGCGAACCTTAGACCCATTTACTTTTATGTCATAAAGATTTGTTAGTTAATTAGGATTGTTATTTTAGGCTTTTTGAGTCATACAGTCTCTCTTGCAATTACTCAGCCTTGCAACTGTAGCATAAAAGCAGCCATAGATAATTCATAAATATTTATGAGTTTGAATAAAACTTTATTAACAAAACATTGAAAGCTTCATGGTCAAATATTCTCTTTATGTTTGATCATTTTTGTCTGAAGATTCTATTTGATGGTATTATAGCCGCTTCATTCTTTTTATATTTTTTATTGGCCTGGTATATCTTTTTCTGTCAATTTACTTTTAACCTGTGTGTCTATATATAATACGCATGACTTTTTATAACATATAGTTAGGTCTTTTTTTTTTTTAATCTCATTTTACAACTTAAATACTTTCACAAGCCTCTTAGAGTTATTACTGTACAACTTAACATAAGATGCAGAAACCTTAAAAAATGTAGAAACCTGGGGCCGTCGCTATGGCACAGCGGGTTAACGCCCTGGCCTGAAGCGCCAGCATCCCATATGGGCACCAGTTCAAGACCTGGCTGCTCCACTTCCAACCCAGCTCTCTGCTTTGGCCTGGGAAAGCAGTAGAAGATGGCCCAAGTCCTTGGGCACCTGCACCCACGTGGCAGACCTGGAGGAACTGCTCCTGGCTTCTGGCTCCTGGCTCCGGATCAGTGCAGCTCCAGCCGTTGTGGCTAATTGGAGAGTGAACCAGTGGATGAAAGACTCTCTCTCTCTCTCTCTCTCTCTCTGCCTCTCCTCTCTCTGTGTAATTCTGACTTTCACATAAATAAATCTTTAAAAAAAAAGTAGAAACCTTGCAACAATATAGATCCATTTATCCCTTTATCTTTCTAATTCATATGTATGTTGCATCTGTATGGATAACTAATCCCTGAAATAATATTACAAGTTTTGCTTTAAATAATTATATGGAAAAACTCTGACTCTCAACACATCAGTGTATTTATTTGCATGTAGTAATACAAAATAAATTCTTCAGTGTGACATTATTCTTCTCTTTGGAAATAGTAAAAACTTTTAGGCATATGCCGGAAATATGCTATTTGTCTTCCACCTTTTATACACTATTTTTTGCATCCATTGGTGATTATTTTTTGCATCCATTGGTGATTCTTGCCTGAATCAGCTATTACTGTGATTGTCAGTTGTTTACTTTCTGTTTCTTTTTAATGATAGAAAATTGGACATTTTGTTAATGATATGATGTACTGAGAATAACATTATAAATTGCTGAATCATTTAATTACTTCATTGATAAAACTATAATATTCATATTTGTGAATTAGTATGTATGCAGTTTCTTTGTATGTGCTCTTATAAGCCAAAAATTTGAGTATTGCTTTTTGTATTTTAAGAAAATAAGCATTTTGAATATATTTTTATTAGGCCATAGGACACTTTGGATATTGCTTTCCTACCTAAAAACTGCAAGTAGAAAATTGTTTATTGAAATCCTAAGATTCCATTGGTTTGGAATCTTGGCTTGGCTCTCTTGATGATGACCAAAAAATATTGTGTGTTGCCCATAATAATTAATAAATCTTTTGAGATTAGAAATTAATTATAGGGCCAATGCTGTGGTATAATGGGTAAAGCCGCTGCCTGCAGTGCTGGCATCCCATATGGGTGTCAGTTCAAGTCTTGGCTTCTCCGCTTCTGATCCAACTCTGCTGTGGCCTAGGAAAGCAGTAGAAGATGGCCCAAGTCCCTGGGCCTCTGCACCCATTTGAAAGACCCAGAAGAATCTCCTGGTATCAGATCAGCACAGCTCCAGCAGTTGTAGCCGTTTGGGGAGTGAACTAGTGGATGGAAGACCTCTCTCTCTCTGCCTCTGCCTCTCTAACTGTTTCAAATAAATAAATAAATCTTTAAAAAGAAAAGAAATTAATTATACAATCCAGCCTGTGCTGAGTTTATATTCAGGATTAGATAATGTAAAAGAAATTAAGATCTAGCCTATGCATTATTTAAATAGGAAGATATTTTGATGTATTTTTTGTTACGTGGTAATGAGGCTGTACTTGAAAGTATATGTCTATTCCATACACTGAGAAAACATTGTGAAGTTTTAAAAGGGGTTTTTTTTTGAATTTACAAATCACTTTGAAATCTTACATAATCTTACTTGGTTCTGTAGCTAATTCTCTCTAACTCACTTTTTCCTGTCATTCAAAGATTGTGAGGCCTGGTTTGTTTATGTTTGTTTTCTTCTATACATAGAAATACCCTAGAAGAAACTTAATCGAATCACCATAAATGAATGCCATCAAAACTCAACTGTTTTGCACTATTGAGGTACAAATATGTCTTCATAAAGGTCCTTAAATACAAGGAAGATGAAGTAAGCATACTGCTTCCTAATGCATTTTTTTTTTTTTAGTTATCTCGTTCCCTAGGGGGACCCAATGATGTATGCTCTTGGTTTCTCAAGATGGATAATCCAAGGATACATAGCAAAGGGCTTTTAATATGAATCCACTGATGTATTAGAGTTACATTTTCAAAGTCAATAAAGTGGATTACATTTCAGTTTCATTACGTTATTAAAAACTAATTTTCCAGTAAGTAGCTGAGCATTTGTCAGGGATTTAGTAGCGAGCAGGATTCTGCCTCTCCATTACATTGTCTGTACTTTTATACTTGTAGATACATTTCATCTCACTTATCTGAGAAAGCCAAAAGATACAGTGTATTATCCTTGTCTCAAACTTCAAACAAAAGGATTATGATCAGTCCTAGGAAAAGACAACACTGTTTATGTTCAATTAGGCAGGATTTCCATTTGTACACAAATAAAGACTAGTAACAACTGCTATGACCTGGGAAAGCAGTGGAAGATGAAGATGGCCGAAGTCCTTGGGCCCCTGCACCTGCATGGGAGACTTGGGGGAGGCTTCTGGCTCATGGCTTCGGATCGGCGCAGCTCCGGGCATTGCAAGCATTTGGGAAGTGAACCAGCAGATGGAGGACCTCTCCCTCTCCCCATCTCCCCCTCTTCCCCCTGTCTCTCCCTCTCCCTTCCTCTCCCCCCTCCCTGCCTCCCACCCTCCATAACTCTGCTTTTCAAATAAATCTTTTATAAATAAGCAAAAAGCTATGTACTAATCTGTGTAGTTCTTACAGTTAAAAATGAAAGGATTCTGAGCGATGAATCTAGGCCACTTGAATTACAAAAAGGTACTGAAACTCTAAATTTCATTTTCCAGAAAGATATTCCATGCTTCTGTATTTATTTATTTCGATTTATTTATTTATTTCAGTTTATCTATTTGAAGGCAGAGTTACGGAGAGGGAAGAAGAGAGAGAGACATAGGTCCTTTGCTGATTCACTCCCCACTTGAGTGGAGATGCACCTATCCGAAACCAGGAACCAGGAGGGTTTTTTTCTGCTTTCCCAGGCCATAGCAGAGAGCTGGATCAGAAGTGGAGCAGCTAAGACTCGAACCCGTGCCCATATGGGATGACAGCACTGCAGGTGGCAGCTCTACCTGCTATGCCACAGTGCTGGCCTCAATCCTGTTTTTCAAAAGACTTGGAAGAACTTTCATAAATTTTATAAACGGGACAATTGTGACTTCATAGAAGTAAAGTTAGAAGTGAACTTTTATTTGTATTCTAAAATTTTGAAAAATGTTACTTTAACTTTCTGAAATCATGTTTTAAAGTAGGGGTTTTGTAACCACATCCAGATTTGACTTCTAGTTCTACCTAAGGAAAGTGTTTACCTAAATTTAGTTTTGTTCCTCTGTAAATTAGGGTCAATTCGTACCTGTTAGGAAAAATATATTAGAAAAAATACAATAAACGTCAGCTTTTAGTAGGATTTCATTAAGTGCTTTATTGTCCTTTTGAAGGGGAGATGAGATAGAAAGCTTTTTCTTTCTTTTGTTCATAGTTCCTTATTTCTCTTAAATCTATAGGCAGTTGTAGAAAGTAAAGTTAATAGTAAAGATTCTGAATTCTTAGAAGTAATAGAGAGTGGTGAGGTTAGTGTTAGGAGTTAAATCTGCACATTATTCTTGTTTGTACCTAAGATACCTTTTATTGACTAAACTATACTTGTCTGATTTTCTCTCCAGTCTAATTTATTTGTATTAAGTAGCTATCTGAAGCAGTAAAGGAAACATTTTTCTGTTTGAAAGAAGCATTTTTCATACTTTAGCCTTCTCTTACATGTCTTTTCCAATTAATAACTATGCCCGCATTGTTTATTGTGAAGTTATACATTGTTATTTCTTCAGTTTCTTAGGAGAAATCACACAGAGGGTTGCTTGAGAAAAGCTTGCCAAATACAGTAACAAAACTCTATCTAA